TCATGGGCTTCACTCAGTTTTTCTCTTAAATCGGTGACATAATCACTTTCCTCAGTATCCATCGGTGGGACTTCAATTAATGTCTCCAGAGGAAGTTTCAGCTCTCTACCAAGCATCAACATGGCTGGTGTCTCGCCTGTGGATTCATTTACGGCCGTTCTGTAGGCCATTAGTGCAAATGGAATTTGCAAATCCCAGTCTGTCTGGTGGGGTTCTGGCTGAAGGAGCTTAGCCAAAGAATCTAACAAAGTCCGGTTGTAGCGCTCTATCATTCCATCCGACTGGGGATGGAATGGTGTTGTCCTTGTCTTTTCTATACCCAGCAAGTTGCACATCTCTTGAAAGACCTTCGCTTCAAAGTTACGTCCCTGATCGGAATGTAGGGTCGCAGGCATTCCTAGTCGACATACAACTTCAGCCACTATCTTGTCAGCAACAGTACGGGCCTCTTGATTGGGTAAAGCCTCTGCTATCTTCTCTAAAGTCCACTCTGGATGGATAGCCACTGTTGTTATATCCTCGACACAAAACATGGTAGTCTCCTCTGGTATTTCACAGTGGTCACACTGTCGGCAGGGAATCCTGGACATCACATCTGCGTTCTGGTGTTTGTTGCCTGGTCGAAACTCGAGTTCAAAATTGTACTCTTGAATCACCTGCAACCAACGAGCCAGTTGTCCCTCGGGATCCTTAAAGTTGATCAACCATCTCAGTGAACTATGATCCGTTCGGAGTTTAAAGTGGACTCCATACAGGTATTGTCGAAAGTAGCGCACATAGTTCACTGCAGCCAGCAACTCCCTCCTGGTAACACAATAGTTCTTCTCTTGTTTACTGAGCCGCTTGCTGGCATAATATATCACTCTTTCTTCTCCATCTTGAAGTTGAGATAGGACAGCACCAATAGACTCGTTACTGGCAACTGTATCAAGAATATATGGGCAGTCATCTCTGGGATAGGCCAATATAGGAGCCGTAATAAGCTTCTGCTTCAGCATGTCAAATGCTACTTGGCAATCCCCATCCCAATAAAATCTTTGGTTTTTCTTCGTCAAAGCATGTAAGGGACCAGCAATTTTTGCAAAGTCTTGCACATGGCGCCTATAGTATGATGCACCACCCAAAAATTGCCTAACTTCCTTGACGTTCTTTGGTGTTGGGTACTCAGCCATCTGCTGAACTTTCTTTGGATTTGGAGCGATCCCATTCTCCGACACCACATGTCCCAAATAATCAACTTCTCTCTGAAACAAGGAACACTTCTTCGGTTTGAGACGAAGACCTGCAGCTCTGAATCTGTCGAATACTTCTTGTAATCGATCCATACAGCCATCAAACGTTGGCAAAAACGTTATGACGTCATCCAAGTAGACGAGTGATGACTGCGAACTGAGTCCATGTAACACTTGTTCCATTAATCTTGAAAATGTAGAAGGGGCATTCGCCAACCCAAAAGGCATGACAACCCATTGGTATAAGCCACCTCTTACGACAAATGCAGACTTCTCTTTGGCGTTCTCATCTAATTCACATTGCCAGTATCCGCTTGCCATATCTAAGCAAGAGAAGTAAGTTGATCCATTCATCATGTTGAGGGTCTCCTCTATTCGTGGTATAGGGAATGCATCTTTCTTGGTGACAGAGTTGAGGCGCCTGTAATCTACACAAAACCTCCATGAATTATCTTTCTTTTTCACCAAGACAATTGGAGATGCCCATGGACTTTTTGATTTCTCAATTATCCCTCTCTCCAACATATCCTCAATCTGTTTATTCACCTCCTCTTGTTTAACTTTCGGCAAGGGTCGATACATCTGTTTAATAGGGGCAGAATCACCAGTATCGATGTGGTGTTTAACTAGGTGAGTGCGTCCTAAATCAGCATCTCCCGTGGCGAATATGTCAGCATTTCGACACAGCATAACTTTAACTTTTTCCTTTTGATTATCCGTCAGATGTTCACAACTTCTGTCAAATAATTCCTGTAAATGTGCTGGTAGTGTTTGTATGTTTATGTCTGTACCAGCAGATGCTCCCTGTAAGATGCATACATCATCTTGAGGCAACTCAGATGCATCTGTTAAATGATACACTCCAGTTTCAATGGTACTGTACTCTCCAATGGTTATTCCAGCCGGTAGATGTTTTTCAAATTCAGTATGATTCCACACTTCCACAAACAATTGTTGCTGGCCTAATTCTACCAATGTGGACACAACTTCTACATTTGCTGCGTCAAAATCAGTAAGAGGCTCTATAATTCCCAACTCACACGAATTGATGCTCTTCTGCATCTCCACTTCTATTAAACGCATTGTGTAAGATTCAATGGTAACATCCTCTTTCACTCTGCAATCCGTGACTGATTGACTTCCGCTAGCCTCTCCTATATTTGGTAACTCAGTATCATCTTGATTAACTGTGAGTCCTGTTGAACATTGAGCCTGCAACTCTGAAGCAGAACTGCAAGTCTGGAAGCTCTCTTCGTCACATTCTGCTGAGTCCCTGTTCAACTCTAACTCTGGACTACTTGATTTGTTTGAAAACAAATCTTCACTTTGCAAACTTCCTTGATATTGGGATAAATCAGGTTCTACATCTTGGGAATCTGGAGTGTCTTGAACACCCTGCACGTCACTCGACGATCCCTGGGACGTACTTCCCTGACTCACAGAGGGAGTCTCTGGTATCACTACACTCGTCGGTGTAACACAGATCAAACCCGGACAAAATGGTACATCAGGTGCAGGTTCCCATCCATCTTCTTCTCCGGATTTAACTGGATAATAACCAATTGGACTTGATCTTACTCCAACAGGTGTCGACTGTGACACAGGAGTTCCAAGTTTGAGCTCAGTTAAATCATCATCACTGTTGTCACTTTCATCTGTTGGACAAGGTGCTGGAGGCAACTCTGGTTCCTCAGGTTCCTCAAGCTGGATAATCTCGGTATCTGTATCTGCAGATGTCTTCTCTGAAGAAGTAGTGGAAGGCAGCATCTTATCTTCAATCACATTAGCTGCCATAGCCTCAGCAAGTTGACTTGCTGGAAAGGTCAATTCTTTAGCTCCATAATTTATCACAGCACCAGTGATTGTCATGAAATCAGATCCTAAGATTCCATCATGATCAATATCTGCCACTACAATGGATGTTTGTGTTTCCTGACCATCTAATTCAATTATTCCATCAATTATTCCACAGACTGCTATAGGACTGCCACTTGCTTGAATGAATACCCTATCTGCAGGATACAATCTGGGTTTCAGTCTATCTGGTATCTGCATATAACTTCGCTGGCCAATCATAGTTCGAACGGCTCCAGAATCCACTAAGAACTCTACCTTCGTTCCACACACAGTACCAGTGGCTATTATCTTGCGTATCGTAGTGTCGCTACTATCACTTTTGGATATCTCCAAGTCTCCATGTGTTAGAAACTTGACAGGATTTGTGGATTCTCCTTTCGAATCTTTGATGATGCCTTTCTTGATGTCATTCTGCTTTTTGTAACAATCAGACTGATAATGTCCTAACTTGTCGCAATAATAACATTTGACACCTCTGGACACAGGCCTTTTCTCTCCAGACTCATTGGATTTTTCTTTGTCCTTCAACTCTTGTATTATTGTCTTAAGATTAGCTGTAGATTCTTTGTGCATCTCTTGCACCACCTTCATAAGATTCTCCTGCATCAATTTATTTTGCATTACTGTAGAGTCCCTATGCATCTCCTGAAACGCCTTTACCAATTGCATCATTTCATTTTGAGCCTGTTTCTCTTCTACAGCATTTACTCTTTCATCTCTATGTCTTGGTTTTAAACCTTTGCGCATCCTTTCAGACTCAAGATAAGACTCCTCTCGTATGGCAATTTCAATGGCCTTGTCTAAAGTGCTGCAATCTCCGCTATGATTATGAATGGATCGCCTAATCTCATCATCAGGGATAGCCTGTGCAAAACGTTCCCTAGCCAAACGATCTTGAGCAGCCCGAGGTAACTCAGGATATGCTAATGATGTCAGCCGTCTGACATCTTGACCAAGAGTCTGTAGTGTTTCCTTGGGTTTACGTGTTCGGCCCACCCACTCTGCTTGGTACACATCTGCTTTACCTCCTGGGCCAAACCTTTTATCTAAGGCAGACACCAATTCATCATACGTATAGCCAGGGTCCATCTCATAGATGAGTTGTTGCGCTTGACCCCTAAGGCTAGTTGCAAGAAACTGTTTCTTCTCTTCATCGCTCCATGAATTTGCACTTACACACATGGCAAAATAGGCTTTGTAGTCAATCCATGGTGTAGTTCCATTGTATGTGTCAGGTTTTATCTTTGTCTTGCTCTGAGAGGCAGCTCTCTTAGGTATTGTCTCTTCCAATACCTTCCCAACTAATTTAGTCGTCTCTTCATGCATCTTTGCAAACTGAGCTATCACTGAAGGCATTGTATCATTCATTGGTACGGCCGTTTCCTCTTCTTGAGGAGTAAAATGTGTCATATTTGCATTAGTCTGCAGAGCTTCTTCATATCTGGTTTCAGCCTCATTCGGTAATTCATCATATGTAGATCGGTATCTATCCTTGGAAGGCTGACTTTGAGTCTGTTGAGGCACAAACATTCTTTTACTCGGTGTTCCCACAAACTTTGTCTCTCCGAATCCATAGTCATCTTCTGACTTTACAGCTGCAACTCTCCTTTTTGTCGGAGGACTCTTAAATGCAGGTCTCTTTGGCAATCCTGTAAAATCTTCATCAGAAGCAATTCTCTTCTGGCGTATGAGTGGCCACTTTGGGGGAGTTACTATTCTGGGTTGATCAGCAGTTAATTCTGGATTAACTAATGTAGGCCCCCCTACCACTCCTTGCTGCGGATTAAATGTAGAAAGAACTTCTCGAGACTGTAATCTCTGAGAAGTCGCACTGGACTTAGCCTGTAACATTGTTCTGGTGTCTACACTTGTTCCTAATTTCACTACAGGACTTGAAGGTCTGACGTCACCCTGTAAAACTGGTTCAGGACGAGAAGTTGAACTTTGTAATGCCATATGTAAGGTCTGGCATAAGTTATTCATCTCTTCCTTAAATTCCGCCTTCAAAGTTTGTGACAAAGTTCCAATATGATCTTTGATCTGTGTGACTTCTCCACCAATGTTAGACATATGTCCTTCCATATTAGCCACCTGTCCTTCTATATGAGACATGTGTCCCTCCATGTTAGACACCTGTCCTTCCATCATGTTTATGGTAGTCACATTCTGGTTAATGGCATCTTCCATAACATGTATATGCGTTTTCATTTCTCTATCAACTGGTCTTTCCTGCGTGCCCAGTTTAAGTTCTGCAGGTGTAGTTATCATTGTTGAGGTGCGAGGCATATATCTATCTCCTTTGGGTCTGGCTCCCCATGCTTGACTCTGTGGACTATAAGCACCATCATGTACTGTGCCTGACCAATAGCCAGTAGTCTGTCCACCCCAGACTTTCTTAAACTCTGTTTCTATCCCAGTCTTATCACTAGGGTAGATTGCTTCTGCACCACCAACTGTACGACGTCTCTCATCTGGATCTGCCTCACTTGGCAACCTCCATTTCTCCATCGCTGGGAGTTCTGTAGCCATGTGTTCCATAGCCTTTCTTCCTGTATATTGAAGAGTGTCATCCTTGGCTATGGGATTATCTATCTCACCATCGGTAGCTAACTTTACAAAGACAGTCTTCTCTACATCTTTAGACTTGTCTGTATTTGTATCCGAGAGATCACCACTCTCTATCGACTTTGGAGCTTCTGTATCCATCTTTAAAGTGCTATAATGTGCCTCTGGTTCAAGTCTTCAGAAACAGTCAATCCCAACACCGCTGCCACCAATGTAACAGTTTGGCCTATTTTTGTGGATATACGTGGTAGCGTGGATAATAATAGGCCCACTGTTTAGTAAACGGTGTTTACTTGGTGAGTTACACGGCACACGTTAAATGTGCGATTGTCCCTAAAGAATTAAACAGACATATACAATTAAATATAAAATATAAAACAGTATATTGTGGCGTTTATAAGCCCAAATAAAGATGTACATTAAATTTCAAGTCTAATTATAAGAGTGTTACGATTTTAATATCTCTCTCAAAACTCACAACTCAAAAGTCCATATAAGCTAATATTTATCACTAATAAAACAATATCCAGAGTCCATATAAACTAATAATAATCACTAATAACACAATATCCAGAGTCCATATAAACTAAAGTTGATGATCACTATATACCACTGTTGTATCTCCAATATTAAGTCCATATATGTTGTAACACTTGTAAGTCTTGTATTGTACTTGTAACTTGAACCTGAAATAGTAATCTCCTGGATCCTCTTCAATGTAGTGTAGTATGATTCAAGTTTGATGATATGAAATCATCTAAGTCAACCAGCGGCTCTGCAAATGTCTATCTCCTGGATCCTGTCAACTATTGCTCAGTAAACGGCTATCTCCTGGATCCTCTTCACTGTATTGTAGTATAATTCAGCTTTGATAATGGGAAATCATCAAGTCAACTATCGGCTCGGTAAATGACTATCTCCTGGATCCTCCTCAATGTGTTGTAGTATAATTCAACTTTGATTATGTAAAATAATCTAAGTTAAACTATCAAGTCTGGAAACGACTATCTCCTGGATCCTCCTCAATGTGTTGTAGTATAATTCAACTTTGATTATGTGAAATAATCCAAGTCAAATTATCAAGTCTGGAAACGACTATCTCCTGGATCCTCCTCTCTGTAGATGTATATTCTAACTTCAATGACCCAAAATCATCAAAGTCAAAATATCTCGTTGAATAAACTGCTAAGTCCTGGAACCTCTTCTATGTAGATGTATATTCCAACTTCAATGACCCAAAGTCATCAAAGTCAAAATATCTCGTTGAATAAACTGCTAAGTCCCAGAACCTCTTCTCTGTAGATGTATATTCTAACTTCAATGACACAAAATCATCAAAGTCAAAATATCTCGTTGAATAAACTGCTATGTCCTGGAACCTCTTCTCTGTAGATGTATAAGTCAAACTATCACAATCTTCAAACTACCAAGTCCAAGGACGTCTAATACACGGCATCAACTGCTAAGTCCATGTAGCCTGCTTTCTTCACAATTAAATAATAAGGCTACCTACAAATATAGCATGCACACAACGACATATGCAAAAATATAACATGTGAAAATATTTGACCTCTAAAATGACTAAGTTCATTTAATGTTAAGTGATACTGATATTAAAATATTCTAAGTTCAATATTTCTCTTTCCAAAAACAACAAAGTCCACAATAATATTTCACCAAATGTTGACTAAGTTAATTTCATACTAAGTTATACTGATGTTGAAATATTCTAAGTTAAATATTTCTATCTCCAAAAATAACAAAGTCCAAAATAATATTTCACCAAATACTGACTAAGTCCAATAATGTTGTAAATCGTCTAAGTTCCTTGATGATCAAAATAGCTTGTTTCTCAAACACAAGTTATGTCAGCATTTCCTCTCAGTCTATGAAGGCTGGACAATACGTCTAATGCTTTGCGCTGGGGATAGCTTCACCCTGTTGAAGTTTTGTCCAGTCTTGTAGATCTCTCTTATTTCCAGTGCGGTAAATAAACTAAGTCTCACACTTAGCTACATCAAAGTTTTCCCAAAATTCCAATCTCCAAAATAAACTAAGTTTCTCACACTTAGTTTCTCCAATCTGCCCTTGTATACTGCAAACGTATAGCTTGGCTCATCAGATGTATTCTACTAAGGTACAGCTTCTATCTTCATGTGTATACTGCAAACGTATAGCTTCAAGACCACAAAATCGACTAAGTTCTATAAAACTTAGAAGATTTTAGCTGTTTCCCGAAATTCCGCTCTGGAGGTCCTTCCTCGACAACATCTGGCATCGCACTGACGAGCCTTCAACAGCGAGATAGTTATATAGGCCCGATGACGTCATTGATTTTCGGACAAGATTTCAACTGTGAATTACAGCTTACTTACGCCATATTTCGCTTTAATATTGATCATACAGCAAGATTATAATATTGACTCAAGAAATATAACAGTAATTAATCACTATCTAGTCTAATTTCACTTCGATTCAATCGAATCAAAAGCAGGAAGTAAAATAATAAAGGTGTCATGTTAGACTACCGATCAACTACAAATTAGACTGCCAGATAAGACTTCCCGATCAACATAAACAAAATCGTGATCAAATAAATAAAACATGTGAACTATTTCACCTCTGTAAGTACAACCTAAGTGCTGCAAATGATACTACATTTATAAATCTTAATAATCTCAATGGGAAATTACTTCTCAAGTGTAATAATTACCTTATATACAAAAACACAGCACTTAATCAAAAATCAAAAATTTTACATTTAAAATTCCGTTACACTATATAATACTCAAATTGAAGGAATTTTGGAGTAAATCACAATTATGGTATTATTTGTCAGATTTGTACCTCAGAAAATTCAAAATGAATGGATTTCAAGATGGCCGCCGCTTTAAAAATGACGGGACTTTTTCGCAAAAATCATAAATTTTTCATTCTAAACCAAAGTAATTAATATTATTGTTTGAAATTTTGGAAATATATTCGCAACATCTATCTATTTCACATATATTCCGTGTTTTTCATCCTGACCCCCAGGGGCCCGTGTATGGGGGGTCCCGAGACTGCGGCTAATTGTAACCCTGTCGGTTACAATTGGCCGCAATGCGGCTAATTGTAACCCGACTGTGGATATTGCGGCCAATTGTAACCCAATCACTAATTGTAACCTAAAGCGGTTAATTGTAATCCAAATTTTGGAAATTTAATTTAAAGTCTTAAATACAATTAAATTGGTATTTATGTAGTTTTAGAATCTGTTAATCTTACAATTGAGTCAGATGTCCAGAAATAAGCCCTTTATCAGTTCATCTTTTCAGAAAAGCAATTAACTTGGTATATTGGCGATATCTAATTTATCCCTAATTCTTTCAAAATTCATCAATATCATAATGAAAGGTACATCTAATTGTTTTTATAGATATTTAAATATGGTGGGGTCGAGTTGACTAAGGGTTGAGTTGACCAAGGGTTGAGATGACTAAGGGTTGACTTGACTTGGAGTCGAGTTGACTAAGGGTTGACTTGACTTGGGTTGAGTTGACTTGGAGTTGACTTGACCAGTTACCTTTTTAAAGAGGGAAAAACCTTTTCATACACCCCACTTTCAAATAAACGCCCATGGGCCTATTCGCGAGAAACTAACATCGTATGTGTACAAAATAGAGAATTCCTTCCCAATATAGTGCTATTCCACACCATTGAAAAAACAGTTATTTACAAACCTGGCTGCTCTTCTCTGCCCCTGTTCCAACATATCAATATTTTTGCCAGTATGGATCCCATGCAGAACTGGCATATTCTGCAGGACTAGTGTCTTATATGCCTGAGCCTTCACTTTTTAAGGCCATTGATGGAGGTTGCGTCTGAGGAACCAAAGCACTTTATTGGCTTTGGATAGTTTGAATATGTGTAGTCAAGCGTAAATTATTTGAAATATATATTATATAGATTAATCTGCTGGTTACTATCACACTGACGATATCTTTAGCATAAGTATTAGTTTTAGTTCAAACTATTTGAGATGTTTGAGTTATGTTATATTATGATAAGTATGTATATTTGTTATACACGTTCTATTATTTCAGGTACTGTTCACTGTAGACATTATTAGACGCCAGATTTTCAATCTAGAGTGTATTGCTTTTGCCTGAAATCTTATTCTTGGAGCAATGGAACAACCATTCCTATTGGAATTTGAAAGATTTATTAAAGAGACAATTCCGAATATATAAAACTGTCATAGCAATGTGTTTTAAATGGGTCTTTCCACCACTGTCACTCAGCATGTAACATATATTGTATTCGTCTTTAAGTTGGCGAGCACTTTAAATTGGCGTATTTTGGCGGATTAAAAAAAATTGCTAAATTTGATATACGCCAAAATCCCCGGGAATTCGACATGTTCTTCCTTTGGTGCATTTCCGGTTATAAAAAAGTTATACCAAAATGGCCAAGCCATTTAAATTGTTAGACACAACAACAGCTATTGAAGAAATGAATATCAACAATAGGAAATACTGAAATATGTTCATCAACAACACTGACTATGGGTATTTGACTTGGGTAAGACAGGGGGATGTCTGGGACACATAAAAAACCACCATAAATAGACGACAATAGCCCAAATAGCACAAAATCGCCAAATTAAGTAGCGCCAAATTAATGACAAATACATGCATACGTATCTGGAGACTTTAGGTTCAACTGTTCAAGCAAAAAAACTGTATTTTATTGACAGTGAAGTGTTTTTGAAAAAAGCCTATCAAAATCATGAAATTAGGAATTGGAATTTAGATAAAATATTCAATTCCCACGTTGGAAATTGTTTTGGGTACTTTCTATATCACTTTTTTTAGATTTGTCACTATTTAGTTTTTTGCAAGCATTTTTACGGTATTTATTTTTAGATTCTTTAAGGTTTTTTGTGTAATACAATATTACAACAATACAATTACATATATAGCCGTTCAACAATTATCTGGAGTCTTGTATTGAAATCTGTTCAATTTCACCAATCTAGTTTTTTTAAACAAGTTATTTGTGTATAGTTACCGTTTTTTACTGTTTATTTATTTGCTGTGGTGTCTATTTTCTGTTTAACATAAATCGACTTGTCGTCAGCAGTTCAGATAGATATTTATAAGGTAATTAATTAATTAATTCCTCCATTTAATAGTAATACCCTATAGTAAGTTATTTTGTACTTGTTAAAAACATTAATTCCAAACGTACTCTAAAAAAACTGGTTCAAAAATAAATTTTATTCAGAAGTAAAAAGATTGCACTGTTGCCTATTGGTGAAATTAGAGAAAAGTATGCTACTCTGTCTGTGTTACATGTATAGAATTTGGGAGGTTGCATACCAATCTCTTTAAAGCCAATCATATAACGTACATAAGTGAAACATATATTTTATTATTTCAGAGTTACAAAATGAGTGAAAGTGACATAGAGGGAGTATGGCCACTGTCTGACAGTGAACAACAAAACATATTAGAGACATTTGAGACTGAACCTGAGGAGCAACAAATACTATTAGAGACGTTGGAGACTGAGCCCCAGGAGCAACAAATAATATTAGAGACGTTGGAAACTGAGCCCGAAGAGCAACAAATACTATTAGAGACGTTGGAGACTGAGCCCCAGGAGCAACAAATAATATTAGAGACGTTGGAAACTGAGCCCGAAGAGCAACAAATACTATTAGAGACGTTGGAGACTGAGCCCCAGGAGCAACAAATAATATTAGAGACGTTGGAAACTGAGCTTGAAGAGCAACAAATAATATCTGAGGAAATGACATATGCCTTCAAATGCTGTATTTGCGGCTTCAAAACAAATGTATCATGGAAGGAACAACGTCACAAACATAGTCATACAAATCAGTACCAATGCGCGTTTTGTGGAAAACGGTAAGTTAAGAACTTGAATTTCTTCAACATATATTGCAATGACTTCAGTATGAATGAATGTTCTGGTCCTTGACTGTAATATGACTCTTGTTTGGGAGAAGGGTGTGTAAGACACTATTTTTTCACGTAAGATCATGGTTTCGGGATATATAGCATCTATTTTTCTTATGACCATTTGACACTTAGAGTTTGCTTTTCTTGCTGGGTTTCTTTAATGTTTTTACTCCTTTCCCTTTGGCGCTTGTGCTTAGTTATGCATATACTTCAAAGTTAATAAAAGTGTCAGGATATCACATTGGACACTGGACAATACTTGTCTTTTGCCACTTACTTAGGTTTTGAGTGAAGGGATATATCATGTGCTTTTTGTTTTGTTTATTTCAGTCATGGACAAAAGAGTGACCTTGACTCACACGCGTGTCTACATACTCTTAGAATCAAAGAGTGCTCCACTTGTAGTAAGACTTACAAAACAGAGCTAGGACTTCAGAGACACGAGGCTGAACATACTGGCAACTATAGGCACATGTGCGAATATTGTGGGAAGGGGTTTTCTTACATAAACCTCTTTCAAGATCATCAGATGATACATACGGATCAAAAGTTAAAATGTCCCAAGTGTCCCAAGGAGTTTGCCTCTGCTAGAAATCTGAGAGAACATAAGGACATATGTGGTAAGACAGTAAAGGACTTTAAGTGCAGTGAATGCGGAAATGTTTACAAGTCCAAACGGTACCTAAAAGAACACATATCACTGAAACATTCTTTAAATCCTCCTGTATACGTGTGCCATGAGTGTGGTAAAACATTCTGTTACAGGGCAACGCTTTCGAAACATATGAAAAGCAATCACAAGTAAATAGTTCAGTGAAGTTTGTTAAGTTGTAAGTCTGTTCATGTATTTCTTTTATCTTATATTGAATAGTATCTATGGAAGTATCGCATGTTTGGGGGCTGTTTAGTTATAGAGAACTTTGAACATTTCCCCTCAAACCTTTAATACAGATATATTAGTGGTAATGTAATCAACATGGGAAATGCAAAAGCTATCATGACGTCATCATCAAGTTCAGTTAGAGTCATTCTAAGTGAAGCCGTTTTCTTTAAAATTCTCCAATATCGCGGTTGTTTGAGCATTTATTTGTGGTTATTTACCATCGTAGCTTTATTAATTTGCATGGCGAAACATTTGGAATCCAGATTCAACTTATTTTAGCTGAAATCGGAGGTTTATCGAAAACGAAATGATCTCGGCAACCATCTTGAATGAAGCTAACTGCAGTTAGAGTCATCCAGTTGTGGAACAGTGTTTATGCCTTCTACGCACACACCCATGCATACCCAACAAGGTAGCTGTTTAATAAATAAGGGGGAGGGGTCCAGAGATTGAGGACTGAACAATTTAATAGTAGTAATGCTTTATTTGTAAGATGATAATGTCTGATTGTCATGTACAATAACACAACAAAAATCACAATATAAATTTGCCTCTTGAGCCAAAAGAAGTGGGTAGGCATAATTCTTTGGTTTCTTGAACATGATTTATTTAAATTTACGTCCATCAGTATATGGTGTCCAATCAAATCGCAGGATTTGATCAATTGAACAATCATGAGCATGTGCTCTCTCAGAGCTCCGCATGCGCAAATTATAATTTGATATTGTGGAAATTTGGAGGCTTTGAACTGAATTAACACATCTTAATGCTGTTGCCCTGATAATTAAGAAAAAGTAAAATAAATTCGAATTTTCTCTCTACAGGCCTTGTTGGCCCTTAAACTTATTGAGAATCGTAAAACAACAGTGAACATTTTGAGATAAATTTCAATGGTAAATGAGACCTGTTTATAAAATTGGTTATCGAACGTGCCAATACCATTACCAACAGATATCTTTTTGACCCCCCCCCCCCCCCACTGCTCTTAAGCTACAAATTAAAATACAATCTTTTCATGTTGCAATTATTGAAATATTACTCTACCTTAAGTCTGGATTTTGTCTGTAGTGTAACACTTCTGTTACTTGACTCATAACACGCTCTAGATTCACAGCTTTTGGGCATCCAAGTCTATTACTGTCAACTTCCGAAAGCGTTCCAAAGAAGGATTCATTTTCTAAAGAGCTGAAAGCTCGTTGATTGTTAGTTCCGCCTCTTACCAGTTTATATAGCTGAAGGTGGCTATCAATTGACAAAAGAAACCCCTCGAACATCTGAATGGGGAATCCTTTGATGTATCCTGCAAGTATACCATTGAAACAGGTTTTTATTAGACATATTTTACATATTTAACAGTGGAAATGAATTTAAAAAATATATGTTTTATCACCTGAAGGCGGGGGAAATGTGTCGAACTTCACATTCTTTAAAAGAAGTGTCCTCATCTGAATTTGTTTTTCAATTCTCTCCATTGCTGGCATTCCTCTTTCGTCTTGTGCCTCGTACCAATCCCTGACAGTGCGTGTAAAGTTAGCTTCCTCTATAAAACATCACATTACCCTTTTAATTCAGTAACAATCTCTAAGAAGAGATCTGAATTTGGAAGTCCCCTCTCATAGAAAGTGTAATAAAGAACCTTTTAAAAAGTGATTAATTGTAACTAAAGACTTGGAAAAGATTAAAATACATAGGCTTTCATACACTTTCCGGAAGAAGATGTACCAGTTGCCAAACCTATCAGCGTTGTGTCACCTTTAAAAGTTTTGTTCAACTGCCAATGATTCAACAAGATAATAACAAATTTATATTTCCTTACCCAAAAAGCCAAGATCACGCATGGCACTTTCAACTTCTGGTGAAAAGGTTCTTACAGCATAAGAATTCCTCTGTTTATCAAGAAGATCCTCAACTAAACTTTTGCTAATAATGGATTGGTCTTTATTGGCAACAGAATGCCAAGCAGATTTGCTAACTCCTTAGCAAATCTGCTTGGCCATTTCATCAAGGCCTCTTAAGTCAGACTCTTAAGATCTTTGAGTTTCCTCTTAGGCTTGACAACATGTATTTCTGTTGAATCACCTATTGTTTTGGCGAGGTAGTTCACTTTCTTTGCCTTTGTCCAGCCTTTAACTGTCGGCTTACTGCTCAATGCCTCAAGTATAATGTCTATCTCTTTCACTGTCATGCTTTGTATTCGTATGGCGGAGTTAACACTCAAAAACGTTATTAGCTGGTGAGGAGTGTAATCTTTCCATTTCAATGGTTTTATATTGCTCAGTCTCGCCAGGATTCTGATATAATCCAACTCCTCTAATTCATTGATGTTGGCTAAGATGTCGACAGGTTCAACTTCATCAGATGATCGAATTTGGCTCGACCTACAATATTGTTAGGAATATGAAACATTATTATACTCTTCAATGATTTGAGTAGGATTGTAATAACATATTATGTCAGGAGACAATGATAATAAAAATTAACTGTTTCATTTAGTGTACCAATCTTTTGAAAACCTTAAAGGATAATTTAAGTCACCAACCTTCCACCAGTGTGTTGTTTTTCAAATGTTTGGTTCAGTTTTCTTCAATTCACCTTCTCAACTACTCCTTCCAGATTACCGTTTGTAAGCACACGTTCGGTCCACCTTTGAAATACGAAAGTGGTATTATTGATTTTTAAATTGTTGTTTATGTAATACGTAGGCCAAATGCCTCTGACATATAAAACCAATTAATTAGGCGCACATATAAATACAATACCAATACTCTAATATGTGGCACTTACAAAATTATGTTCAATTTTACATTATTTTGTCTTTGTGTGAAAATATAATGACAGAACTGACATGACATGACAGATAATAGAAGTCCATTGTAAATTAATTTTGAAAGTGAATTTTTTTAAAATTCTAAAAAGAAAACAAAAGTTGCCTAAATTAGATGAATGCTCTGGTGTTTAAAATGTTATACATGTATATAGAAGGACAAAGGAAAGTAGAAGTTTAAGAAAGATTAAGTAAATGGCATGAGATTGAAGAAGTCCATTGTAAATTAATTTTGAAAGTGATTTTTTTTAATTCTAAAAAGAAAACAAAAGTTGCCTAAAGTAGATGAATGCTCTGGTGTTTAAAATGTTATATATAGAAGGACAAAGGAAAATAGAAGTTTAAGAAAGATTAAGTAAATGGCATGGATAAATTAAAATATCAATAAAACAATATCAAACAACCTGTTCATTATAAAATACAAAAAATCCTACATACCGATTATTTGCATTTTACTTTGTGAAGATAGCTCAGTTATTACTCCAACTATATCTTCTTTTTTCATCTTTTGGCTTTTACTCCAAACAAACTTCTGCAGTTGTAGCTTTGTCAATGGATTGCCATTTGCACTTGTATTAAATACGGGTAACCACTGTCCATCTGATGCCAATCCTGGTACCAATATTTTTCGTTTGTCACAACTATTGAGAATGTCGTCAATCATCTCTCTCATAATCTTGCAACTCAGACTATAGCCCTTCAAATACATTGAAACGAGCATGAAAAAGAAGTAACACGTCCATGTCCTTGAATCTTCATTTGAAGTCTTCAAGGACTCGAATTGAGATATCATTTTATCAATTTTCTAATCAAAACATCAAAACCAAATGATTGGTTATTAAATGTAAGGATGATCGCGAGTGTCTAAAAGAGTTTAAACATTACAAAACCAAACAGCACAAGACAAAAAATAGTGTATAATCAGTCATAAGGATAAGAAAATCACATTTCCCTTAACAAAATTCTAACTAACAAAATATGCATTATATCTCCTAGTTGGAAAAAAAACAAATCAAAATTTTACCTTCATGCAATACGCAATTGGTATTGAGTGTGGACACTCTTTTTTGTAGTGTCGGTTAGTATTTTGAAGGAGCCAAACAACGACCTCTGCTGCTTTTTTCCGACTTATTGAGTACATTTCGTAAACACACTCCTTTGCCTTTACCAGCGAATCTTCAATAGCACTCGGCTGAGACAGTTCATCTGATTGCGCGGCAAACAGAAAAGGAGACTCGGCTGAAGTTTGGAGCTGCTCAATTAATTCATTGGCATTTTGTCTTGATGGAAACTCTCCAAGAAACTCGACATTGCTGCTGATAAATAATTTCAGTTTATCAGCTAACTCTTTGGTGAATGGTGGGCTGTGTATGGGCTTCTTAGTCTCAACTGTACAATAGAGAGCTGTAGAATGCATGACCAACTCGTCCCACAATGTCGCATCAAATGTCACCTGAAAATGCCATTGATTATGTGTCAACTCCAATTGTTCCCTGAATGAATGAAGTAAAATAATCATACTTTAGTATATGATTCGAGCAATATTTTAGGATGACAATATGGAGAGAATGCAAAAATTATTAAGCTCACTAGCTACCATTTGCATTGCGATAGTGTGATTTTGCTTTTTGAAAGATAGCCTCTGCATTCTAGGGTACTCACCAGCAATACAGTTGTACTTTCTTCAGTATAACATACAAGAAGAAGTTCCATTGCATCCAAAACATACATCTCGGCTAATACTTGACACACATGATAATCTGGCAGGGTATAGTAGAGTGGCACTCTGTTGTAATTTCCACTTTGAACAGGGGCTGGGCATTTGATCTCAACGGCTAGGTTTGCTGGTAGAGATGTCAACGTGTTCATACCACTGGGTATATCTACTTTTGATCTAACACTGCCATCTGGTGAAACTAGAATAAATGGACGCATTTCACTCCCCTCACCGTCATCTGAAAACAGTTACATTAACAATAACAATAACTCATATAGAAAAAAAAAAAAAAACATACACACAAAATATCAAAAGACTTACATGAATACTACAATGGAGTAGACATGCCATGGTGTGTTAAAATTCCAACAGTTATTTACTGTAGAAAAACTTACCTTCATAATTTACAGCGTAAAAGCCTTCTTCAACAAACACGATTGAAGGGTACAAGAAAGGTGGAACGACTCCTGATAATGTAGCTACTGCGTTAACTTCATTTATAGTTCCGTGCTGCATTCTCTGCCTTTCTTCCGCAGTAAAAATCCTTTCCTGTCCGAGAACCGCGCTGTTGAAATGTTGTTTCATTGCTTTCAGAGATCTGAGACCAAGGGCATTGTGCATTGTCGAACCAGTGACTTTGAATTCTTTCCTTGCGTTGTACCATGCAGGCATTCTCTGTTGAATAAACCGCGGTATTGTTTCAAATTCATCTGGTAACATATCTTGTGATTTAAGAGTTACCCAGTTACCTTGTGCAGATCGTTTTACCTCTGGATTTTTGACGAAATCCTTGGACTTCCACAGTGAGCTATTTCTCCGACAGCATCGAGACTTTTTCTGATAACTTCAGTTGTTCTATGAATTAGGGTTCTGGCCGAATCCATTGCATATGCATACTTTCCAGTTCCACCACTTTCTTTCTCTTTTAATTCGTATTGACATAATGCATATTCTTGCTTGGCTTTCGTATTTCGCATATCATGGATCCGTTTTCCTAACATTCGCACAACTTGTTGCATTTCGACTAGTTGAGTTATTTCCGATGCTTTGATACTGTCCTACAAAATTCATATTGTTTTTCATTTATGATTAAAAAAAACAAAAGAAATAAAAATTGGGAGATCATTTATGAAGGACTCCCTGTTTAGTTATTGACTTGCCATGTAATCTTGTAGATTTAAATGTCCTCTTTTGAATATTCGTAGTTTAATTTGGGTAATATTTCTATATTTTTCATGAAAGAAATTATTAGCCCAGGAGACTGTTCTCCAAACCGAGAATCGTCCTTTGGGGTAGGTTCTTTAAATGGCCAGCAAATGGGCCATACACAAGCTACAGTGATAAAACTTTGTCAACTTAGAGAACATTGAATCATCTTTAATTATCTCAAACAAGATGTGTCATACTCTATTTATTAAAAAGATATGCAATGTTAGGTGGGTTTCATTTTTTTTGAAACGCCCTGTACTTTGGTATTTAGGTTATTCAAAGTTAATTATGTTCAACATTCTGGAAGGAATTCACATCTTATATACCACCTTTAAGTATTTGATGTCTATATAAATTCTTTAATAATTATTCCATTTGATAGCAATATATAAATACAATAATACATGTATAGTTAACAGAGCTATGTCAGTAAACAGAGCTATGTCAGTAACCCATGTATGTACATTTTGTTGGGAGTGAACATGTGAACTGCAATTCATATATTGAAAAAATTACAAAAATGCTTTATTTTCTCACTAGAATGCGGGTACGTTACGTGTATAACACTATACAAGTCTTTTTCAAGAATTATATTCCATCGAACTCGTGAAATCGCGAAATATTTTGATGCAAAATAACATTGTAAAATGTTACTGCATGGCCATGCAATACTTACAATTAACTTTTGAATCCTAGCTGTTTCATCATCAGCACAGGCTTTAGCATTAGCTGCAGTTTCTCCTTCCTCGTGTCCAAATAGATCGACCTCGCCACCTTTTTTGTTAAGACCTTGGGCTAACTTTTTCCCATCGAAGCTTAGTATATGTGATCCTTCAGAATTCTCAAAATTCTCTAGAGTTTGTTCTATTATCCCACACGGAATACTTTTGGGGAATTTAACAGTATTGAAATCTCTGATTATTTTCATAGTTGGAGCGGCAAACCCATTTGACTTGTCCCCGCCCAGGAAAAGGACGAATTTTTCCTTGAAAAGGCGATAACCTATTTTCCAGAAGGTTAGAGTATCTGAATAGTATGTCATTCTTCGTTTGTCTGAAATCCTGTGCCATTTTACTGTTTCCAAAAATAATCTGAAAGATAGGTTGTCCATAGGGAAGGAATCGTCTTCAAGCAAACTAAATAGAGTGACAAATTCATTGAAGGAGTCCTGTTTGCTAAATTTCTGAACAAGGTTGTCAATTGTTCCCGCTATTTTCTCAGCCACTCGTTTGAGCTTTGGACTTGATAACTTTGATACAAAACTTTTATTTGTTTTTACAAATAATTTTCTGCTCGTAGATTTATTTTTTGGGGTGCCCCATTTCTTTTTTTTCAAAGGAGCGCTTACTGCTTCTATATAGCCTTCTCTTTGATGGCTATTACCCTCATCTTCAGTTTTAAACCCAGATTCTGTGTCTAGCTTCAGTTTCTTTCTTTTAGTTTTACACCAACGTGATTTAACAGCTTTCCTTTTTCTACTGTCCATCGTAATTATCTGCCGTAAAATCAAAAATGTATCAATACAAAATTTCACTGGCTGCATATTGCATACTGTTTCAATAAAGTTGTACTTAACATAGGGTTCATGTAAACTGCAACCAGACTGCTATTGTTGCTATAATTAATTGGCTATATAATAACAAGTTGTAACCAATAAGAGCCACAGTTACTCGGAGCCTGATTGCAGTTTGCACACTTCGTTTAACATATGTCAGCAGATGAACTGGAATCAATATTCAATGTACGTACAGTACACCTACTAATAAGGTGTGGATAGGTGGTCCAAAATATGGCGAAAAACCAACTTTCTTTCGGATCATCTTCCTCATTTGACTTACTGTTGTCCATGACCTAAAACACCTGCACACCAAATTTTGAGACCCAAATCCCATGGAAAATTTACCCACGCTTCGACTGAAAAATTCGGTTATTTCATGATTTTTTGCTATTTTCGATAAATTGCCATCTCCTTTTTCTTGGTATAAAATGTTTCTATTTTTCATAATAAACATTTTTGTAGGACTCTTTATTACTTAATAATACTAGGAGCCCAAACACCAAATTTTGAGACCCAAATCCCATGTGAAATTTACCCATGCTTTGACTGAAAAATTGTGATTTTCACAGTTTTGTCCGATTTTCAATAGATTACTGTCTCCATTTTCCTGGTATAATATGTTTCTATTTTTTCATAATAAATATTTTTGGATGACTCTTTATTACTTCATAATACTAGGAACCCATACACCAAATTTTGAGACCCAAATCCCATGGGAAATTTACCCATGGTTTGACTGAAAAATTGTGATTTTCACATTTTTCCGATTTTCAATAAATTGCTGTCTCCATTTTCCTGGTACGATATGTTTTATAATTAACATTTTTGAGGACTCTTTATTACTTCATAATACTAAACACCCATACACCAAATATCCACCAAATTTTGAGACCCAAATCCAATGAGAACGTTACCCATGCTTTGACTGAAAACTGGTGCTTATGATAGCTTATGATGTCTGTTTTAGGGGCATAATATGTTAATAAACATTATGGTAATTCCTTCTTAATCCAAAGAAACACCTAAATATCAAGACTTTAAGTCTTATTGAAAGGCGACAAATTCAGTAGTTTGGGGAAAATTTAGGATCTTTTACTTGTACATTTATATACTGTGGTTAATATTAAGAAGTGATGACTCGACAGCAACTCAAATGCCTTGAAGATTTGGTCTGTTGGTTTCAGTAGGGATGCATCACAGGACTTTGTTTGGATTTGTGTGAGATGTCATATTCTTTCTCACATCTTTGCAGGGTTAGGTCAAATATCAAATCTGATTTTCTTTGGAGAAATGATTTTTTGATTGATCAATGTATCAATGGCATGGTCTCTGTTGTAACCAGTAAGCCTGTACCAAATCTTCAAGGGATTCGAGCTTCCACTGAGCTTTGTCATTTCTCTGAAAATGTTCATGTCCTGAAAGTACACAATGTAGAAGATAGGAAGAGCAATGAGAAACACTTAAGGTAATTCTGTATGTTCAGAAATTTTAAGTGGAGTCCAATGTTATTTCTGGAACTCATTCCATACTTGGTCAGCTCTTTCAATTTTACACTGAGTTCAAATATGTATTTAGATTATTAGTTGATGGTTAGTAATTTTCTATAATGTACTATGTGCTATGTTTATACACTGTTTGTGCATCTGAATGGAATGAGTTATGTGTTCCTGAAAAAACACGGGGCTCCAATTAGGAAGCCATTAAAACTGAAAATAAGGAATGACCTTAAAGTACTATATAACCATCTTTCACGATGTAACGTATGTAAGGCCAAACAGGATAATTAAGACAACGTGTAATACAATTTATTACAAATTGCACATCACACAACAAAGATATGGTGCTCTTAACGACACAAATCAAAAGTATATGATCAAAGCAAACGTGAATTTCCCATGGGGTTGAGGTCTAAACATTTGGTACATATTAAATGTATGGGTTCCTAGTATTAAGAACGTATTAATGTCCTCCTAAAATGTTTAAAAACTAAATATAAGATTAATGTTGATCTATTGAAAATTGGAGAAAATTTGCAGAAAATCACAAATTTTGGTTGAAGCATGAATTAATTTCTCATGGGGCCAGGGTCTCAAAATTTGGTGCATATTTGGGGTATGGGTTCCTCGTATTATGAAGTAATAAAGAGTCCTCCCAAAATATTTATTATAAAAAATAGAAACATATAATACAAGGAAAATAGAGATGTATTGTATTGTATATGAAATAACCCAATTTTTCAGTCGAAGCGTGGGTAAATTTCCCATGGGATTTGGGTCTCAAAATTTGATGTATGGGTTCCTAAGTATTATGAAGTAATAAAGAGTCATCCAAAAATATTTATTATGAAAAGACATCTACCATTTTATACCAGGAACATGGAGATGGCAATTTATCGAAAATAGCAAAAAATCATGAAATAACCGAATTTTTCAGTCGAAGCGTGGGTAAATTTCCCATGGGATTTGGGTCTCAACATTTGGTGTATGGGTTCCTAGTATTATGAAGTAATAAAGAGTCCTACAAAAATGTTTATTATGAAAAAATAGAAACATATTATACCAGGAAAAGGGAGATGACAATTTATCGAAAATAGCAAAAAATCATGAAATAACCGAATTTTTCAGTCGAAGCGTGGGTAAATTTCCCATGTGATTTGGGTCTTAAAATTTGGTGTGCAGGTGTTTTAGGTCATGGACAACAGTAAGTGAAATGAGGAAGATGATCTGAAACAAAGTTGGTTTTTCGCCATATTTTGGACCACCCTTACTGTGGAACTGTTACAAAGAAACAGTGGAGCTTCGTGTCAAATTGTGTTGATCGTCAAATGGGATGGAATATTATATGAACGAACAAAAGGATATTATCTTTAACATTCATGGCACAATTCCAATTATATGTGGTAGCTGGGGGAACTAATACAAACACGAGTTTTACCAAAACAACTGGCCACGAGAGATTTTCGAATGATAATTCCCGACTGTGCGCCCGTTTATGAAGAAACTTGAGGTAAGCTGGCGTGGGACATGGGTGAAAATGGTAGATAAATATGTGATTCAACTTATTAGACCATAAACAGATCGGATAATTATTGTGAATTTCGATTTAGATGCAGTTCTATGACCTACCTGTCCGTGATTTCTACTCGAAGGCGCGGTAACCTCTACGGAAAACGGCGGTATGAACGGGAAGGGGCGAATTTTCGCTCATTTTTAGATCTTTCTGAAGTATAGCTTTATTATACTCAAATGAAAGGCAATTAAGAGTAGATTGCAAATATTGTATCTTTTTTCTGATTCGAGCCTCGTAAAATTCAAAATGGCCGTCTAATGTACGATTTCGCAATAACTTTTCGATCCCTTCAACGTATGGCTATATAATACTAAAATTGAAGGAATTTTGGAGTAGATCACAATACACTGTATTATTTTTCAGATTTGTACCTCAGAAAATTCAAAATGGCTGCTTTGCAGGAATTTGCAATTCTAAAATCTAAATTTTTCAATTTTAACCAAAGTAATGAGTATAATTGATTGGAATTCGGTAATTGATATTTTGTTCGTTGGGATTTGCTACTCCGCGGAGTTGCCATTATCTAGTTTTCCTTGTTAGGGCATGGTCTACATTGCCTAACAACATTGGTGTATATAGACGTAACCTACATACGAGCATACAAAGCCAATTAAGCATAGGAAACCACCTCATATGTTCTACTCAAGGCATAATAATGTATTTTGTATTTGAATTTGCGGTTAAGCAAAAAATTGATGGACAGTTACACGAACCTCATTCATATATGAAACCCTGATTCATTTCACATCGCTTGTGATCCAAAATTGAAATGTTGCTAGATATTTTTCAACCAGATTTGAGTTTTGTAAGCCATTATGTAGGATGAAATCATTCTCTCAAAATAGTGACATAAACAGCTGAATATGATTTGTTTTTGTAATTTTAGTTCCAGTGCGACGTGTGCCTGAAGTCATACACAACAAAAAACGGATTGAAATTGCATAAATTGCAAACTCATTTAGGACAGCCAAAGTTTGTATGTGAAATTTGTGACAAAGGATTTTCTAGGAAAATAGATGTAGAAAGACATGCACATGTACACAGTGGGGAAAAGCCACATAAATGTCAACAATGCAACAAAGCATTTGCTACCACTGGGAGTCGAACACGCCATTTGGAAGTTTGTAAAAAGTCGCCAAAAAATTTTTCATGTGAATTCTGTGGCAAAAAATTTAAGGCAAAGCGATATTTGAAAGAACATGTGATTTTCCACATGGATCCTCAGAAATACATCTGTCCAAACTGCGGTGAAAAGTTTAACTTTCGGCAGACTTTATATGCACATTTGAAGAAACATTAACATCAACCTGACATTTTTCTCATCATATTGTACATGTATTATATCAAATGACATGATACATTTATGGAAATAAAGAATTTTTATAACATTTTAATCACATCTTTTACTTTCTTCTTTAATATACATTCTTTTAAGTATAGAAATGCCCATTCATGAGACAAGTCTGCGTCTTAGTGACAGTGAATTCTAAAGCAATTTAATTTTTGCACGTTTCTCAGGTAAGATTTTTGAAAAACTGCCTGATTGGTAGGGACCCTCTGGTGGGCTTTGTATAAAAAACCTCATACCCACCTACCCACGTACGTTGGACATGATACAGTCTTTGAAGGGTTCAATTTTAAAGATCTTTATTAAATCTTAGTTTATTAAATCTTAGTTTATGATGAATTATAGATGCATTTGTAACGACCCTTGTGGCAAGTTGCTCCTACATCCCAGCTGGGTTCGATTCCCACTCGGGGTATCGAATTTAGCACACTTTCTTTCAATTTCTTTATCTGGTTTGTTGGACCTATGCTCGCGGTCGTTAGTTATGTATTCCCCTGGGGCGCCCTCGGGTCATTGCACATTAAAAGGCATCCATATGCCTTTGTTCATGGATCTGTCATCTGTCTAGTCATAAATTAAAGCCGGAATTCTAGAAATGTTAATAATTTGAGATATTTTGAGATTTCATAATCTTTAAAATTGAACCCTTCAATGACTGTATCATGTCCCACGTAGGTGGGTAGGTGGGTGTGAGGTAGGAGTTTTTTTATACAAAGCCCCTCTGGTGGGTTTTGTAATGTCCCCTATGTCACCAGGCTTATTATTTCTCTGCTTTCACATGGCCCTTTTAGTCAAAATGGTGTGACCTGAAAAAAGAATACCGTGTTTTTTTTATTATCTCATCGAACGAAGTTTGACTTGAGAAATATCCCTCCGTTTGTTTCTGTAGGCGATCAGTGAAATACGTTTCTGTTAACATTTCCGGCCGTGGAACTTTTCATGAAAATGAGAGCTTATACAACTAACATATTAACATTATATTATTCTATTCAAATAATATAGCCTTATTAAATATATGTTTCTTGTTGAACCAAGAGGAACATATTAAACCCCTAGCCACGACTTACACATTCTATCAACAAGTTACTTGATGTCCAAAGTATCTGTTTTGATTTAATTCCATTATCAGATAATAGTGTTTGTCACAATGGCAACTGGTAGGAAAGGAAGAAACAAAATGGGTCATAATAACAGAAATGTAATGGGGTTATATCTCAGGACATCTGATCGTGTTAATAAATAGAATGGTGAATGGTTCAATGCAAGATTCCAGATTAAGACTTTTTATCATAAATAATTGTTGAACAATCAACTAGAAATGAATTTCTATCAAGATATTGTGTAAAAAGTTGAGCTCAAAAGTGACAATTCTAAAAATAATGAAAATGACTAAGATTTTGAGCTTGACCTTTGTCCCTCAAAACTTTGAGTTTGACTTTTTAAGGTCATCTTTTATTGATTCAACTTATTTTTTGTGACACTTTGGATCAATATCATTTTCTATTTCTTTAGCTAGTTACCTTACCTCAATGTAGCATGTGCAAGATTTTTGGCTTTCAACCAGGTCGCTTTTGAGTATATCGACTGCTAAGTCAACAGAGTAATATGTTTTGTGCTCGGGGTGAGTCAATATTGTTATTCGCTGAGCTTCAATGGTGAAATAGTGAAGTCCATGTTCAAAGTTATATGATGGTTGAAGGAAGAATATGAATAATATCGTTTCAAATTTTAAAATATTTGATATGTCATAAAACAGGGTACAATGTTTCAAAAGTTGATCAATACAGGGAGCGAAGAATGTAAATTGTTCAATAGAACAAGATACATGAAAGTAAGCTGATATACACAGACATATTTGATGCTTACCATTGAAAAACCAAAAATACTGAGATCTTTCAGTTACATACTAGAATTTGATATGCTAATAGTACAATAAAGTCATTTCACTATATTGTCCACTACAACCGTTAATGCCCAGGCCTGAAATAGCAAGAACTAAACGAGAATCTTACGCACTGAACGATATCTTATTTCTCGGGAAAATTGCCGGGCATTAATGCATTATTGACCAGTCACTATGGCCCGCCACTATGACGTCACGTATTGCTCAGGTTGATATCGTAAAAAATGCCTTCTAAACTAGCACTAAAACCCCCAGAACAGGCTCGGAAAGGTGGTAATAATAGACAGTTGTGCAAATTTGTGAAGCAGAAAATGAAAATGGTCTTATTTTAATTCTCAGATGAGTTCAGTAAAGACATACATGTGCACAGAGGACGGATGTTTGTTCAAGAGTGTGCGCAAATGGAACCTTAATGAACATAAAAAGAACGTACATAGCAACCCAGCAGATAGACCATTGTGTGGCATGTGTGGAAGAGATTTCAAAAACAAGGTAATAAGATTATATATATTCTTGATTGTAATTTTTATGGATCAGTATACGCTCCTTACCCTCTGACATAATGCAATATATACAGGGTGTCAAATGCCATCCTCTACCAGTCTACCCTCTGTATTCAAAATATCGGCATAGGTAACTAAGTGTACTCGTACAACTTATTACTATTATTTTTCTTGGATTTTCAAAAACTGAGTGTCATCGCACTTTTTTATTCAACACTTTTTTTAGACAGAATTAAATCATCTTTCTCATGATACACAGCATAGTCGGGTACATGACCAATTTAAAGTTTTGTCAGTTTATTTTAGCCGGATGTTGTAATGAATATATATATTTATATTGCTTTCTTCTTGGTTTCAGAAAGGCTTAACACAACATCTGAAATATGGCCATAACAACAGGTTGATGTGTAGTGAATGCCCAAAGACCTTTGGTTCACAATCTGGATTAGATGACCATTTCACCAGGCATCACAAAGGTGAAGGAAAGGTCTTCAACTGTAATGAAGAAGGATGTGCGCAATCCTTTCTTCGAAGGACTGCACTGGAAAGCCATATTAATAGTTGTCATAGAAAATACTTCCCGTTTGCCTGTCCCAAACTTTCATGTAAAAGAAAATTCCCATCTCAGACAAAATTGAATGCTCACAAAATCCAATGTGGAAAAAAATGTTTGGTAGGCTGTACAAAGTGCGATAAGAAATTCAATACATATAATGGTATGAATGAGCACCGAAGAGCAATGCATGGGTCTGAGACATACAAATGTGAATGTGGAAAGGTGTATATGTACAGGTCTGGTCTAGCAGTACATCTTAAGACATTCAATCATAGAAAGATGTAATATTTATACTAAAATGTGGTATTATTATGTTGTTATACTATGCAAAAGTTTGCACTTCAGTTTTGATGCTTAACCAATTGGAATTGGAGGCCAGTGTGCCACAATTTATAAATGTATTTTTATTTTATATACAGAGGTTATGTAAAATGGAACCTCAAGTTCAGGGAACCAAATACTTTTGCAAAGAGATTGATGTTTCAGAGTTTGATGTTTGTACATGTATGCATGGTATATATTTTGTTTTGATAACCAATATTGGTGACCATGCTTGTGTGCCACATTTTATGAATGTCTTGTCAGTATTATAATTTCTCCTTTTATTTACAGACATTGTGCAAAATGGTATTTCAAGTTCAGGGAACAAACTATTTTTGCAGTGGCTGACACATCAGAGTATGATGTTTGTATACATGTAACATAATTTTAGTTTTGATGCTTACTAGTATTAGCCCATTGGAATTGATGACAAGGCCTCAATTTATCAATGTCTAGTCAGTATTATCATTTTCATTTGATACACAGAAGTTATGTTATGTAAATGGAAACTAAAATTCAGAGAACCAAATATTTTTGCAGTGACTGACACATCAGAGTTCAATGTTTGTACATGTTATACTTGACTGGTATGCACTTCGAGTTTCCTTTTTCTTGCTAAGTTCCATTACAACTTTTGGTCCTTTCCCTTTGGCACTAGTGCTTATATATTTACTTATTTTGCTGGTTTAAAGGTCAACTTTGAGATATGCTATTTTTGTCAAAATTTTACATTTTCTAATCCAAGAAATGAAAGCAATTGGCTTAATTTTGACTGTGATTTTGACATGTGTGGAAATAAAAATATTTTAATGAATTCTCAATTCTGGCAATTACATAAAAATCTTGAAATAAATCCCCATATGGGCATTTTGAGGGGGGCTAAATATTTTTGTTTCAAAAATGAATGTTCTTGTTGCCTTTTGAGACTCTAACAGTATCCTAAGCATGTTATAAGAGTTGGGATGTGATTATTATTTTAAATGTCCATGGGCAATTAGGATAAAATGACTGCAATTAAATGCACACAAGGGCACTTTAATGAGAATTACTTCTCTTATTTCAATTGCTTCTCACCGGTTTTCTAAACATAAAGTGATTTCTACTTATTCCAATTTAGAAAAACACTTAGGCCATTCAAAGATTTTTATAATTAGTGTCACTAAATACTTTGTTTTCAGAAAAAATAAAATGTTCCCATGTACTCTGTACTTGTAATGCATATAAATGACAAATGTGATCTTGAACTATATTGTAGTGAAATGAGTTCCTAAAGATTGATTCAAAACTATATGTATATACACTTCAGTATTGTCTTTATTAACAAGGTAATCTGAATCAAGAGGTGTATTACTTGCTTTGCCAGAATGTGTTATTGCATTTCACTCTTAAACAATACAGGGTGGGCCAAAATATTTTGCAACCTTTTTAGAAGGCAAAAAAAAGTATCATAACATTATGGTAGTGACATGAAATTTTTTTTACAGAAACTTAGGATAGGCATATTTTACCATTCAAATACTTAAGCTAATACTGACTACAATTTTTTTTGTCAGATGTCTGAATATTAATGGTAAATTGTTCATGTGTCCGAGATTTACCGATTTTCCTAGAAAATGTGATTTTCTATAATTTTATGTGATCATCAATAGAACATTTATTATATTCACTAAATCTGCTGCAATCTTTGTTAAGTGGTGTAATGGGCGGCTATTCATCAGGACTAATGAATCAAGGGGTATTTTGCTCCAGATATTCCATAGTGACTTTTGGCTTATGGTCATGAGCGCTATCCTGCTGGAATATGTAATCACTTGGGACTGAAAGAGCCCCCATTCTTGAAAGATGTCCCTTTTGAAGAAGATTAGTCCTGAGTCGAAACTGTACATACAGTAATGTAAAGTACATGTATGCCCAGTTTAGCAGCCATATTGTAAACATAAACCAGTCAGCCTTTCATAACATTCCATTTTCATCACATAAGTTAAGTTTTAGTGGTTAACTCCCACAATGATGATATTTGCAGAGAAGCTACTTTACTGTCTCTGCATTATACATTTTCAATATCTTTTTTATGGGTGTGTGGGCTGACGGTTAAATGTTCAATGAAAGGGAATGAGCACCGTGCTAAAACTTGATAGCAAAGTGAACAAAAAATGTGACAATGTTTTCCCGATTTGCATATGTAAACTTCATACATAGCTGGATTTTGTCAATGTTCTATTCTGAATACTTGTATGCCATATGTTCCATATAATAAATTCTATATAATGTAGTTTTGATATTATTTTGATTGTAAACATAGTGTGTACCCATATTATGACAGCCTTGTGATAGAGGTTCTTTCTTACTGCCAATATTTCAAAGAAACTGAAAACTTATGCCACTTTTCGAAGTTGCACATCTCAAGAAAAATTCTACAACTTGGTTTCAAAAGTAAATTGAAGAATGATGTTTTTGGAAAAAGTCCAAGTGGACCAATAGTCTGTTAAATGGACCTGTTCTTTATTGTATATTGTACATATCATAGCAAATGAGACCAATACCTTTAACTTTATCAAATTATACTTTAACTTAGTGCAATTTAGTTTCGCGATTGCGGTAAAATCACGATAATTATCCTCGCGAAATTGTCAATTAAATCCCCAGTGATTAGTGAAACTATTTATTACCTGGTTATTACCTGGGATTCCATTGCAATTCGTGTTTTTGTAAAATGCTTGTCAAGTGTTTTTGGCTATTAATTGGATAGTAAGTAGCAATGCCTGTTACAGTGGCTTATTAGGTCAAATAAACCACAAAATGACGATGAGGTTAATAGAGGTTAAGGTGCAGCGAGTCCTTGACCAAGATGACATAGTATTAGGTGTACTTCGTGAAATTCACGAAATTTGAATAGCCGCAAAATTGTGTTATTTCAAAGTTCTTAAAAATAACTGGGAGTACAGTATACTCTAATTTCAATCACTTAAACTGGAGTCACTCAAATCGACACATGCTCTTTTATGGTATAATATCTTCTCCTGTGCCCTCAGACAGTTCTGATAGGTTCACAACCTGCTGCCAAATCATGAATTCCTCTCAATGATGCACCCTTATATTTGCATTCCTCAGTAGCTTCTTTTAATGTAATGTAATGTGTGTCCCTTTTAACTGATATCTTATGATAGGAATCTCTGTTCTCTTAGATTTGCATTCACCATGTTTGCTTCTTGATGCAACTGTAGCACCGGAAGCTTACGACGTTATACAAGTATTTTCGGCGGGAGATTTTTAAGTACTCATTTGTCTCGATGTTTTGACAGAATATGGTTCTTTCTTTTTTATAGAAACATTGACCATACCATGCAGATATACCTCTAGTATCACTACGTCTCAACATTACACTGTACTTCTGAACACGGTATAAACAGGCCTGTCAACTGTCCCGCAATTTGCGTATTTGTCACGCATTTGCTGAAGAATTTGAAGTCACGCCAGTTTTTTTTGCGTGACAGAGAATGTCACGCAAAATACGCATTTTACCTGGTAATTGTCAAGCAAAAATATTTCTGTAGAAATTTTTTCGAAATATGTTTACGATACGGTAAAAATACGAACGCCGGGAAAAACCGAACGCAATTTGTTCGAATTTGTCACGCGAATCCCGTATGTGTCACGCATGTTCATTGGAAATTTTTCGTACCTACCCCCCCCCCCCCCCCCCCCCCCCCCCCCCCCCCCCATGTTGACGACATCGCGAGCGTAGCGAGCGCGAAAAATTTGAGGTGTTCAAAGTTTGGCAAAGGTGCTCAAACTTTGGCCAAAGGTGTTTAAAAGTTGGCCAAAGGTGTTCAAAATTTGGACAAAAGTGTTCAGATTTGGACTTAGGTGTCCAACATTTTGAAGTCACTCATATTAGGTGGTCCCAAGTTGACAGCCCTGGTATAAAGCCTCTCAAACCTTCTAGAAAGCACAACAGTTTTCAAGAAATTGTCATGCTTTCTGGAAGATCTATGAAGTTTTAGGCCGTATTCGTACAAAATGTCGAGACATAGTGATACTAGAGGTATATCTGCATGGTATGGTCAATGTTTCTACGAAAGGGAAAGGACCATATTATGTCAAAACGTCGAAATAAATGAGTACTTATATTAACAAATCTCCTGTGGAAAATACTGGGTATAATGTCGTAAACTTCCGGTGCTACGACGTATAAGGGAATGGGGTGTGATTGTGACCTCTTGTTTGAAAAGAACACCTATAACAACGTGCTCGGAAATGGTATCCTGTATTCCTGTGCCAAATTTCAAAGAAAATGAACAAACATAAAAGAAAAGAAAAATGTAGCGAATATACTGATTTGCATTTGACTACGTTGCAATTCTTTTTAGATGGATCTTGTTATCATACAAGGAGTGAAGAGAGCTGCCCCACGACGTCACATATGTGAAGAATGCGGCAACCTTTTCAATAGCAAATCTGCGCTAAATACACACTGTAAAGAACAACATGGACAGGGAGTAATGTGCAGCTTCAAGGTAAATGTTTTATATGAGCTAAACGGTTCTAAAACAGACAACATCACATTCATAAATTGAAAAACCAGGGTTATGGTAACTTCATCAGCCTGCAGGATTTCTATTTTACAGGGCTGTGAGAAGGTGCTAGCATCCAGTTCAAGACTCCATAGACATGAGCGTATCCACACCAGGGGAGAAAGAATATTGTGTGATGCCTGCACTAAAAGTTTCTGTAGTAAAGCTACACTTTTGAACCATCTAAAGACATGTAGGGGGATTCCAACATCACCAGGAAGATTTGAATGCCCCGAGTGCAAAAAGCGATACATTAGAAAGGCTGATAAAAACCGCCACATAAGAGTAGAGCACGAGGGATCTTATATTAGCTGTATAATTGAAGGATGTATTGAAACATTTAAATGGAGAAAGAACTTTTTACAGCATATGGCCAAGAGTCATGGAATTAATGATAATTGAATATATAATAAATTAGACCAATGATATATTTTGTATATTCATTGTTTTATTTTTTTTTATTCTATTCTGTATTCACTGTTATAATCTGGCCAATTGTTCATCTGTAAAAAGATCATTATGATAAAAGTATAATTTAGAAAATTGCATAATATCACTGTCAATCCAAATGTTACATTACATATTGGAATCACATTATACATATGTATATGTATAATGTGATTCCAATATGTTTAGTGTACGAGAAGTTGTTCAAATATCTTCTCTACAAACAGGAATGTAGTAGCTGAAACGGTCCTATATTATTGTTGTACTACAGTATATATATCGACTATGTATGCAAGATTCAGTTTTGTTAAAAAAAATTCAGTTAAACTAAAAAGAAAAAAATGCAGTACATCCTACATGCATTATACCACCGGGAGCACCCCCCCCCTTAAATTTTTTTCTGAAATCCGATAAAATACCTGTTATATTGTTAAAATTTCTCAGAAAATTTCTCCAGAAGCCTTTCTCTATGAAGTCATTCATATTTTAATTGTATGAAAATGCTCAGATTGCCCTAAAATAAAGCGATTCACTTTTTTGGGACACCCAATATCACGGGCAGATTTGTCCGCTGTGACGGAGCATGCTATTTTTCATAAGAACACTAAGACAACTTCACAAATTGTTTTTTAACTTATATGTTTCGTTAAATCAAAGAAAATTACCCCATGCAAAGGATGTATCATTTGTGGGTAACCTTCACTTCTGTTTGAAGTCCAATAACGTTAGAAGTAAAAGCTATTGAACACGAATCCAGAGTATCATACTATAAACTGTAATTTATTTCTTTAATTTAAAGTTGTATTCAAACCATTTTACTCTATTTAGAAATTTATATGCTATCTTACCATATGAAGGCCACACTTTGCGATAGTGAACCATCAACAATTCCAAAAGTTCATTTTATCATGATATCTGGGATATAAATCAGCATGTGTCTGTTTTCGCAGCAAAACTGATTTCATTTTCAGAGCAGAAATTTTACGTCATATGACATGACGTGTGTGGTTGAAACAATTTGCCACGAAATACAATTTTGAATATAAAAATTAAACCCAATCAAGCTGAAAGGCTATTGAAAGCAAGTAAGTTATACGAGGGTTGATCCAAAAGTTCTGAACTGTTTGCTCTAAAAATTTTAATATTTTATGAATATTGTTCATATTTGGCTGTGATATCATACATGCTATAGTTGGCAGCTGTGATGTCATTGACCAAAAGAATGCCTTGCTCCAAAAATCCAGTTCAATTTCGAGAATGCACATTTCCATACAATACTTACTCAAACGTCAATGAAAATATGCACATGCCTTAGCTTACCCTTGCATCCTTTCACTATATCTGCCTCCCTCTGACTTTTATCTGAAGGATAAATTACGGTCTTTGATTAAGGGGTCAGCAGATATAAGTGTATATAAGGGGATAAGAGACTATTTTGCAAAATTAAATGAAAAACTAACAATGAAATATGGTCACATTGAAAAAATAATTGATTAATAGGCATGACTGACACATTTGAAATTTGGTACCCTGTAACACTCTTTAAGAGCCATCTTTTTCCACCTCTACAATGTGTCTTACTCTTGCTTCACATACCCTGTTGTCATGTTACTATGGTAACCAGACAGCTATGTTGCTGGTCAAATTTATTGCTTATTATTACACAAAATGAAACTACTATATATGGGGTGGTTGTGGCCAAATATGAACAAAATTCATAAAATATTAAGATTTTTAGAGCAAACGGTTCGGAACTTTTGGATCAACCCTCGTATAACAGCAAACATTGCCACTTCATATACATCACGCCTAACCATCAACAATGTACAGTGACAAAAATATACCGTCGTACACTTTAGGTGTATGGTGTCACTATTAACTGATTTGAAACAAAAACTATGATGCAGGTGTGATGTAGGTTTTAATAAATTAATCTTGGGAATACTTGAAAGATTTCATGTTTAATTTCGTGTGTATTCGCTTTGGAAGGCTTTTAGCTTTCTTGTTACGTTAAAAATTTTCGAGCAATGATTTTTTTTTCAATTCAGATTTATCGTTTACCCACAAAAATTGATCAGTTGGAAAATGTTGGGTTTTTCACATTTCCTTTGATCCCTTTTCCCCCTGTCGCCTAAGAGTGTTGATTTTTTATTATGATCATTGTTGGTGGGTAGATTCACTACGAAAAAAATCGAGCACTGCTTGAAAATCTTTCAACGTAATCAGAAAGCAGTCTTCCAAATAGAATACACACGGAATCAAACATGAAATTCTTTATGTATTCCTCAGATTCATTTTTAAAACCTTCATCACACCTAGATCATAGTTTTTGCTTTTTGTCACTGTACATTGTCGATAGTTAGGCGTGTACATATACATACAAGTATTTAGGGATATGTACTATAAGAGAACACCTCAAAATGTACAAATCAAGCTTTTCATAGATATTTGATGAGAAATCACAATCACTACAGGGTGTCCCGAAAGTATAGCCCCCCCCCCCCCCCCCCCCCTAGGCAGACATATACCAGTGTCATCATAGTATTTGTCATATATCATTTTAAAGCTTATCCAAAGTTACATTGATTTACCAAGTATCATGGTCACGGGGTACCATCGAATAATTTTGGCAACGTACCGGAGAACGACATTTTACTAAGAAATGGCAATAATTTAGCACAATACATTTTTTAACTAGAGTTCTACTTTGATTTTGACAAAAGTAAGTATTCCATTCCATATAATTAAAAAATAAAATATATGATTTAAAGCATATATATTAATAAATACGCATTCGAACAATCCCGTATGTTTTTAAATTAGTATATGTGCTTTAAATCATATATTTTAATTTTTTTGATTAAATAATTCAACTGATCTGCTCCGGTTACGTTCCCAGCTCCGGTTACGTTCCTAAGTAATATTTTTAAAACTTTTTTTTTAATTAAACAAATCAGAGTCGTGTGAATCAGAAATAACAGAATTATTCAAAAGTATAAGGACTATTCTGTACTTTTTTCAAAAGTCTATACTTAAATGTTGTGAAAAGTTATAAGCGAAAAACCATCTTTCGGAGTAAAGTCCGTCTGCGCCGATTTCAATAACTTCGTACTCCAACAGAATTCCTACAAACTCATGAATGAAATAGTTATTGCATGGAATACTTACTTTTGTCAAAATCAAAATAGAACTCTAGTTAAAAAATATATTGTGCTAAATTATTGCCATTTCTTAGTAAAATGTCGTTCTCCTGTACGTTGCCAAAATTATTCGATGGTACCCCGTGATGGTTCAACTCTCAAATGTGAAAAAATTACAGGCATTTCAAAATTTAGTGTTTGGTCAAAATTAAGTTCAATTTTACACCAAATCAATAGTCAATGTGTCCTCCCGGGCAATCTTAACAGCAGCAATTATTTTCGGGTCGGATGGATATTGAGTTGGAAAAAGAGAACGGTGAGGGTAGAAACTCTATGGAAACTCTTCTAAAGTCCCTGAACAGGTTTTAAGAGGGTTATAAAGTTCCACACTCCTATTTGAAGGACTTTTAAGGTCATATCTGAAAATAATTGCCGCTGTTAACATGGCCAAGGGGGGACACATTGACTAGTAATGTGGTGTAAAATTGAACTTTATTTTGACAAAACACTAACTTTTAAAATGACTGTAACTTTTTCCCATTTGGGAGCTAAACCATGATACTTGGCAAATCAATGTAACTTTGGACAAGCTTTAAAATGATATATGACACATACTATGAGGACACTGGAATATGTCTGCCTAGGGGGGCCCCATACTTTCGGGACACCCTGTATAGTTTTAGAATCTGATTTGTGATTCATGACAAGATCCATTTCCTCTGTGAAATGTTAGGGACTGCTACAGATCTCTTCACTCCTATCCTTTTATAGTATTTATGGACATTGATAATGTTAGGTTTTCTATCAATGGATAGCATTTTTGCCTTCATTGTTAAGGAAGAACTTCAATGTCGGCCAACTTTTTTCTACGATTCAGATTTTCTTGAAAAAATCAAGGTGAAAGATATACTGATGCATTACAAAATATGTGAAAGATTGACTGTTTATGTTTATCTGAAAAAATATTCATTAAACAGTTTACATTTTTTCAAAAAAATTGATTCTATGACAATAGGCGGACAATACAAAAGTGTTTAAAATAAATTGTTCAATACCACTTGCTCCGGGAAAGAAAGCTGATGTACAGAATTATTTGATGGTTTTATACCAAAACTAATACTTTGAGAATTCAGTAATACACTTATAGAATTATGTGTTTTGTTCAATAGTGCAATGGTACATTTGTGAACTGGTAAATGGAAATAGTCTAATTTTTTATTTTAAGATGAGTACAGTAAGAACATACATATGCCCAGAAGATGGATGCTTGTTCAGGAGTACACGCAAGTGGAACCTTCAAGAACATCAAAAGAATGTGCATAGCAACCCAGCAGAGAGACCATTGTGTGACACATGTGGTAGACATTTCAAAAACAAGGTAGCAAAGGTTGTATACAGTATATTCTGTAACTAACAGATCTATGTACCCTCCTCAACACTCAGGGTCCCACGATACACTCCTTTGAATGTCAATACGAGCAAAGATATTTGCCTCACGATAGAGCAATAGAAATATGGTAAATGAAGTTCATGAAAATGTTCACAAAAAAGATGAATATCAAAACTGTTCAGGCTTTCAGGATTTGTATAGCGATTTTGTTCATATTTGGTATGTGAATACAAATAGGCATGGCACACTGTTTAATGACACTTTTGGAGCAAATGGGCGCCATTTTAACATTTTTTACTATATCTCTGAAAGGAATGGAGCGATTCTATTCATATATTTGATGTTGTGAATACTATAAGCATGGCATACTCCATGTCTAATGGCACTGGGGAGTAGGCGGTCATTTTGAAAAATGGCCACCATTTTTACATGTGTTATTTTACGATGTTTAGTATGATATAGCAGTTTCGTTCACATTTTGATATTTGAATACTCATAAGCATGGAGCACTGTCTTATGACATTTTGGCTGGTGGCCATTTACATGTATGCTGTGTGCGATTTTGTTGAAATTTTATATCCTACTGAGAAGCATTTTACACTTTCTGATGACAATTTGGCTAGTGAGCAACCATTTTGATAATCCTGGCCATTTTGGGGTCTCATTTTATGATTTTTGCTACATACTTTGTTTGTAAAATGCCAGCCAAATGAAATATACTTTTGAATGAAAGTACCTCAAATAAAATATTATCACATTTAAAAAACAAAAACAAAAAAAACATTTAAGTTATCAATAGAGAAGCAGTTTTTTAAAATGACAATGAAAGAAAGGCCTTTTTGATGATGTTTTCAACATTTACTAATGGCCACTAATACTTTTAAGATATTGTGACTGTTTTTTCAAGTTCAAGATACGATACAATTAGTTTTCAATATTCAAGTTGAATATCGAAGCTCATATCATGACCAATTGCTTGAGCACTCGAGCAATCGCGGGACCCCTACTCAACACCCCCGACATAATACAATATATACAGGGTCTTTAAAGATTCTCGCAATCTTTATCCAATCAGCGTTTGCGATGTGTATCGGCTCACGTATAAAAGGCGAATCCAACTCAAATCCATGCAGGGGTGTATGAGGTACTCAAATAGGAAAGAGCTCGGAAATCTGAATTTATATACACATGGTCAATGTTTACACATGTTTGGAGTTATTGAAGAAAATGTGATATGGGTGTGGTTCCGAATTTGAAGTCATTGCTGGAAAATATAATTTTAATACGTGAAATTATATCTATAAATACAGCACTAAAAATAACAGTTCACATGAAGTACATGTATGATCGTGTCCAGAAATGTTTGAAACCCTTACGGAAAATTCTGTCCGCATTTTGTCACCATTGCTCTTTCTTCCCGCATTCTAGTGCTGTTTGAATGAATATATTAATTAATGTATTTCTAACTAAAATATATCACATTTTTTTATAAACCACAAACATTTAGATCATAAAAAAAATTATTCAATACTTGAGTGAGCATGATATGCAAGGGTTACTAAGTTGACACAGTAAATGACCACTGATATTGTGTTAGTCCATGCACACAGCGTATTCTGCTAATACATATTTGCTAACACCCCTCACTTTCATAGTGAAGTGACTAATTGGTTTATGTTTACGTTTTAATGTGTTTTGTGTTCCTTGTTGCAGCAAGGGGGGCCAGTAAAGTAGACTAACATGTTTGCATGGCAAGTTTTGATCGAATATGTGAGACACTTTAAGACACTACACAGTATATTTGGGTACATATCCAACTAAATGTTAGGGCAGCTAATGTTAGTTCCTTTACTTTATCGATATGGCGAACTGAATTCAACAATGTTTTTCTCTTAAACCAATTATTGAAAACATTCTGTAAAAAAACACGGTTTTTATGTAATGTTGACTGATTGGCAACAATTTAATTCAAACATTATTTTAATATATTTTATATAACTGTTTTTGTTAACATTTTTGTTTTTTAGTGCAATTGTTTTTTGTTCCTTTATACCAATTCTTTCCGAACCTTGTTGGAACAAAATAGCATACACAACATTTTCTTAGACCTCTCAATATTATAGTTATACAGAGGAAACTTTGGTTCATTTAACAAAAAGTATGCAAAATAGATAAAAATTAAGATAAACCTTTTATTTCATTAACAAGATACTTTTTTAAAATCAACCAAACTTTCGTTTGTACAATAACAATATTGAGAGACCTAAACATGTTGTTTTTATGTCATTTTGTTCCAATGAGGTTCGGATAAATGTTACATTTACTTCCGAACATAAGATACCTAGAACGAAAGAAGTGTGTGGTGTGTTTTCTAAAACAAGATAGAATATATATGTATATGTATGTATAATTCAAATTATAATGTTACCATCCAAAAGCTGACCATTAAATTGACGATGTGTAAAATTTTCAGAATGCTTTTATGACTGGTTTAAGAGAAACAGGTGTTCAAAAAGTTCATCATATTGATACCACTCCTTTAAGTGTATATGTATTGCTTTTGTTTTGGTTTCAGAGAGGGTTGATACTGCATTTGAAATATGACCATGAAAACAGGCTGATGTGTAGTGCATGTCCAAAGACATTTGGCACACAATCTGGACTAGATGAACATTTCTCCAGAATTCACAAAGGAGAAGGAAAGATTTTCATATGCAATGAAGATGGCTGTGTGAAGTTCTTTCGTCGAAACCAGGCACTTGAAAGCCATATTAATAGTTGTCATAGAAAATGCTACGAATTTGCCTGTCCTAATCTTTCATGTGAAAGAAAATTCCCATGTCAAAAAAAATTGAATGCTCACAAAGTTGAATGTGGAAAAAAATTCTCAGTAACCTGCACAAAGTGCGATAAGAAATTTAATACATATAATGGTATGAATGACCATCGAAGGGCAATGCATGGGTCTGAGACGTACAGATGTGAATGCGGAAAGGTGTATACATTCAGGTCAGGGTTAGCAGCACATCTTAAGAAATTTAATCATAGAAAGGTGTAGTATTTGTACTAACATGCCGTTTTACTTCACTGTTATACAAACATATGCACCATTCTGCATAATTTAGTCTTGATTCATAGGCACTTTCACTTTAGAAATCGGTGATAGGATGGTGTGCCACAATTTATCAATGTCTCATCAATATTATAATTTCCTTTTATACACAGATCTTCTGCCTTTATTTTATGTTAACTGGAATCTCAAGTTCAGGGAACCTAATGTTTTTGCAATGACTTGCACACACACTTTGATGTTTATACTTGTATAATTATTGTATTTCTATCTACAATAAAATTATGCATATATGACTTGTATATAGATGAGTTTTGTGGGATTCATATTATAGATGGTTAAACTGCTAATATTGTTCACATCATATCATGTCATGTCATATGCAATACTTATGCATCCTATCTCAGTTGTCCAAACAAACTTAAATTCGTAACCAGAATTGGCATATTTATTGAGATATTAATGCTGTTTTTCATTTCGAAAAATGATGTTCTCTTTTAAGCGCTCTAACTCAGTACGATCTCAGTATGATCTCCATTCAGATTTTGAAAATATCCTAGGTTCAGGGCCGATATAAAGATGGCAGCACCAACAGAATCCATTATTATCTTTTTCTTGTACCGTAAAGGGTAGATAAAAAGTAAAAATATATTTCACCCAATCCTTTAACATGTACTAGTATTTGAATGTATGGTTGCCACCTCGAAAAAATATATTTCCTAAGTGACATCTATAATTGAGTAGGGTGAATGTTTATTCTTAATAGGGAATTCGAGGGAGGTAGTCCTTAGCGGAGGGAATGGATAATATTTAACACATCATGAAATTAGGAAATGATTGAAAAAAGTCACCCACCCAACCAAACCATTTCCCGAGGCTGTACAATCTGTACATTCCGGTGGGTTTCACTTAAAAATATTTTTCACCTAATCCTTTAACATGAAATCTACTTGAATGTATGGATGTCACTTGAGAAACATACATTCTGAACTGAATGCTCACTTAGGACTATCAATGATAACTCTAAACATCCACTGATATGCAAAATGGCCAAAATGTCACCACCTGCCATTTCATGTGTTACGGATGCCGATCGTTGTCACAAAAAAGTTGGGGACTAATAAATATTGTGGCAGTGACATAAAAGTATGCCCTTGACAAAATGTGACCAAGTACACATAACTAAACAGGTAATTTTGTAATAAGTGTATTTAGTAGGTTTTCCACTACATTTTTAAGTCACTGTTTCCACTCTTAAAAAAGAAATTAATTCTTTAATTGAGCCTTTCGGATCAAAATCATGAGTCCAAAAACAACTACAGAGTGACCCCAAAAATGCCACCCACTAACTCTGGAATTACCTCTCAATAATTAAGGAATCTACAATTCTACATGTTTTTTGGGTGTAGTGTCCAATGGAAAAAAGATTGTTGTGGCATGCTCTCGGTGCAAAATACAACTTTCTGAAATTGAGATTTCTGTCTTAGCCATTATTTAAGTCATTTTTGGATTGCTTTCATGCATTTTATCAATAAATAATATGACATGTCTATCCATTTTTCTTAAAAAATTTTGTCAAATTTGATGAACTGATTGGATTAATAGGTAAGTTTTAAGAAAGACAGATTTTACAATTTTGACTGATATTGCGTTTGAGCATGCCTCCACGGAAAATGGGATATCTCTTAATTTACAATTTGTTGATGCTATGCAAAAACATAGTAATCTTTACTCCATTGAACACTATCTACACATAAAAAATCATGAAGATTCCTTAATTATTGGCAGAGTTATTCCAAAATTAGTGGGTGGCATGTTTTTGGGTCGCCCTGTACCAATCTGACATTCTCAATATCATCTGCCTGTTGACATAGCTTTACGTTCATTTCGTATTTTAAACCCCATTTAGGCCATTAAAGCTACTTCTGAGGTAGACTGTTTCAATATCATAACTAAAATCATCTGAGGTTCTCAGAGGACAGTATGATACTGCTTGATGATGGCCTTCAGGTGCCTTTATTATCTATCTGATATTTAAACCTACATGAGTGATGTACAATGTATTGTATACTTCAAAGTCCAGTACATGTACACTTCAGTACATGTATTGTTTGGAAGTATAGAATTAAGATCACATTTGAATATCCTATGCTTCGAGATCTCCATTCAAAAATGCTTTGATATATATCAATATAAAAAAATATCTTCATTTCAATGTTGGTCCTTAATCCAATCAAATGTGCTGCTCTTCAATAAATAAATGGAGTTTGATAATATATCTCATTTTTTCTGAGGTGTACTCAGTCCATATTTAGATTTCATAGCGTCAAGTTCATCTTTCTTTTTCTCAGTGTCCATCTTTTTGAAAGCCTGGAAAACAACAAGAGTTACAAAATGTGAGAGGTTGAAAATATGAATATAATAGTAGTAATAAACTAGAGATCTACGATTGCAAGCAATCTCACAGAGGACCCCTAAAGACATGTGTTGAGAGGTTGTCATCAATGTAAAAATAGTTTTACAGAAAAACGGCGTTCTATATTCTAGAATTTGTAGTTGACCAATTTTGAGAAACTTGGATAATACAGTTTGTGATTAAATTTGATGACCTTTGACCATGCAAATTTTATTTTTTTACACCTCAGTAGGCTAAACCCAACAATTCTATTTCTATGGTTGCCAGATTTATCTTCTTTAAGCCCACTAAACTTAGTTTAAATGAAAAAATAAAAAAATAATCATTGAAACATGTTACTCACACACTCGCTCAAATATGAGACAGAGTTTGATTTGCTTTAATATTGAACCAAGAAAAAAAAGCTCACAGAGAAAAAAGCATTTGAAGTTCAGAGATCATTAGTAGTGCATGCACATGATAAACAAAGTGTATGTTTTAAATTACTTCTGATTTAAAAGATGGCGACACTTCTGTAAAATTGAATGTATCCTGAAATACAAACAACTTCAACACCTTTCAATGACATTGATAAAAACTTGATATATAAAGTTTGACAGATCGAAAATATTTTTGATAATTTATTGTAAGCTTTGATGTGGTCTGTTTGAGCTGTTGTTGGTGTCAAATGAAAGATAAGGTTTTTATCCATACATTGGACATTCTATAAAATTCAAATATAAGTCTTTATTTTGCCCAAAAACATTGCAAAGTGGGACTTAAAGGTAGGTGAGTTCTTATTCTTATATTCTGAAGAAATCTTTTTTTGGTGGTGACATAATAAACTGTCACAAATTATATTTCTGAGATGTTATGCGTGAGTTCTGATCAAAGGTTCAAATTGGTCAAATTGTGGAATATATAAGTGGCAAAAAGTCAGATTTCTCAATAGAACAAGGCACAGATGTGAACAATATCGTACCTAAAACACAGCAGTTGTTAACTTTGATACATAGAAACATCCCTGAAAATTTCAGATGAATCCATCAAATGGTTTGGCTGGAAACCTGTAGACAAGTCTTGAAAGTGAAGATTTGAGGACAGAAAATCAAAAATGGCCACCTTAAAATTAACCCAGAATGCCCAAAAACTAATCAGTTGTTAACTTTGATATGTAGAAACATCCCTGTAAATTTCAAATGAATCCGTCAAATGGTTTGGCTGGAAACCTGTAGACAAGTCTTGAAAGTGAAAATTTTAGGACGGAAAATCCAAAATGGCCACCTTAAATTTTACCCAGAATGCCAAAAAACTAATCAGTTCTTAACTTTGATACGTAGAAACATCCCTGAAAATTTCAGATGAATCCATCAAATGGTTTGGCTGGAAACCTGTAGACAAGTCTTGAAAGTGAAGATTTTAGGACGGAAAATCCAAAATGGCCACCTTAAAATTTACCCAGAATGCCCAAAAACTAATCAGTTCTTAACTTTGATACGTAGAAACATTCCTGAAAATTTCAGATGAATCCGTCAAATGGTTTGGCTGGAAACCTGTAGACAAGTCTTGAAAGTGAAGATTTTAGGATGGAAAATCCAAAGTGGCCACCTTAAAATTTACCCAGAATGCCCAAAAACTAATCAGTTCTTAACTTTGATACGTAGAAACATTCCTGAAAATTTCAGATGAATCCGTCAAATGGTTTGGCTGGAAACCTGTAGACAAGCTGAAAAGTGAGACGCCGCCCGCCTGCCCGTCAGATAAAAATATAGGCATGATTGAATTGAAATACTTTTGGATTAAAGATATGATTTCTGCTCTTTACCAAAAGACTTGTCCTTTAATCTCGCCTACCTCCCCCACAAACTAGCCATGTTTATTAGTAATATCAAGCTAGAGTTGATCTGATAGGCAGCATTCGCGTTAACGCAAAAAACTTGCGTATTTACACTGATTTTTGGCCCAGGACCCCGATATTTTAGCTCTATTGCGTCATAGGGAAACCTGCTTACCTTATTTGGCTGGTAGTAAAGCACAACAAGATATCTGTTACACACATTGAAACCCGACAGATGATCACAAGCGTTCTTGGCATCAAAAATGTCTTCATAAACAACAAAAGCTGTGCCTTTGGTCTCTGGTGTTGATCCACTGTAAAATAAAAAAAAACAGACATTATTTGTGCATAAAAACAAAAATAGAAAAGTGCTTATATCAAAATAATTCAATTGTTGTGCATATTTGAATGATATTGTAATATTTTATACTCAAGAATCAAAACAAGTTGTAACCCTATCAAACTTTTAACATATTTGTTACATGGGACACCATATTTTGTGAACCAACCTAATTGTTCTTATAAATAGCAAATATTCTTCCAAATGTGAATGTGTTATAAGAAAGGAGAGAAGGTTAGCACTCCCCTTGATAAGGACGGAAGAAACCCTTGTGGTTTATAACACACATAGGCATTGTCTCTTACTTTGAGACAACCTTATTTTTAAGACGAAACCTTGATCTGGCTTTTTACTTACACTCTTATCTGCCTAATTGCTCCATATTTTCCAAATATATCATACATTTCCTCAGCTGTTATCTTGTATGGAAGATTTCTGATGTATAATATGCGGTTCACCTCTGGTGGTAACCGCACCTGCGAATAAAATCAGTTGTCACATTATCGAGGAATAATTTTCAGCATATTTGTGGGACAAATTACTAGGACTTTATAAGCTAATTGTTTACATCATTTACGTGTAAAAATGTTGCATTAGCCCTAATAAACAAAATATGTTATGAATTACGAAACACATCGTTGAATAATGACGGTAAATTAAACTATTAAAACTTTAAGTGATTAACTTTGATTTTATATGTTATTGTTTTCGTTTGGCCCACGATTATTTCCAAAAGTAAACTAAGAAATACAAATTTCAAATCATAATTCTGGAAAACTGGATGAGAAAGCGCGATTATACGTGATATAAATAGTTGTCTAGTGTCACATAGTTAAATTCAAATGTAAAGCAGTACCGATTGCGGACACAGAAAGGTTATAAATCATCTAAATTACTTACATTTGTTTTCATTCTACTCATAGCCATCTTGAATTAATTTTAGAGACAACCCAAAAGATGGCGCTTTGAATAAACTCAAAACTGTCTTATTCTTTTCGATTTTTTTTATATGTATTAGACGAATATTCAACGTAAAAAGCATTAGTTGGACTATTTTTTAATTTTAATTTAAGATATTTAAATGAAAATCAATACCAAACCAAACGATGATGAAAAGATGTTGGTCTGAGAGTACAAACTTGATGACATCACTTTTGTGGCCATTTTTCTGAAAATCAGGAAGTTACAGATTTTTAAACATTCTTGTCATTACTATACGATTACAACCATTTGACTACTAGAAGACAGTGAATAAAATTACTATGGACTCAAAGACAGACAAACAACTGCTCACAAATCAAGGTTAGTTAACTTTTTTTACCTTCATAGACAGTCTGACCATTTGACTGTACAGTGCTGATACAAATTAATTGATAAGTCGTATAGTTGCCATATTTTCTTGAATTTTAACATTTAATGTCCCAAACTCCCACAAACTGCAGAAAAGTATACACCGTAAATCATATTTACCTAAATGAGTGTCTCCACAGCTTCATACCAGCGTATGCATAATGCATTTGTCACGAGTTTGAGCTGAAATTTTGCTAAAATGAAGTAAGGGTGATCTCCGCCAGGTTTGTTTATTGTCGTTAGCTTTTAATGGTAAGTGCTCAGAAGCAAATAATTCATGGGCGCAAAATAATCAAATAATCTGATCAAGCCAAACAAAAATTTATGTCCGTTTCCGGAACTCGTCTCCGACCGACCCTAGTTTGAACCCTCAACTCTAAGACATTTTTGAGTACACTGAAAAATAAAATATTCTAGTTGAAAGCCCATGATCAAAACAATACATTTCCTTCAGAAATGTTTTACTCACATCAGGCCCAGGTGTCCATATTTCTCATACTCCGGAACATTTGCAGTAATATTATTGTTAGGGCCCCCAAAACACTTGAAACACAGGAAATATTGTTTATTTTCTTGAAAAGTCCGCCATTTTTGCTCTTCAAAATAGAGACCCGCAATCAACTCCCAGAGGGGTCTAGCAATTGCCTTAGATCTAAATGACAAAACAAGAGATGACAAAAAACGTAAGAATGTGTGAATGGAGCCTGATCGTCATAAGGAGGATTGGATCCCAAAATGCAACATGACACGCAACAGCTTTCAAAATGGCAGAATCGCATCACCAGTCATGAGTAAATAAGGTTAACTGATGTTGCATTCTGAAAATCAGTGCACAGTTTTCATGGTGTTGTTGTGAAATGTGCGTATGTCGTTTGAAACCCTCTCTTACGCAATTTTATTATAAACTAACACCTTAGGGTTAAACTATTGCTCGAGGAATTAACTCATTTTCATCAATAAATATTAACCCATCAGGTTTTCTACTAGTAAACTAACGTTTAAACCTCAGTCCATTGTCGTTATCACTTACTACTAATCCCAAGTGAGATATGGCTCTTGCCTCAGCACGAGTCAAAAATGTGTATTTATGTGACATTTTCTGTCACGCAAAAAAATATGCTCGACTTCAATATCTTCAGCAAATATGTGACAAATACGCAAATATCTAGTTGATCGCCAATCATATGGGTTTATAGGCAGAATGTAGAAGTATTTCTTTTTCATCTAGAAATATTGTACCTCTTAAAGTTAGCGATATGGGAATCCCCATAGTAACATCCAGGTCTCGTGCTGCAGTGTATCCGGATGTACCAATAGATAAAGGAATTTTGATGGTTGAAATAAGTTAAATCACATACGATCGGGGATATAACTCACATTAAAGAATCCTTAAACACTCAGGAATTTATCGAGGTAGGCCCGGGAGGGGGGGGGCACTGGTCAACTTTTTGTACAGGGGGGGGGGGGGGGGGCGCTGACTTGCAAAAATGTGAGTAAAAAATGTTAAAAAATGTGTTAACGTCACCTTTGATATACACGCCTAACCATCGACAACGTACAGTGACAAAATAGGCCGTCGTACACTCTAGATGTAATGTGTCACTTTTAACCGATTTGAAGCAAAGACAATGATGTAGGTTTTAAAAAAATTATCTGAGGAATACATTAAGGATTTCATGTTTGATTTTGTGTATATTCGTTTAGGAAGAGACATTTAAAGGAACATTCCTGGCCAAACCTTTTCTATCCTGATGTGATAGCTATAATCATATTTGTAGTTTCCATATTTAGCAAAACACCAGGAAATGTTTAATATAGTCAATATTGATAATTTAAAAATGTAGTGCTCATTTCCAGTAAGCTGCCATCTTTTAAGATTTTACTCAGGAAGTGATGTCATCGACTCTCAACTTTCATGACCTTGCATATAACAGTATAGGGAAGTAGCACAAAATCACTTCTAGACAAGTGGTTCTTACTTTATGTGCAAAAATATTTTCAGAGTTTGTCAGCTTAGAATAATAGAAGAGACTTATAGAAGGATTAAATCATAGACAAAATTGAAAAAGAATGCACAGCTGGTTTTTGTAATTCTTAATAGCTCCTTATAATGTTATATGCAAAGTTGAGAGTCGATGACATCACTTCCCGAGTGAAATACTAAAAGATGGCAGCCTACTGGAAATCAGCACTACATTTTCAAGTGATCAATATTGACTATATTAAAACATTTTTCCCTGTATTGCTAAATATGGAAAGTATATATGGTTATAGCTACCATATTAGGAGAGAAATGGTCTGGCCCGAAATGTTCCTTTAACTTCCTAATAAGTTAATAACGTTAAAGATTTTTGAACAGTGGTCGATTTTTTTCATGGTAAATCTAGCCATATAATTGGTCGGTTGGAAAATGTTGTTTTTTACACATTTCCTTTGATCATTTCCACAATACTGATCAATTGATGGAAAAATGGTGGTTCAGGAGAAACTAAAGTACATTTGGAATTGGTCTTCTCGATCAATTTAAAATAAAAATGTTGAAAAGTAATTATTTCAACCTTGATTTTAAGCTTTCAGATAGGGGCAAAATTGCACTTTATCGCCATTTTAATTGGGAGGATAAGGGTTAAGGTAAATAAATATGTGTGTATTACCAGGAATAACAATACTTTTGCGAATGTTTTTTAAAAAATCATATGCCATTATCTTTGTAAATTATTTCATATTCAAATTCTGTTGTCATTAACTATATCGAAGACACTATATTTTGGCGATTCACGACCCAATTTGATCGGAATTGGGATTTCATATGACACATCATCACAAGAGCATACACAGAATTAGCGACGACAAATTCCCATGAAACGAGGAACAAGTGATTGAAGAGTTGAAGCAACGGTTATGTCCGCCATTTGTGACAACAGTATCTGACTTTACCACTTTACCATTGTCAGGCTATTCTGGTGTGTATATGTTCTCTTGAATATATCAATTATAGATTTTTCTCTTTGGGACAAAATGTCAAGATGAATTTGCTATGGTTATTAGCCACTTGATATTCAAGGTAATCAATAAATTGAATATAGAATGTATGCATCATCATCTCTAACGTTGGAAACCACTGTCTACTCTAGATCCCTATAAAATAATATTGAGAGACATGCAGCCCATTTCTGAACATGGTTGCTTGTTATTTTTGTTAGAATGTATTATTAACGGGTAGTAATATGATTCGACAAATTCCCGAGTTGATATATAATGTTCATGAATTGAAAGAGGCAATTTTCATCATTACTTGGCTATAATCAGCCCTGTCTAGAGAATGGACCATTAGACTTAATTGAGAAAGTAGAGTAAAACCAGTATAAAGTGAACACTAGTGTTATTTGATGGCCAGCAGTTGGGGCTAGCATTTGTAACAAATCGCTCTGGGTCAATACAACCTACTTGACATTTGTTTTGTTCATCCTATTAGCGTATAAGAAAGGCTACACAGGCTGTGACAAATACAGATTCACACATTCAATATGTAATAGTGTTTGTTGGAATTGGCTACTCTGTGGAGTTGTCGTTTTCCAGTTTTGCATTGAATTGTTAATATTATGCACTCTTTTTTAGCCTTAAAATTACTTTTAACCAGCCCTTATTAGGATTTAATTTAAAATATCACTGTTTCAGTAACAGATTTGTGTTATTTATTATGTTCAATAATGCTGTGTTCAAACGTTACAAAAAACGCAAAAGTTGATGGACCTAAAATATCACTGCGTCCTATTTTTATATACCTGTTCGATGGGATTTGCTATGCCTTGGCATTGTTGTTATCTGGTTTTGCTTTAGCTTGATAAACTTAACTCTGTTTATGATTTTTATATATAACTTGAATGTCAATCAAATTTTGACAAAGCAGGAGACCATTTGTGTTTAATTTTTGTGATTAGATGTCACATACATTTATTCTGTACAAATAATGACTGATATGCTTCAAGGGCGTGAGATTTATTTAGAAAGGCACAATATCAGCAGGGTGCAAAAGTCAACATTTTTGTTGTAAATCAAGGAATGGTAGTCTACATGGCGTATAATGAATGGATATAGATGAAGTAATTATCACAAAATGAATTTCTACAATTACTCCCCCCCCCTTCTTTCATATCACTCTCCCTTCGTTCTCTGTGTAATATTGATTATTTCTTAGATCATTTTATTAGTGATTTTTAAAAAATGTTGTTCCTTATTTAACAGATCTCACACCTTAGAATCAGTTTAGAGAAAACAGATTATACCATACCATGCACATATTCATTTAGCGTAAATTTTCCCATGAAAAAATAAATCTTGCAGTTTTGTTTGAATTATGTAGCAGAAATCGTCTCCTCCCCTCCGATTTTTCTGATTATCAGGCGTCATTATAAGGAAACGTGTTGTTTCTAGATAAAATATGCATAATAAAACCTCACATCTTATCTCCGGGTCCTCAGTAAGATATCTATATTTCCCTCAGGATATATCCAAAACCTTCCATTACATAATTCTCGTCAGGCCCGTAACCAGGGGGGGCTCGTGCGAGCCCCCCCCCCAGATATCTCCTAAAATGATGTGGACCTACCTTTTCTGCTTTCTTGAAGAATTTTCTGACATTCCGAGGTAGGAGGTAACATTTGGTGACATATGTACGGTGTATTTTGATGTGATTGCCACTTTCTTTTTATAAAATTCTAAATTGACTAGAATAGCGAGGCAACTAAATGATTCGGAAATTAATCTTATATTTTATCGAATTGCCCAGAATGCACTAAATCAGCCCAAAAATCTTTTTCAGGGGAACATGCCCCTGATTTTGATCCTAGAATCGCTCAGAACGCTCTAAATCAGCCCAAAAATTTTCTGGGGGAGCATGCCCTCTGGCTACATCACTCACAAACTATTATTTTACAGCTCATGATAATTTGGCTCGAATTTTGTTCCATCTAAATCAACTAACTATTCATTTTAACACCATGAGGGAATTACTGGGCCATTTTTCAAAATTTGGGCCCTTATTTTCTTCTGTGCAAGCGCGGAAATGTTTGTGTCCCCTCCCTTGTTTTCGTGGCCACCCCTGGTGTCTTGTTAATAACACCCTTGTGGTCACAATGCGAAGTTGGTTAAACATGAAAACATTTTTGTGTGTGGATGGGGGGAGGGGTTCGAGCCCCCCTAACCAAAACCTGGCTACGGGCATGCTCGTAACATATATATGTGAATGTGTAGAATTTTGGTCTTCTATGGATTACTTCTTCAATTTGTAGTTTACTTGACCGATTTGGTTTGAAGGTATATAAAATAATTGTAATAACACAAGTGCGTTTCTTTAGGAAGCAATCATGGGTTGTTTCATGGTACCTAGTTGCCCATCCTCTTATTAGTAAGAAACTTTTTGATTGTCCCTTGTACATAAATGTTTAATAAAGCTATATTAAGGCATTGAAATTGTACCCCTGTGTAATCCAATGGGAAAGAACCCGGATGTAGACGAAGTTGTACCTTACATGAGAGCTCTTCAAACGAGAGGTAACTAAACTGAACTAAACTAAACCTTATAGCATATTGGAGTATTAAATTAGCGTATCAATAAAAATAAGTTTAAAATGAGACATGTTTAATTTGATGCAGTCAACTCAACTGAATCACATCACACATTTTTTTTACTAAATCACTGGCGGATCTGGGGGGGGGGGGGGGCTGGGGGCTCGGGCCAAATTTTGAAGAAAATGGGCCTCAAAATTTCAAAATTTGGGCCCAATTTGCCCCCACCCCTATTGGTTCCCAGATCCGCCCCTGTAAATGGTTGTGCTTTGATATTTTGCAGCAAAAACACTTAAAGTCCCCGTAAAAAGTTTGAAAATATTTTTTTATCATTCATTTACTATTCGTCAGGACTTAAAAAGTGATTTTAGAGATTTTTGAACAAAAAGAAAAAAAAGTTGTGAGCATTGCATTTCTCAAATATTCAAATTTCCCGCCATTTTTCAAAAAAGGTTGAAATTTTTTAATCATCAAATATTTCTTAATGCATTTCAAAAAAGATTATCTTTTTAACACCAATGCAAAGATTGAACAAAAGACACACTATTTCAATAATAAAATGCACTGGCGGATCTGGGGGGGGGGCCCAGGGGCCCGGGCCCCCCCCCCCTTGAGTGGGCCCAGAAAAAAAAATTGTGCCCAAAAAAAATTTTGAGCCAAAAAAGGCTTTAAGGCCCCAAAAAGTAGGCCTTTTAGGTCTTAAATTGGCCTTCTAAGGCCTTGTTTTTTAATTTTAGGCCAAATTTAGAAGAAAATGGGCCTCAAAATTTCAAAATTTGGGCCCACTTTTGGGTTTTTGGGGCCCAAAATTTTTTTCCGCGCAAGCGCGGACGTTTTTTTCTCAGACCACAAGTTTGGGCCCCCCCCTTGTTGGTTCCCAGATCCGCCCCTGAAATGCCATATTTAATGGGCCACTTCAATGTTTTAGCATATCAAAAATATTTTGAAACATTAGTGATGTCACTAAGGTACAGTTGGGGACATAAATAAATGACAGGTGGATTTGCTGAAGTGAGGATTTCCAATGTTAAAAATAAGAGAATTTACAAGAGGCCATAAATCAGTGGATGAGATTATACACAATGTAAAATATACAAATTTTAAGGGATATGTATCTAGACAATATTGGAAATTATGGGCTTTCAGACCACCATAATTAGGAAATGGTGATCGAAAATCGACCTGTCATTTATTTTTGTCCCCAACTTTAGCAAAAACTTTTTGAAAAAAATTGAATTTTTTTTTTGATGTCAATCTTTTCTAAATATATGATAGACTTTCATAAAAAACCAATGTTGATTGTTTAACCAGGTTAAAAGGAAGAATAAGTTCATTTCTCGCTTGTTTATCAACCGATTTTCTTAATTTTTTCAGCAAAAAACATGGGAGGATGAATGCCATGCGTTGGTATGAATTGTGGCTAATTAGAAGATATGAGTGACCTCTAAAAGTTGGTTTTAAATAAATTCACAAATTTTGGAACAAAAGTCTATCAAAAACCAGTTTTTGAAATTAAAAAAAAAAGTTTCACATATCACACTTTGATAACATTGGGTAAGACTACAATATAAGCCAAAGTGGTTTAAACTTTAATGGCTATGTTGATAAAGCATTCTTAATCTTGTCAAAAACAATATTTGTCCAAATATTTCATTTTATGGAGCGGTCATCCTTTAAGAGTGCAAGCAATCTTATGGAGCAAACTTAAATTGTCTGATCAGATAGGAACTCTTTGTAACTTGTCAATGACTTTGAAAAAAAAAATTGTTCAGTTTGAAGCAAGTTCAAATTTGACCTTGAAAAATTTTGTTATAGGAAGTCTAGGAGGCATGATACTGTATCTCATAACTGGTGCAAGATTTGTAGCACCTTTATGTTTCAAAGGAAAAATATTGATTTGTAGTCTTAACATTTTGAGCAACTTTGATAATTCTAGTTTGTTGTTGTTGATCTTTTGCTTTTTGCTTTTTCAGACCTCAACAAGTCTTTTTGATCAAGTTGACCTTAATTTTAATAAAAAAAACACATTCAAAAAAGTAACCTTTTACAAGGTCAACCAAATGACAAATCTCGAATCCTAGAATATGTCCAGAAAAAAAGTTATCTGTCCAATAGAAGAAAAGATATTTAACTTTTTGTGATTTTATAACATGGGATCTATGGGGAACCCCTCGAACTAGAAGGCACATTTTCAAAAAAAGTTGAATTTCCAAAGTTGATAAACAATTTTCAAAACCATATTTCTAGATGTACTTTTACTTGTAGATTTCAAATTTGACATCACTTTGACTGAATTTTGAATATTTAATGAAGTAAATCCAAGATTATATCTATTCGCATCTAGTCTATTCAAATTTGCCATCAAATAGAAGAAATTGTTGGTTAAATGGCTAAAATGCAGATCTCCTAAAATCTCATTAAAACAATGAGATTTCAAACTATTTAGCAAAACATCTATTCTTAAATAATAAGCATGAAAATGAGTTAGCAATATATTAGTATTATTTATTGAACAACCCTCGTATAATTTGAATTGGTCAACAGGACAATTTTGACAGGCAAAATTAATCTGCTGTAAAGACAATGAATAGAATAAATGAGTACCTGTGATGTTGATTAATGATAGGCGACTGGTGTGTCAGTATAGACGCAGATGAAAATCAACATGCCAATCAAGTTAACATACACAATGAGTTAAAATGAAAAATGATCTCATCAAATTGAATACATTAAATTATAATTTAAATGAAATAATACAAGTAGTGTTTTGATAGCCATGTGAAAAGTTCAGTTGGTCACTGGGACATCCTAATGTATTATGGCTTCCAGATTCTTATCTTATTTTACTTTCCCCTACTTTAGTTATTTAGAGAAGCTTTGTATATTGAATATAGTTGTTTGGGTATTGCATTTCCCCAAAAAATTACATTTCATCAAGATTTGTTGTGGTTTAAAATGAACTCATTAAACCAACAGATGATAATTGATATTGAATGATGAGAAGAAAGACAATGTAGTCTCCAAGAGTCATCAATGGTCTGAGCTGTGGCCACATGTCCAGGAGTTCATATGGGGCAACTGTTGACAGATAACACAACAATGTCAATATTAATGATATCAAAGTTAACCGTTAACCATTGAAACCTTTGATAGGGAACTATTAAGATAGCAGCATTAGAGAAAAACAACCACTTGTGTAACTTGCACATGCTTTGACCAAATCACCACAAACATGCAAACAAATAGCAAAAGAGACGAATTATCAGAATTAAACTTAAAACTAAGATCATAATGTGTTTATTTCTATGGAAAAAGGATAATTAAAAGAGAAAATTAAGTCACATATTAAAGATCAAACATAAATAACTTGGACATAAACATTATTATATAAATTAATTAACTATGCAAATATTATATTTAGTGTTAAAGGATATAGCTTAGCAGTTGGAATTAAACTATGTAAAACAGGATATAATACTTTACAAGAGGATTAATTATCTGTCAAGAAACATGCAGAATCCATGACACACACTGAATTAACACTTTACATTCACAAGTACTTGACCATTTAGATAGACCTTATTGGACATTTTCTTGGACTCAGTATCGGCAGCTGCTAAATGAACACTTACCAAATTGTTGTTGTTATTAAATACACGCATTGTGTTATTTGAGACTTGGAAATTAAGACTGGTCAGTTCAAGTGTTTGAAGAACATTTTAAGACGCATTTGGGATACAGTCTTTGTATTCTACAAGAATAGGATTTAGTCTGTGTAATGGAAGACAAGAATTGACTCTAGGATCTTAAGGTCTCAAGTGTTTACTGTTTGGGGACAACTAACCCAAGAGAATCTCAAGTATTCCTGGTAAATAGAGATACCTCTGAATTGCTAAGCTGGATATATCACTCTAGAGTGGGACAGTGACATATACAGACATGCAGAAACCATTGTGGGATCCACTGCAAGTATTATCCTTTGGAATACCAACGTGTAAGATAAAGTGAGATTAATCAGAATGTGCAGAAACCAAATAGGTATTTTGATAAGATATACAACAGTTGCCAAGTTAAATGAAACTTAATTGTATCAGAACGTAGCTGCTGTAGCTATATGCAATAATACATTATCAATACCCGGATACCACAGACATTTCTATACTTAATTAAAATACAACTTTTGCAATATTTAAACAAAAGATGACTCATCACCATGGATATTAATTTTTTTGTTCCACCTGGATATTTACAATTCCTTGACCTCAGTTATAGTAGTGCCATCTTGATGGATGATACACCTCTGCCAACAAATTTATGTAACAGAAATGCAGATATATTAATGCAGCGTAAACATAAACCTGCACTTGATCGCAATGTAAATGTGAATAGAAAAAGCAGCAGCGTAACAGCTGTACAGAGTTGTTGTATTGATAGTCATAGTATTGGAAATAATAGATTTATTTATACACAAGCAAATCATCATCATGTGATATCTAGGGATACGTGTAATAAAAGATATACAGATGATAACAGTACCATATTTGACACTCATAAAAATGATTCTATTGATGTTTCAAATGTGGACATTATTCAGGATATTATCAGTAAGGTTGAAATATCTGGAAATGAATGCGTCACTATGGGAGGATCCTTGTCAAAACATATGGTGAATAATGAATTGGTGAATCATAAGAAAAACTCTTTGATAAACAATGAAGATATGCAATCATGGAGTGAGGATAGGATGGAAAGATCAGAAACGAACATAGACAATCATGAAAATAAGGATTTCAATAGAAACAATGACATGAGTGATACATTATTGCACGACTGTTCATCTTTTGAGATTCAAAGTACTCCAGTCAAAGAATTTCAGACACTTAAAACAACTCATGACAATAGTAGATGTATGATGCGTACTGTGTTTGTCTCAAGTTTGGAGGCTGACATAGCGGAGGGCGACATATGTCGGTGTAAACTGGAGTCTATCATTTGCAATGGTGATTGTGAAAATGACAATAACATTATTACAATGAGTGATCATGATGATGAAGATGTTTTCTCAAGCTGTTTATCTATAAATAAATCACTGTATAGTCCAAACACAACACAATATAAAAGTCTTGACAATACTGTTGAAAGTGAATCAGATAATGATGACGACATAGACAAGGATTTAAAATTTGTCTCAACTGATTCTCTACATATTGAAAATTATCATGACTTCATCAATATTGTTGATGACATCATGGATGAGACTGATTGTGAACCAGAATGGGATGCATATGATACAGTCATCAACGATGATGATGAAAGTAGAGAGATTGAATGTTCCGTTAATTCAATTTTATCAAATACTGGTCCTACAAGACCTTATAGTTTTGGTTATTATAGCGATTCAGAAATCAATGATGATATACCATGCGTTGATAATGTCCTGGAAACAGAACCAAAAGAACTTTCTTTCAATGATCATAGCGCTCCCAATTCTGAAATATCTGATACAGAATCATGGACAGAGTTTGGTTCAAATGTTGATTCACCTATGTATATTCATGCTGTGAAATCTAGTGCCATAGAAAAAAGGAAATCCAGTGCAATAAAAACAAGGTTATCTAGTTGTTCAAGGCACTCAAGCACTTCAGTTGACCCAGATCCGGCAACTGACACAAGTTTGGACAGATGGTCTGATGCTGAAGAGGTATTTGACAATACTTTCTATCATTCTTTTGCTGATGGATCTATTGTGAATACTGATTGTGAATTATCGTGTACTGAAGAAGATAATGATAAGGGTGAGGATAAATCAAAAATGGTGCATCAGCCGTTTGCCAGAAATGCAGTAATACAAGTACTTACTGAGAAAATTGATGATGAAATAGCATTGAAGTATAACCAAGATGGCATTGAATCTGTATTTCTTGAACATTATGATGACTTTGTGAATATTGTCATGCCACATGAAAAGATTGTAGAGGAAAAAGAGGTTTGGGATGATTTTGTGCCAGGGTGGCAAGGCAATGGCTTGTGGTTGGATTAACAGTAACCCTTATTCTAAACAATGTATATTGCCACAGTGTAATGTAAATTGCAAGCTTGGTATAAGCTTTTTGTTAAATATTTCTACTTGTATAATGCATTTAGATGTGAAGCACATTCACGCTGAGTGTTTTGACACAGGATTAATGTTATTGTCTAGATTTAGTTAACTAATGGTTTATAGGGACCTGGGTTATTTTGTGTTTCTTTCATGTTGCCTATTGAGTTTCTATTTACTTATACTTTATATCATTTATTTATAAAGTGTTCCCAACTAGCAGTTTCTGTATTAGTCTTGTTATCCCTTGTGCAGTTCAAGAGACACAGTGCAAGTCTATCTCTACATTCCAATTATTCTTGATGCAGAGAATCACCTAAAGGTTGTGTTTTTGATAAATCTCCTATTATGAAAGTCAATACAATTCTTACATTTCGATTTTTAAACAATATTTTTCTTATTGTTGCAATTGTAAGAATGATTAGGCTATAATTGTGGGATTTATTGACCCAATGAACGATGTTCTGTTGGGATATACTTAAGCTGTCCGTCCGTCTATCCGTCCATCTGGCCATTCCTCCGTCAGTCCGTCAGTCAGTCAGTGTATAATTTTCTATTAAAACCACTTTGATTTTTAGTTATTTACCTTTATTCAATTTTCTAGGATTTTCAGGTCTTGTGAAAAAGGTCGAGCTAATTTATTAATCAAAACAAATAGAAATACTTTGCCAGCTGTTTCTATCTTATGAATAGTATTCTAGCCTTACCAACACATATGCTGCCATCTATTTATCCATTTACATATAGCAAGTGTTGCATTATGAATTTGTTTGCTATGATAATTATCAACTGGAAATTGGTATTTTAAAAAGCTTTCAGAATTGATTTTTAGTTGAGATATTGATTTTTCTACAAGATGCCACATATTTTATGAGTCATCTGAGAGCAAGATTTATTGCAGTTTTTTCTTTTGTAATACATTTAATACCTGATGTCTGATAATGAATGTATTGTGGGACCCCTAATGTGTAGTGCTCATTTTTAAGTTAAGTCCTAATAAAGTTTAAGTTTAAAATATGTCATAATGTATAATAATTCAAGATATTGGAAATTAAGATGACAGATTTTCTTGAATTTTTACTTTTTAGACAGATTTACAATCTGGAGTCTATTAAGAATAACTAGACATTATGGAGACTCTGTAGGCCATAGGCATTTATGACCTTTTGAAGGTTGCAAATATTCTTGAGATGCTAAAATGTTGAAGTGACATATTAGATATGTCATTTTATTCTTGAAATAGTGTGTCCTTTGTTCAGTCTTTATATTGGTGTTAAAAAGATAATGTTTTTTCACTGTATAGTGGAATATTTGACGATAAAAAAAACTTAACCACTTTTTTAAAAAAGTTCTTTTTTTTAAATATCCAAAATAACTTATTTTTCAAAAATCTCTAAAATAACTTTTAAATTTGTGACAAATAGGAAATGTTGATAAAAACATATTGGAACTTTAAAGGAATGTACATACTGACATTAAGTCAAAATATTGATTGGAGTATAATATTCATCTGGAGTCTTAATGATTACACTGGTGATCCACTCTATTACGCTGATTACCGAAACGGAACAAAATTTCAGAACCTTTGAAGGTGCGATTTTTCTTTTTTCCTTATTCCATGCGCTAAAGGCAAAATTCCCATGACATTTTTATAACAAACACGTGTCAGAATCATATGTCTAAGAAAGTGTACATGTTTGCGAACAAATAGAACAGAAGACCACAGAATCTTCATTTTAATACCTCACTTAATTTACATAAACGGAACTTCGAAAAACCGTTAAGATCTGCATTTCTAACCAATTCTGTTTACGTAACTTAAGTGAGGTATTAGATTGACGATGCTATTGTCCTCTTAACTATTTGTTCACAAACATGTACATACATATGATACTGACACACGTTTGTGATAAAAATGTCGTGAGAATTCTGCCTACAATGCGTGAAATAAGGAAAAAAAGAAAAATCTTAACTTCGAGGTTCCGACATTTTGTTAGCGAAACGGTTCGTAATAGTGTAATCAAGTGGATCACCAGTGAATTAGTCATATAAATTATTTTTATATAGACATCCTGTATATACTGTAGCAATTTTTGTAAGTCTATTGTACCATTATGTTTATAACATCTTTGGTGTAATTATTTTCATAGTTTTACATATAACTGATGACTGTATTATTTACTGTAGACAAAAAAACATCTAAAAAACTATACGTAAATTTCAAAATCTAATGACTTTTTTACCAGAATCTGCAGATTTTGCATGAGAGTGCTGTTTGATTACTACCTGTGTTCTTGTTTGATTGATTGAAAGGAGATATTGGAACATAAAACTGTTACCTTTGTCTTTATCAAGTATTACATACCTATGGAAGTATTTGTATGGAAGTCAATGGGAAAGTAAGTGGGCTATATCTACCAATATTGCCGGCTTTCTTTATCATCTTGACTAACTGGAGAAACAAGATTCCTAGTCACCTCAGAATTGACCTTGGAACACAAAGTGACAAGATAATCCATCACCAAATTTTTCATTAAGATTGCTCTTATTTGAACAATTTTTATCCAATTTACACAAAAATTGTTTTCAAATGTGTAGAAATGATCAATGCCGTCTAATTTACTAAATTGAGCATCACCTGTTGTATAGATATGTAGTAAAATGTCAAAAGCTTGCAAAAATTCCCTGGTTTCAACTGATTTTGAATCCTGTGATTCAAGAGGTTCATAACCATGACAATATCATAACGTCATGCTTAATTTCAATCAAACTCTACTCGCAACTACAGATGTGTGACGTCATTGATACAAAGTAGCCATGGGAATAAAGTATAATGTAATATATCAGTTGCGTCACTATTACGTGAAATATGTCGATAGTTCTTGCCCAAATACCACGGACCGTCTTTGCAAATACAGAGCCTCCCAAGGACAGACTATATTGGCAGAACTGAGGCATATTTCATATAGAAGTGACATAACCTCAAAATACTATAACAAAGTAATATGTATTTTTGTGAATTATACGGTGTAAACAGATAGAACAATAAATTCCACAAAAAACTTAAATACCTGTTTTTGATGATGTTCTAATATTACAATGGCCAGATAAAGATGATTGTGCCAGACTAACTTAAAAATATGAATTATTATCCCATCGAACGAAGTTCGGAGGGATATAGGGAATGCCTCCGTCCCTCCATCCGTCCGTCCGTCCGTACGTACGTCCATCCGTCCGGGCAATAACTCAAATACCGTTGGCCCGATTTTGTTCATATTTTGTACACATATACCCTATGGGGGTAGATTTTTGCTATAACTCAAAAAATAGTGGAGCGATTTTGTTCATATTTGGTATGTGAATACTATAAGTATTGCACACTGTCTAAAGACACTTTTGGTAGAAAGTGGCCATCTTGAAAAATGGCCGCCATTTTAACATATTTTACTATAACTCAAAAAGTAGTGGAGCGATTTTGTTCATATTTGGTATGTGAATACTATAAGCATGGCACACTGTCCTATGACACTTTTGGTAGAAGGCGGCCATTTTGAAAACAATTTTGAAAAATGGCCGCCATTTTAATGTATTTTACTATAACTCGAAAAGTAGTGGAGTGATTTTGTTCATATTTGGTATGTGAATACTATAAGCATGGCACATTGTCTATTTCTAATGACACTTTTGGTAGACAGTGGCCATTTTGAAAAATGGCCGCCATTTTAACGTATTTTACTATAACTCGAAAAGTAGTGGAGCGATTTTGTTCATATTTGATATGTGAATACTTTAAGCATGGCACATTGTCTAATAAAACTTTGGGGAGTAGTCGGCCATTTTGAATAATGGCCACCATTTTTATGTGTGTTATTTTACAAGTACGTGTGCAATTTTTCAAAAATTTTAGATGTGGCTACTTAAAGCATATTATTTCTTCTGATGACAACTTGGCTAGTGAGCAACCATTTTGAAAATGGTGGCCTTTCTGGTGTGTTGTTTTATGATATTTGCTATTCGTTTGTAAAAATGTCAGCCATTTCTGTTCGATGGGATTCGCTACGCTTTGGCGTTGCCGTTGTTCTGGTTTTTGTTTCTGCTTCATTCAGAAAGTTACAAATAATGAAACAGTATTTGACTGTAAATATATAAGCACAAGTACCAAAGGGAAAGGACCAAAAGTTGTAATGGAACTCAGCAAGAAAAAGCAAACTCTAAGTGCACACCAGTCAAGAAAAACAAACCCCATATAGCCCAAAACCATGATCTAACGTGAAAAGAAACAATGTCTAATACCCCCTTTCCCCCCACCATTCAAGAACCAATATCACAATCCAAGACCAGAAGACTTAGGGACATTTCATTCATACTGAAGTCATTACAATACATGTTGAAGAAAAAATTAGAAATTGATAGCCAATTGATAGCCAATACCCATAACCTCAAAAATAGTTGTAGATACAAGTACTCATACAAGATAGAGCATTCAGTCTCAAATGATGTGGGATAGATAAAATCCAGTATCCAAGTCCATAGGTGTTTCAAAGGGTCAACATCCATTCACAAAATGGATTTTACAAAAGTAGGCTAAAACAGGTCACTTTGACAGATATTCAGTAGAATGTGACTATAATAAAACATCGATAATATATTCTTGACATGTGCAGGAAGATAATGACGTTGCACCATGTACGCATAAAATGCCATGGCATACTCTCAAAATTTATCTCAAAGTTAATTTTTTACATTGAATTACCCCAAATGTAAAAAGATTGCAAATAATTTCAGTTTAGTAGTACATATTAGTTTTTTGTATTAGAATTTTGTATTTTAAAACACCTGAGAGCGCTTCAAATGTTCTTGGGGAGAGAAGCCCCTAAACCCCCTCAAAGTTTGCTTGCTTCGCTCACTCATGGCATACTCACAAAATACCACACTACGCCACTGAAGACTTGGTTTTAAAGTGAATTTTTATATGGTTCCTGGTTTATTAACTTACTCAGAAAGGTTTTTGTACTGCATTTTATAATGCTACACCAAGACCTCTAATTGAAACCATTAGATTTTTAATTTATTTAGATATATACCAACAACATTTCACCCAAATATTTCTTTTGAGACCTCTTGCCTTTGAAGCATTTCAGAATCTGATTTCAAAATAAGCTCATCAGGATTATCAATAAATTTATGTAACAGTTATGCAGATATGTTAGTGCAGCTTAAACATGAACCTGCACTTGATCGCAGGCCTCCATTGGATTTAAAACTCAGTTCAGCCAATGTAAATGTGAATAGCAAAAATAGTATTGGAAATAGGCTAATAGATTTATTTATTATTACACAAGCAGATCATCATCATGTGATATCTAGGGATACATGTAATAAAAAATATAGAGATGATAGCAATACCATATTTGACACTCATGAAAATTATTCTATTGATGTTTCAAATGTGGACATTATTCAAGATATTATCAGTAAGGTTGAAATCTCTGGAAATGAATGCGTCACTATGGGAAGATCCATGTCAAAACATATGGTGAATAATGAATTGGTGAATCATAAGGAAAACTCTTTGATAAACAATGAAGATATGCAATCATGGAGTGAGGATGGGATGGAAAGATCAAAAACGAACATAGACAATCATGAAAATGACGATTTCAATAGAAACAATGACATGAGTGATACATTATTGCATGACTGCTCGTCTTTTGAGATTCAAAGTACTCCAGTCAAAGAATGTCAGACACTTAAAACAACTCATGACAATAGTAGATGTATGATGCGTACCGTGTTTGTCTCAAGTTTGGAGGCTGACATAGCGGAGGGCGACATATGTCGGTGTAAACTGGAGTCTATTATTTGCAATGGTGATTGTGAAAATGACAATAACATTATTGCAATGAGTGATCATAATGATGAAGATGTTTTCTCAAGCTGTTTATCTATAAATAAATCTCTGTATAGTCCAAACACAACACAATATAAAAGTCTTGACAATACTGTTGAAAGTGAATCAGATAATGATGACGACATAGACAAGGATTTAAAATTTGTCTCAACTGATTCTCTACATATTGAAAATTATCATGACTTCATCAATATTGTTGATGACATCATGGATGAGACTGATTGTGAACCAGAATGGGATGCATATGACACAGTCATCAATGATGATGATGATGATGATGATGATGATGAAAGTAAAGAGATTGAATGTTCCGTTAATTCAGTTTTATCAAATACTGGTCCTACAAGACCTTATAGTTTTGGTTATTATAGCTATTCAGAAATCAATGATGATATACCATGCATTGATAATGGCCTGGAAACAGAACCAAAAGAGCTTTCTATCAATGATCATAGCGCTCCCAATTCTGAAATATCTGATACAGAATCATGGACAGAGTTTGGTTCAAATGTTGATTCACCTATGTATATTCATGCTGTGAAATCTAGTGCCATAGAAAAAAGGAAATGTAGTGCAATAAAAACAAGGTTATCTAGTTGTTCAAGGCACTCAAGCACTTCAGTTGACCCAGATCCGGCAACTGACACAAGTTTGGACAGATGGTCTGATGCGGAAGAGGTATTTGAGAATACTTTCTATCATTCTTTTGCTGATGGATCTATTGTGAATACTGATAGTGAATTATCTTGTATTGAAGAAGATAATGATAAGGATGAGGATATATCAAAAATGGTGCATCAACCATTTGCCAGAAACGCAGTAATACAAGTACTTACTGAGAAAATTGATGATGAAATAGCATTGAAGTATAACCAAGATGGCATTGAATCTGTATTTCTTGAACATTATGATGACTTTGTGAATATTGTAATGCCACATGAAAAGATTGTAGAGGAAAAAGAGGTTTGGGATGATTTTGTCCCAGGGTGGCAAGGCGATGGCTTGTGGTTGGATTAACAGTTACCCTTATTCTAAACAATGTTTATTGCCACAGTGTAATGTAAATTGCAAGCTTGGTATAAGCTTTATGTTAAATATTTATACTTGTATAATGCATTTAGAAGTGAAGCACATTCAGGCTAAGTATTTTGACACAGGATTAATGTTATTGTCTAGATTTAGTTTACTAATGATTTATAGGGACCTGGGTTATTTTGTGTTTCTCTCATGTTGCCTATTGGGTTTCTATTTACTTATACTTTATATCATTTATTTATTTATAAAGTGTTCCCCACTAGCAGTTTCTGTATTAGTCTTGTTATCCCTTGTGCAGTTCAAGAGACTCAGTGCAAGTCTATCTCTACATTCCAATTATTTTTGATGCAGAGAATCACCTAAAGGTTGTGTTTTTGATAAATCTCCTATTATAAAAGTAATACAATTCTTACATTTCGATTTTTAAACAATATTTTTCTTATTGTTGCAATTGTAAGAATGATTAGGCTATAATTGTGGGATTTATTGACCCAATGAACGATGTTCTGTTGGGATATACTGAAGCTGTCCGTCCATCTATCCGTCCATCTGGCCATTCCTCCGTCAGTCCGTCAGTCAATCAGAATTCTGTGTATAATTTTCTATTAAAACCACTTTGATTTTTAGTTATTTACCTTTATTCAATTTTCTAGGATTTTCAAGTCTTGTGAAATGAGCTAAATTATTAATCAAAACAAATGGAAATACTTTGCCAGTTGTTTCTATCTTATGAATAGTATTCTAGCCTTACCAACACATATGCTGCCATATATTTATCCATTTATATAGCAAGTGTTGCATTATGAATTTGTTTGCTATGATTATTATCAACTGGAAATTGGTATTTTAAAAAGCTTTCAGAATTGATTTTTAGTTGAGATATTGATTTTTCTACAAGATGCCACATATTTTATGAGTCATCTGAGTGCAAGATTTATTGCAGTTCTTTTTCTTTTGTAATACATTTAATACCTGATGTCTGATAATAAATGTATTGAAGGACCCCTAATACATAGTGTTCATTTTTTATAAGTTAAGTTGTAATAAGTTGAAGTTGAAGAAAATATGTCATAATGTATAATAATTCAAGATATTGGAAATTCAGATGACAGATTTTCTTGAATTTTTACTTTTTAGACAGATTTACAATCTGGAGTATAATAAGAATAACTAGACATTATGGAGACTCTGTAGGTCGTAGGCTTTTTTTTTAAATTTCTTTTTTTTTCAAAAATCTCTAAAATAACTTCTTTTCAAAAATCTCTAAAATAACTTTTAAAGGAGCATGTAAGTTATGGCAAGCCATTTTCAAAGGGCTATATCTTTAGTTCGAAGAATAATTTAACCACAAAATCAAATGGTTCTATTAGATCCATGTCTTATCTTCAATAAATGACATTAGGATGATAATCAAAATGATTGGATTATCTCTTAAGCTGTCCCTAATCCACCCATCCTCACCAATTTCCCCTAATTCAGACGCAATTTTCACCAAAAGTGCAGGCCTTTTTAATAATTTTTAGTGCAAAGTTGTATTGAACTTTCAGACATGATTTAAACTGTAAAGGGGAAAAGTTAATTATGAACCTACTTTTTGGTATTTTTTTTCGTGATTTTTTCGGATTTTTTCTGATATTATAAGGTGCTTCATACTTATATTATACAATTACAAAATAGAGGGCAGCTAAGTGTCATGAATAATTTGTTTCGCTGTTTCAAACACTCGGATAGTGACTTACTCAGCTTATGGATTGCCTTAATCCTGTATTTTACCTTGACAATTGTTTGTGTATAAAACAGTTGTGTCATTCACGTAGAGCTATTTATATACTGAATAGTTCTTTCTAATTACATGTGCCTGGTTTTGGCTATTCAACCTAGACTCTTTGTTTGGGCAGGCTGAAATGAATAAGTGTAAAAATAAAATGAATCACAGGGTGAGGCAAAAAATGTCATCCAAAGAAATGTTATTAGCTCATTCATCCAGTATGAGTTGAAATCATATTTAGTTAATTTTACCATGTAAAATCTTTTTGTATTTAACCATGTTTTATGGGTCCATTCCTCAAGGTCACAATTCTATGGCAATTCTACAAATTTCAGCCTCATCCCTTCAGGCAGACCTACACTGGTCGGTTGAGAATGTAAGGTCACCATCACAGAAATTGTTCTCCTACTTGTTGTAGGGGTTGACATTATCTCAGAGATAGCCCGTAGTCATGAGATGAGGCTGGCATTTTGGACCATGTTTCGTTTTATATAGCCATAAAATCCAAGACTATTTGGGCAGGGTCGATAATAACGACATTTCTAAGGGCAATATAGTGAAATATTGGACCGAGGGCCAAAGACCCAAGGTCCAATATTTCACTATATTGTTCGCAGAAATGACGTTATGAGTATTATTACCACCGTTAACGACCAGGGCTGAAATAACAAGAAAATCTTACGCACTGAACGATATCTAATTTCCCGGGGAAAAATTCCCAGTCCAGAATATATTCTAGACCGGTCCATATGGACCACCACTATGACGTCACACATTTCTTAGGTCGACATAGTAAAATGAACGCCTTCTAAACTAGCACTAAAACCCCTAGAACTGGCCCGGCAAGGTGGTAATAATTAAACTTAGTAAAATGAAATAACATTAAACAAGGTTTTATTATGCGAAATAACACTTTAACAGATGCGGAATTTGTTTGGGCTATATTTTTGGCTCACTCGGTATTAGACTGCACTTTGATAGTATTCATAATGTCATATGTTGGGTAAAAGGCGATGATTTAACCTACTGTTGATGGCAAATTCATTTTAATACGAATGAATAGTGGCAGGTGCTATTTATATCTAATGAGCCATAAAATAGTAGGTTGATCTGGCAGATGTTAGTTGAATTCGCGAATACTACTTGTAAGGGGGTTTCAAAGCCCATGGTCACCTTTGTAGTTTCTTCATCCTAGGTCAAATCCACTCAAGAATGCTCTTAATTACAATGGTGTTATATTAGATGCAGCATCTATTAATTTCTTGAATCACAGCACCCCTAATCTTAATCATAATTCCGTTGATTGACCTACAGCATAGGCCTAGGGAAAAGTAGTAGGAAGGCAGCTTATGAGTGCTCTCGATGTTCATAATCTTACTACTACTTTTACATAGGCCTATGACCTACAGATAAGTTTGGGATTCCTTATTAAAACCAAAACCTCTAATTCTAATTACAGCCCCTAAAAACAACAACCCCGAACCAAGTGCATGTGGCAGTCATTGAACCCAAAAGCATTTTTATATGCCAACCTATAATGAGACCCCCTTTAGTGAATAACAACCAGGTAGTCGTCTAAGGTATAGCAACATGTTCAGTTTGTAATTTTATAGAAGGTCACTGAATCCTCTAATCGTTCATTCAGTTATGGATAAACTATGAGTACTGGGTTTTATGAGAAATAATAGCAAAGGGGCTTGGCCTGAGGCTATTAGTTCTCATAAGACCCATTTCGAATAATTTATCTAACTTAAAACCCACACTGACTCTTAGGAATGGTAAATGACCCATGATCCAAGTTTAGAAAAATTCTTTTGTATTAACTGTGAGGTAAATGTGTAGAGAAGTGGGTTGTTTTAATTGGTTCAGCTTCAATGCACCGCATGTATCAGGCAAGGTACAGTTAAAAAGTGTATTTATTTTGTGTTTACAATTCAACTATTGAGTGATTGAAAATGGTTTAATAAGTACAGCTTCGGTGCACTGCATGTGACAGTCAAGGTGTAATATTGAGCCAAACACTGTCAATCATATTTTGTACCACACTGGTTTTAGATAGCTTACAGTGTCCATTCTCTAAAAACAATACAACAAGAATGCACTCCTCTTTCTTACTACTGTACATTCTTGAAGGTGAACAAGTCTTCAAATTGATCATTTTTTCAAAATGATCGTCAGGGTCTCAAAAATTCAAATCTGACTTTAGATTTTACAATTATTGACCGCCAATGACCTCAAAGTAGAGGGTCTAAAAGGTATTTTTCAACTTGCTTCGAATTGACCGAATTTTCAAAATCACCTACAAGTTCTCAGAAGTCAAATCTGACTTTTGATTTGACATTTGACCTCTCAAGTTCAAAAAGTTTAAAAAGGCATTTTTCAACTTGCTTCAAATAACCTTTTCTTTTCAGGATTTGACTTAAACTACAAGGTGGTGACATTCGTATCTCATACCCATGTACATGGGTGGTGATACAGTTTTGAAGGGTTCAATTTTTAAAGTTCTAAAAGATTATTCAATCTAATGCTATCTGAGGTATAAATACATTCATAGTATCCATAGATGTGAAATTCGTCTAGTCAAAGATAGATAGATATAGAGTCATAAAATAAAGCCAGAATTGTTAATGTTAGTTTTTCATTGATTGTCAAAATAGCGCCATTCAAACATGTAGGTCTACAAGTGCATTAATGCACCAACAATTCATATAATCTGAATAATCTGAAACCTTAGAATTAAACTCTTCAAAGAATATATCATGCCCCAAGTACGCGGGTACGTGGGTACGAGGTATAAGGTTTTTCATACAAAGCCCGAGGTATTGACTGAGGGAATAGAGTGATCGAGTGACAATATCATAATTACACAAGGCAATACACCTATTGTCAAAGGGTAAAACCCATAGCATTAAACTGTTTATTCCATAAAAATTCCAAGCAGCAAAAACAATCCAATAAAAAGAACAGGCGCGTTTATTGGCAAATAATATCCCCATGGTCAAAATAAATAATTCTTAGGTGTAACATGAAGAATAGAATGTTATAACTCTTTGGAAAATATTAAAGTGCTCGGGCAAATATAGGCTGAGATATGGGCCATTTAGTTCAGTAAGGTTGTATTGACTTACATGGGACTGTGCATCATTGACTTAACATGAGGATATCAGCAGATCCCTATAGAGGCCATTGGTTTCCATTGATTATCACCAAAATACTAAAGATACACTATGACCTGAATCGACTGCAACCTTAATAATTTCATAATATGACACAAATGATTTATCTCATCAAATGTGCAAATATGAAGTTTGCAATCGATTCAGGTCATACTTAAAATTAAATGATTGTGCATTTTTTCATCTTTTTCCCCCTACGAAATGGCTATAGAAAAATGCTCCAAAAACAACTTTTACACTTATCAAAAATCATACAACTTTGTAAAACCAAAGAAAATACTATTATGTTTCATTATGTAGTAACATATGTGGATAAGATGTAGGGATGCTTAGGATGCAAATGGATTTTGACAGACATAAAAATACTTCCTGGTTTGGAATCTATGCCTCTACACTTCATGATTGAATTATGACCCTAATAAGTGGCCTATACATCAATACAGTGCTGAATATAGGTCAACAAGATACTAGTGTGCATATAAACACATTTATGTTTTACTGAACATACTTTACACGACACAGTCATGTTGACATATCCATGCATGCTCATTTATATAATACGCAATTATGCAACAATGAATACACACTCAGGGTATTAAGCACATGTAGAATATATCATGCCATCTATGGACCATATATAACTCTATCTATAAACATCATTGCATAAAATAGGGTACATCTAAATGTCACTCTAAGTGACATCTTTTCATACACTTCACACTAAGGTCATGGCCTATGAGGTAAAAATGACAAATGGATTAACAGATAATGCTTATCTCATTTAGATCATTTTTTTCTTTTTGGAAATCAATCATGTGACATAGCTCAATGTTTTCGTGCATTAATCTCATTAAAAAATTGCTACTTTTAGGTCAAAAATTCGGCCTAAAAAAGTTAATGTTTTTGGATTATCCTAATCCCAAAGTAATCAAGTTTTCCTTTTTAGAGGTAGATCATTCCTTGCAATAAATTGTAATTTTGCCATAAAAGCTGAAATAAAATGCTGCATTTTTGGTGAAAATTGCGTCCGAATTAGGGAAAATTTGGTGAAGATGGTTGGATTAGGAACAGCTTAAGAGATAATCCATTCAACTTGATTATCATCCTACTGTAATTTATTGAAGACAAGACATGGATCTAACAGAACCTTTTGTTTTTGTGGTTAAAGTATTCTTCGAACTAAAGATATAGCCCTTTGAAAATGGCTTGCCATATCTTACGTGCACCTTTGTGACAAATAGGAAATGTTGATAAAAACATATTTTCAAACTTTACATCGGAACTCTAAAGGAATGTACATACAGACATTAAATCAAAAATATTGATTGGAGTATAATATTCATCTGGAGTCTTAATAATTACTCAGATGCGAGTAGGCAGTTACCAGTTTCGCCACCAGGTGGCTGATTCAGGGGAAATAACATGGCAGGATATTACAAAATTCCCTTGAGCTTGAATATTCATTAGTTTTAGTGGTTCACTTTTCATATTACCCTTATGTATCTGGTCATTATACAAATTAAAATACGTCCAGTAAAAGAAAATATTATCTGCCCAACACTAGAAAAGATATTTCACTTTTTGTGGTTTTACAACATGGGTTCTATGGGGAATCTCCCCGACCTAGAAGTCATATTTTCAAAGAAAATTAAATTTTCAAAGTTTTTTGATAAACCCTTTTCAAAACCACATTTCTAGATGTAATTTTGCATGTAGATTCCAAATATGACATCAGTTTGACTGAATTGTGAATTTTTAATGTCATAAATCAAGATTATTTCTACTCGCATCGAGCATATTACACTGGTGATCTACTCGATTACGCTGATTACTGAAACGAAACAAAATGTCGGAACCTCGATTTTTGTTTTTTCCTTATTCCACGCGTTAAAGGCAAAATTCCCATGACATTTTTATAACAAACACGTGTCAGAATCATATGTCTAAGAAAGTGTACATGTTTGCGAACAATTAGAACAGAAGACCACCGAATCTTCATTTTAATACCTCTCTTAATTTACATAAACGGAACTTCGTAAAACGGTTAAGATTTGTATTTCTAACCAATTCTGTTTACGTAACTTAAGTGCTATTGTCCTCTGAACTATTTGTTCGCAAATATGTACATACATATGATACTGACACACATTTGTGATAAAAATGTCGTGAGAATTCCGCCTACAATCGTAATTGAGTGGATCACCAGTGAATTACTCATATAAATTATTTTTGTTTAGACATCCTGTATATACTGTAGCAGTTTTTGTAAGTCTATGGTACCATTATTTTAATAACATATTTGGTGTAACTATTTTCATAGTTTTACAAATAACTGATGACTGTATTATATACTTTAGACAAAAAAAACATCTAAAAAACTGTATAGTGACCCATATGTTGGAGAAACAAGATTTCTAGTCACCTCAGAATTGACCTTGGAACACAAAGTGGCAAGATAATCCATCACCAAATTTTTCATTAAGATTGCTCTTATTTGAACAAGTTTTATCCAATTTACACAAAAATTGTTTTCAAATGTGTAGAAATGATCATTGCCGTCTAATTTACTAAATTTAGCACCACTTGTTGTATGCATATGTAGTAAAATTTCAAAAGCTTGCAAAAATGAAAAATTCCCTGGTTTCAACTGATTTTAAATCCTGTGATTCAAGAGGTTAATAACCATGACAATATCATTATGTCATGCTTAATTTCAATCAAACTCTACTCGCAACTACAGATGTGTGACGTCATTGATACAAAGTAGCCATGGGAATAAAGTATAATGTAATATATCAGATCAGTTATGTCACTATTACGTGAAATATGTCGATAGTTCTTGCCCAAATACCACGGACCGTCCGTGCAAATACAGAGCCTCCCAAGGACAGTCTATATTGGCAGGACTGAGGCATATTTCATATAGAAGTGACATAACCTCAAAATATTATAACAAAGTATATATTTTTGTGAATTATACGTTGGAAACAGATGGAACAATAAATTCCAAAACAACTTAAATACCTGTTTTTGATGATGTTCTAATATTACAATGGCCAGATAAAGATGATTGTGTCAGACTAACTTAAAAATATGAATTATTTTTGTTTCTGCTTCATACAGAAAGTTACAAATAATGAAACAGTAATTGACAGTAAAGCATTTTAGCAAAATTGGTATATATGCTAACAAAAGGCATGTTAACCCAGACTCCAATTGAATAATGTCATTTCTGGATTGATGAGACTTCTATCATGAGAAAATAAGTAAGCTAAAAACAGTTCACTTTGACAGATATTCAGCAGAATGTGGCTATAATTGCATTACATTGAATTACCAAATGTATAAAGATGGCCAATAATTTCAGTTTATTAGTACATATTAGTTTTTGTATTTGAATTTTGTATTTTAAAACACTTTAGAGAGCTTCAAATGTTCTTGGGGGAGAAGCCCCTTAACCCCCTCAAAGTTTGTTTGCTTCGCTCACTCATGGCATACTCACAAAATACCACGCTATGCCACTGGAGACTTGGTTTTAAAGTGAATTTTTATATGGTTCCTGGTTTATTAACTTACTCAGAAAGGTTTTAGATTTTAAATTTATTTAGATATATTACCAAAAACATTTCACCCAAATATTTCTTTTGAGACCTCTTACCTTTGGAGCATTTCAGAATCTGATTTCAAAATAAGCTCATCAGGATTATCATCAGAAGTTAGAATTAATATTAATTAGTGAAACAAATTGATACCAGTAGAAATCATCTTGATTTATGTCATTAAAAAAATCAAAATTCAGTCAAAGTGATGTCATTTGAAATCTACATGTAGAAGTATATATATATATATATATATCTAGAAATATGGTTTCGAAAATTGTTTATCAGCTTTGAAAATTTGATTTTTTGAAAATTTGACTTCTAGTTTGGGGAAATACCCCATAGACCCCATGTTATAAAATCATAAAAAGTGAAATGTCTTTTCTTGTATTGGACATTTTCTTTTTCATGTTTTACTGGACATATTATAATTTTCATAACTATTAGATACATGGGGGTGATATGAAAATTGAACCACTAAAACTGATGAATATTTAAAGGTACAACAATTAGTGCAGGGAATCAATTCATGATTATCGACCAGTGTCAAAATATATTTAAGTTTGGATATTTCATCAAGATTAACTTTTTTTTTTATTTACAAAGAAACCCACTGAATGAATGTTAATTCAGCTGATATTCCTCTTGAAACGTGGTGAATCTATAAGTGGGACTCCATTTATAGAAGCTTTGAACTGAATTTACACTTCTTAATGCTGAAATTGATAGTTTATCCATACATTTTAAGAAAATAGGTATGTCAAAAAAGATGTTAAGCCAAATATTGACCTGATAGCTCAGAAAAAATAAAAATTTACGAATTTTCTCTCGACAGTCCTTGTTGCCCCTTTAAGTTAAAGGGAACTTTCTACTATGTTTGCTATGCTATCTGACCCAACGAGTCACCTGGTGGTGAAACTGGTAACTACCTACTCCATGGTGTGGTATCCAGTTTGTCAGTGTTTCAAACTGCGTGCATAGTATGCACAAAGTTTGGATCCCACACCATGTACTCGCATCTGAGTTATTGGGTAATGTAGATTTAAGCCTATAACCCCAGCTTTTTTGGGGGTTTATGAAAAAGCCCAACCACCAACTGGTCTGTGTTTTCCACAGGTAGCCTCAAAATGGTTTGAGTAAAATATGTAAAAGACTGACCAATCTAAAAGACTGACCATATTTGTAGCCTTGAATTATTTACATGTATATATTTTGATTTTGAATACAATGTCAATCATTGGTAAAGTTTTTTACCCATTTTTTCTTTTCAGTTTAGTCATGGTTAAATCAGTGGTCGGAGGTCAATCTTTTTCGTAAACCTGTCATTTTCAGATAATCAAGTCTTTGATTATAAGTATTTTCTGATGTTTCTCTTTCTACCCTGTGCGAAGCTGTTACAAAGCCTACTGCACTTGTCATTAAACCAAAGTTATGTTAATTGCCATTATTACCACCTTGCCGGGGCAGTTCTAGGGGTTTTAGTGCTAGTTGAGAAGGCATTCATTTTACTTTATCGACCTGAGAAATATGTGACGTCATAGTGGTGGTCCATATGGACCGGTCTAGAATATATTCTATATATTTCCCAGGGAAATTAGATATCGTTCAATGCGTAAGATTTTCTTGCTGTTACAGTCCTGGTCGTTAACGGCGGTAATAATACTAATAACGCCATTTCTGCGAGCAATATAGTGAAATATTGCCCTTAGAAATGATGTTATTGTACTATTCTCTTCATTGTAATCAAATGTTTGCTAACAGCTCCCAAATAATCTTGTGGATAATTTATCATATAATTCCTGTCATCTTCATGTTCTTCAGAGGAGCCCTTCTATGATACAGCAGAGATCGCCTCCCCAACATATGATAACACAGCAGCATCAGACTTTGCCTCAAATGCGGTATATAATGACCCTGCAGCAGAGATAGACAGAAAGAGACAGGAGGATGAATGGAAGAAAGACCTAGAAAAGGTAAGCTAGTCTGAGTTTCTCTGCGATAAGATTAAGGTTGGTGTTAGTGGTGATTCAGAAATGGCATCCTCACTTTACAGCTCTATACCAGATAAAAAATTGAAACTCGAAAACCATAAGGAGATTATTTATATCTTGAAAGTAGAAATAATGATGAGATAAACCATAACGTAAACTATTTTGCTGATGTATTTAAGTTGGAAGAGGAGATCACCACCCTAAGACAGGTGCTAGGTGCCAAAGTACAGCAGGCTAATGCCATCAAGACCAAGCTGGGCATCACCCCTATGGCTGAGTTGAAACACGACTTACAACACGGCATACAGAACATAAAAGAGTCACCAGCGTAAGTACAAGTTGTGTCTTGCATCAAACAGATGGTTTATATTAAACTGGGAAGGTAGCAGTAGCAGGCAGTGGCACTTTTCACTTGATGAGACCCTGGGCCCAAAGTTGTCCTTCCCTTGCTGGTCTCTCTCTCACAGTCACAGTGTAACATAAATTGATTACTTTGAAAAAATTCTCTTTGCATGCTAATTAAGGCATCGCACTTCCATGATACCTTCTGCTATTTTAATGTACCCATAACTGTTGTTGTTTATTCTGTATGAATGTGATTGAAAAGTGTTCAGATTTTTTAACTATGAACCTGTATTAGGTAGACTATATTTTAGATATTCTTAGTATACAGATATTGAAGTAACATTTTAAAGACATGCAGACAATCACAATTTGTCATTATTGAGCCTTATTGCAAAATTCTTATTCAAATTTTTATTCCCTCAACCCACTTGGGTGGGCCCAGAAAAAATTTGGGGCCTCAGTTAGTAGGCCTTTCTCAGCATTACATGGCCTTTTTGGGGCCTTTTTAGGCCAAATTATCCAAAAATGGGCCCCCCTTGTTAGCTTCTGGATCTGCCAGTGAAGAGCTATGTCCTCGTTGTTTTTGTTTTATTTTTTTAAATTTAATATTGCATTGAAATGTTTTATAGTTATTGATGTGGTAGACTGCATGTAATCAGCTTAATGAACAGCACACTATTTGATTGATTGCGGCTTTGAATAATGCCATGAATAAAATTGTTTAAACTTTCTGATTCTGGCCTCGAAAAATATCAATTATGGTAATGTTTTTCTGATTCGTGCCTCACTCAAAATTCTGATGTATCTCCAATGTATGTTTTTTATTATCTGCAAATAACTGGTAAATATTATATTGTGATATATACAGATTAATAAATATTTTGTTCATTGGGATTTGCTATTGTTTTTTTTAGTTTAAGTATTATCGCTCATTTGAAAACAAATTATAGTCTAGCTAGTTCTTCATTAGATATATTTACTTCAAGATATTATTTTCAGCCCAATTTTTTTTATTTTTTCCAGGTACCAAAAAACAAATGAAAAACTCAAGCAGTTTAATGAGAAAATCACATCTAGTGAGGCGTGAGTGTCTGTTTGACTCTATTGTTATTAATTAATAACACTCAGACCATGGTTGGAAGCTCATAAAATCATATGTAAATGTTAAATGTTCATGTTTAATTGTGTGCTTGGTTTTTTAAGTTTTAAAAATCTGATTTCATGAGAACCTATCTCTAAATATAAGATATTCTCTAAAGTATAATTTAATGATGCTACAATTTTATTTTTGATTTTGTTGTTTTGCTGAAGCTTTAGTATATTATTAAGACCTAATTTGATAGTACATGTAGTACCTTAAGTAGTCTACCTATACCTGCTATTGCACAGCCATGCCAAAAACTAAATAACAAGTGAATACCAATGTTTGAAAGGAGCAAATGTCAGGATAATGACAAATTGTAAAATTTTAATTTAAATAAGCCATTAATCAGTAAGACATATGCTTCCATATGCACTGGGGATGAACTGGAAACAAGGGAGATTTTGCCTCATATCAAAATGGCTGCAATGAAAAAGGAGCATTTTCCTCTTATCATTGATAAATGTGCCTCATTTCTTAAGTAAAAGAATTAGTTTGTAAATATCTCAGCAATGACTGGATTGATTTCTAAGTTGTAATCATATTTTAAAACCAATTACCTGCCAAACATTTAGTTGCAATTGGAAAGATGAAAGGATTAAAATCGTGAAAAGAAAAAATCTTACCAAATGCTTCCTTTTCATTGTGATACGAGGCAAAACCTCCCTCGTTTCCAGTTCGTCCCCAGTTCATTCCCAGTGTAATGTGAATTTTGTTTAAAAATGACACATCCCATATTTAGCATTTTGTGAAGTATTTAATAAACAATGATGTTGATATTGCACAAAACCTCTGCCCTCCCCCATTCTCATTTCTATATTTCCTCAACCAATGAAGAATAGTCTTATTCAGGAAAGAACACAGTCAGATTAGTTTTCACTAATTTTATTATCCCAGAAAATGTAGTCTAGCAGGGATATAGAGAAGCTATCCATTCATCCCTCAATCCGTCCATCCGTTTGTGTGTCCAGGCCATAATTCAAAAACTGGTCAACGAATTTAGTTCAAATTTATAGGCTGATACTTAATTGGCATTGAACTTCTCATGAGTGGAGAATGAGTTTACAATATGCCCACTCAATTCAAAATTGCAACCATCTTTGTAAAAAAGGTAATCTTTGATCAAATACTGGTTGGTGGATTTAGGGAATTGTATATGCTGATGCTCGGAATCATTTGGTAGAGACAAATTAAAAACAGAGATCAAATGTATAAATTATTAATTTTTCCTGTGTCACTTTGCTTTTAAGGTCAGGCAAACACCATTAATCAATATTAAAAATGATTTGTTAACACTATTTCATGGTTTCCCATATTTGAACAGTCCTCATAAATTCTCCAGATTCTTTATTTTTCTTTTTTGTGTGTTTTTGTTTTCTTTTTTGTGTGTTTTTGTTTTCTTTTTTGTGTGTTTTTGTTTTGTGTTTCTGCTTTTTTGTTGCCAAATGGATTAGGGTTGGACTCCTCTGCATTCTATTTTTTTATTGTAGGTGCAAGATGAATGGATACGACTGATGTTGCTTTAGCTGTTCTGTATGTTTATGTACTGTAATGTTAAATATATGTGGGATTTTGGTTGGATGATATCATACAGAGAAAATGCTACATTATTAAATGCATAAGTGATTGCGTCAATTATTTATACCAATTGATACTAATAATGCTATCTTGCAAAGCATAAAATACCATTTATATAAGTCAAACTTAGAATGTCATTTCTAGTTAATATCCCAGAATGTTAAATCAGTGGTAAAAGTCAAATTCATCGCATTTCAGCAATGTTACTCTGAAAAGTTCTTTATTACCATTTCAACGGAAAACTATTTGGTCTTGTAGAGTTTCAATTTTTCAAGGCATAGTTTGTTAGTCAGTAGCATTTATACATTCCTCTGCCAGTCCAAACCTTTTGATAAAGCATAGACCCTTTCTCTTCAGGAATAGTTATATAATATGCACAAAAAACAGGGTATTCCAGAACTCATGAGAATTGAAGGAGACTTGTCATACTGTATTCTCTCTAATAAACGCACAGGGCGGTTCCCGAATTCTCCTGGAGGAGATGTCTCAAATGACAAAATCTCCTGGGATTTTTGAATGATGAATATTAATGGGCGATAAAAGGCTATTTCATGAAGAGGTAAAAACTATTTTTGGATCAGAAGATCCCATGTTTACTGCAAGTGTCAATGGTTTCCAATACGCTTTGGTCAATCGATAGCGTTAAGTGAATTAATGGAATTTACACTTTTATCGTTATCGTTTATCGTTTTTCCTTGTTCTTGATTTTTGTTACTCAAGTTGCCAGTTGTCTTTCATAAAAAAATTGTGTGTGCGTTTATTGGAGCACTGTATTTGTCTTTAATTTGGTGCTACTTAATTTGGTGCTTTTGGGCCTATTTGCGTCTATTTAATTTGGCGGTTTGCAAGTGTTTTGTTTATATAAATTTCTTCAATAGTTCTCATTGTTTCTATCAATTTAAACGGCCCGGCCATCTTAGTATGTGTTTCTTATAAGCAGAAATGCACCAAACGAAAAACATGTCAAATTCCCGGGGGTTTGGAGACTATTTAATTTGGAAATTATTTAATTTATTTAATATGTGCCAATTTAAAATGCTCGCCAAATTAAAGACGAATACAGTATGTGCACCTATTAGAGAGAATATGATAGGTGATTTATCTTAAAATTTGGTGCACTTTAACAAACTTTAACTTTAATTAAACATACATCGAGGAATAAATGACATGAATTTCAGGAACATAGCTCTTATATTTCCATATTTACTGACCCGCAATATGTGTTTAACCAATGTGGTAAGTTTGAAGTAAATTGACCAATGCATTCTCGTGAGTTCTGGGACACCCTGTAGTTGCATTGTCTGCCAACATTCCCATTCCCTGTATGAACTTGCATTTCCTTCCAAAGTTCCCATTCTCCTCTGAATGCCAAGTCTTTTTAGAGATACTTTTATACAGTATCTATTCTATGACTCGTATATACTTTATCATATACATGTACGAGTGAAGAATAAGTGTACATGCACATGTAGTTTCAATCATTTTCATATTAGCTCAGTTACCATACAATTTTGACGTACAGTATAATTGTCTCTGAAAAAACACATTCCCTGTTTGGTTTTTACCTCAGTCTGTACATTTAATTGTTGATTTTTTACTATGGGTATCTAGGCAAAATTACCTTATACACTTAGCAGACTTGATTGTTCCAATTCTGTGCATCATGGTTAATTTTTTCAATGTGAATCATGTTTAATTGATCCATGTATTCATATATCATGAATATCATTGATACGTTCACCAGAGTTGGTCGTTGCATCCATGTTGTTTCTCATTTTATTCCCTCTATGCCTGGCTTATTTGTTATGTCACCACTAAATAGTGGTGACATAATGTTATGTTCTCTGAGTCTGATGTTTTTTTGTGACGGTGGGTGACGATTGGCATTCGGCGTTTGTTACAAATTCTTACAATTTCCAATAACTTAACAAATACCGTCAATTTTTTTCAAAATCATCTACAAGTTCTCAAAACTTCAAATCTGACTTGAGATTTGACCTTCATTGACTTTTTCAAGGTCAGAAAAGTAAAAACAAGTTTTTTCATCTTTCATCAAGTTTTTAGATAACTCTTGTTATCGCGATTCCAGGAAAACCACTTAACGGATTTACTTCAAATTTTCAAACATGTTACATGGTATGAAGTTCTAGAGCTGATTAAGTTTTTGGTGGCCATCTTGCTATGTTTTGAGTACTATATTGTTCACCCTGTGCCTTGTTAGATTTGACCTTCAATGACCTTCTCAAGGTCAAAAAATGTCAAAAAGGTAATTTTCAACTTGCTTCAAATTGACCAATTTTTCAGAATCTTGACATTTTTCTCAGAATTTCAAATCTGGCTTAAGATTGAATTCACAATAGTGTGAGCAACTAGGGTGGTGACATTTTGTCATGTTGTCAAAGCCTTGTTCTTTTAATGTGATCATTATTTGAATGTTCTTTCCTTCTGATCTGGCCCTATGGAGAGTTCCATATACATAATGGTTGATTGTTCCTTATATGTGTTTCAGGTACCAGAAGACAGCCACGGGACTAAGGTCTGCTGGACAGAAGACAGGAGAGGCCTTCAGTAAACTAGGCTCATACACAAAGACAAAATTGGCAGATGTAAAGTAAGTAAATGACTGAAAAAAATTGAAATTGTACAGCAAAAAAACACAAATTCATATCCATATTTCAAGTGAATAAAAGCCTTCTTATCTTTCTTAAGTTAAGACATTAACCTAATGATTATGAAGATGATGAAACAGTGAAACATCAGTTGAGATAATCTTAAAGGAAATTGTAAATTATGCAAAAAATATGCGCTCATGAATGAATTATTCGGTATTTCTAAAATTTAAAATCATGCAAAATTAAAATGCGCCATGTAAAAATATAATTCTGGCATCTGTGGATTATATAGAAGGAAATGTGTTCTACATTTTCTGCCAACTAAATTAATGTCCTTATTTCTTATGATTTACCACTTGTGTGATTTTCTTTGTTTTCAGAAATTCTGAATCATTCAAATCTTTTGAGGATAGAGTTTCTGGTGCCTATACCAATGTTAAGGTATGTTGAGGTCTTGATTTCTGTTGGAGCTTGACTAATTTTAGCTATATTAATACCTATACCCATATATATATGTAGGTGAAGGCTGTTCTGTTGGCTTAAATCTTAATGGTTTGCAATTAACTAACTTTGGCCTACCTGCATTTTGTGTGTGTTTTACTATCTGTAATAAGTATAATGTTTTTGTTGGTTGCATAAACATTAAAATTCTATTAAACATTCTCTGACCAGTATAATGCAACATCTCTTTATTATTATCATATGTGGACGTCACTGCTGAAACAAGTGTAAATGATAACACTTAAGGAGAGTAGAAGGGATAGAAACAAAATAAGAGTTTGAAACTGTCACAATCTTACAATATTTTTTGTTCTGTTCTCGGCTATCTAGATATTTCTAAGACAATAACATTAGGATTGTAAGCAAAACATTACTATTTTGAAAATATTGCTCCCAGTATTTCGCACTCACTATCCCTTCTACTTCCTTAAAGATGTAATGATCATCCCGATCCCGAACATAATTAGTTTAAACCAATAACATGCAAAACTTTGATTTTCAATGGATAGTAATAAACATTGATCAATATACACGTACGGTACAGGTATCCCAGCATAGCCATAGTGGTACATAGTTCAGACCCTTTTTATAAAGAGATCATAAATTAATAAATGCATCTCCTATATTTTAGGTCTACCAGTACTGCTTGCTTGTTGACTTCATGATTATGCTTTGTTTATTTATTTTCTTACCAGAGGTCACAGTCGTTAGGGGGCATCCGACAGCGTATGGTGAGTGGTTCCTCATGCATGTTGTAAAGCACCACATTATTGAACTGATCACATACTTTATTATAGAGTTAGAAAAACAGACCTCTACTGTATCACTGTAGCTGTATCAGCAAAATAGTTATATCAGATAATCCTTACACATTTTTTACTTAATAATAATAAATCAAGTTCAATGAAAATTTGTTGGTACCATTTGTGTTTTCAATAAGGTCTGAAAAAGTGGGCTTGAAAAAGTAGATCCCAAAATAAAGTGATTAAAAATGTTACTTTTTATTTCAACTTTTTACTTGTTAATTAAGTGACAAACCGATTTAATTTTTTATAAAAAATATTGAAATAACATCCAAATCAAATTATGAATATTCAAAAGAGGACATTTAAATCTACAAGATGTAAAAATATCAAAATTGTCCGAAGCAGGCATAACGTACTGATGAACTTCATTGTCCAAACCGAGACTTGTCTTTCATGAACATTTATTCCATTTGTTGTTACTTGCCTTTGCTACAAGAAAGACATAACTTCATATTTTGCCATTCGGATAGCCAAAGAACCTAATGTATTCTGATTTTCTTTGTTTTCTGCTTTAAGTATTATTAATAAAATAATTTTAATAATTTGATTTGTCAAAGTAGAGTTGTGTGTATGCATTGTCTGTGGTTTTATGACATATCTGCTTCCGCTCAAATGTGGCTAAATGTTTTTCAGAATTTCAACTGCTGTTAAAAAGGAAAAAATTACAATGATTTTAATGTTAAAATCTATTTATTTGTAGAATATTTTTTAATCATTGGAACAAATACATACATTGGAAAGGTACATTAGTATGACAGAAAATGTTCAGCTAAATCTGCATTTTGCACATGTTATACTAACAGGGCTAACACATTGCTCTCATATTGTATAAGTCAAAGGATTTAGAAGGGAAAGGGAGCGCAGAAGTCATATAAAGATTACCTTTAGAATTCTTATTTCATTTTCTTGAGGTATCTGACCCAACTGAAGATTTAAAATGCAGAAGTGTTCAAATTCAATCGGTCCCCTTTTCATTTCATATGCCATAAAACCTTAAAAATTGAAGGATAATCCTGAAATAAAGTCAGAACTGTTTGAAATAGGTGTGACATGGAATGAGAGGAAAAAAATTGGGAAATTGTGACAATAGGGGATACACATATTATATATTATATAACATGATATCTTTAATTTACAGTTTTGAATGTTGCAATATTCATGAGAACATCAGATATCTGTAGATACTTTCAATATATGTGCTCATAGACTAGTACAATTACATCTTTTAACATAACATGCTTCATATAAGTGTAATCTGGGTTTAACCTGCACCGGGATTTGGGCTTAACTTACATTAATGTGCTATTCAAAAGTTTGCGTAAGAACCCCCAGCAAGTGACAACCCCCTTATCAATCAAACATGTTTTTATTTATACAAATTTGATTTGACGAGTCCACATTCGTTCAATTTGATAAAATCTGCTTCACTTCCGGAAATGTGCAGTAAGCCTTGATTCATTACTGTTAGCACTTGCGTATAATAATGAAATCTGATGTTTTAAAGAGAGCAGATTTGGGGTCAGGGTCCAAGGGTGGGGAATATTTAACTAGTTTTATTGCTCCCAGGGTGGGGAAATTGACTCATTAAATTGACCCTAGGGTAAGGAAAATGACATTCAAAATTTTTTGTGTGGGGATCACGCAAACCTTTATATGGTGCATAAGATCTTTGCATTCAGTACTAATATTTGAGGTGAGACTGGTGGGTTGGGTGAGGGTCAGGCAGATTCAACTTGATTATTGATTAAGGCTAGAAAAATTGTGCATGGGAATCCTCATATCATTAATTGTTTTTATTTTTATTACTTGTAAATCTGAGCAAGAATAATTGAATTATGACTTATAACTTATTACACAAGCTACAGGTTACCCAACCAACCTGCATAGCCTTACTAATATTCCCCTCACTTATTTACCATCTCATATTATTTCTGGATATGAATGTACAATATTTGATATAACCATGCCTCGGATAATGTGCCATGTATGTAAACTGTGGTACATAAAGAGATCCTATCAGAATATACGACATATACAAAAGTGAATGTGTTACAGCAAATGCAAATATTTTAATATGGTCTCCAAGTATGATTGTTGTAAAATAAGGCCAGGGTTTGAATGAATATGTACCATATATGTGCTAATGCTCACCCAAGCCTAACCATTAATGTACATGTACCAGTAACTAATATATTTTATTGCAGCTTAAGCGAGGGTTTTCACTCAATTCATCGACCAGCATGAATATCTCTGATTTGACATATCCTGACATCATTGAGGTACCCCCACCTGACACCACTGCCCTGCTGACATTTTTCATGTTGTAATATATCACACGAGAGGACATGCCTCATATGAAGCATCAACTTCTAATAATATATTTTTGTTTGATCATTACTTGAGACAATGATATCAAATTATTACCACTTATTATTGCTCTTGATGATAATATGAAAGCATTATCCTCTGCATCTGGTTATTGCAGTGTTAAATTTTTTAAAATGTTCTTTTTGTGATAGTCCATATATTGAAATGTGACATGTGTTACTTGAATAGTTTAGATCAGTTTATTAAGGCATCTCCTCTGTATTAGTTGATACTTTTTGCAGTTTGGTACTCTGTGTATTCTTTTCAGTTCTTGATCATATTAGGAAAGCTTTCGAGGATTCACACCCAAATACAAGTAGTTGTCAATTGTTCAGTTTAATAAAATGTGGGTGAGGGACTTTATGAAAACATATTACGTATATTATTTATAATGGAAAGACTGAAGTGTGTCACATGTCCACAAGAAGGGTTCCTAATATGTTGATGATTTTCTAAAAACTTGTAGTACAATACATGTATGTACAAATCATCAACAACAGTCTGTTATCCACCCCCAGACAGTAGCTTGTAGAATGCTTTCTTCTTGAATTCTAAACGAATACCTTTAAGCCCCAAAAAGTAAAAACAGTAAATATTCCTGGAACAGAGCACAGATGTGAAATATCCTGTTGTAATACACAATGCATGCATTAAAAGATTTGCCAAATCTATGGCACATGATTACATTGATGCTACCTTAGACTAAGGAACCAGTATGTTAGTGACTCTATTGGAGATGCTATTTTTGTAGATTGAATAGACCTGTTATCACTGCTGTGTTTTATTGCATCTGTTTATTAAGTATATTCTGATATTATCTGAGGAATATGTGAATCAATCCGGATCAATAAATATCAGATCCTCCATTCAATCACATGGTTCACTCACCTAATCAACCGTGTTTTCCTGGTACTGTTCACTGGACTAAAGGCCTCCTCACATATGAGTTAAAACCCCAAGGGGGCCTAAAACTGTTGGTTGTTCTTAAAGTGTATTTGCAGTGCCATTTATTTTATATTTTCATTGTTATGGCAACTGTTTCCAAGGTTTTCATTATTATTATCTCTTTGGAAGATAAATACTTTATCCTGTTAACATCAAACAATTTTCTTCTTACACAATCTTTATTATCCCAATGGACGAAGTTTGGTAGGGATATAGTGAAAAGTAGTAGAATATATAATCATAAGCAAGACTTTCTAATGACAATTTGACTTTGTGAGAAGTCATTTTGAAAAATGATTGCCATTACATACTAATTTATGTTTATTACTATAACTCAAAAAGCAGTGGAGCGATTTTGTTGAAATTTTTAGATGTGACCTCTTGACCTCTTCGAAGCATATTACATTTTCTTTTGACAATTGTTTAGTGAATGGCCATAAAAAAGGTGATCATTTCGTCTATGCTATATTATGTTGTTGCTATAACTGGAAAAGTTGTGGAGCAATTTTGTCAAAATTTTGTGATAATACTTTGAAACATATTATACTTTCCAATGACACTTTGAGTAGTAATGGGTCATTTTGAAAAATGATCATCATTTTTAGGTGTTTTTTCAAGTTTTTTGTTATAAATGAAAATGTGAATACTAAGAAGTATATTACACTGTCTAGTCACATTTTGGCAAATAGGAGAACATTTCGGTATATGGCAGCCATGGCTGTTTGGTGGAATTTGCTACTCTTGGAGTCACTGTTTTTCTCATTTATTAATTAAATTAAACTTTCGGTGTTGTATTTCAAATGAGGTATTTTGTCTAAAATTATTCCTGCTTGTCATTATCCCACCGAAAGAAGTTTGATGGGGGCTGGGGATATTTCAAAAAAATTTCAAAATGGCTGCTATTTTTGTTCTTAAAAAACATAATCTTTGATAACTCAAATGCTAGTGGATGGATTTGGTTCAAATTCTATATACTTCCATAGGTACAAAGGAGCTCTGTTCAAGAAGAAATTTTCAAGATGCCTGCTTCTTATCAAAATATGTTTTGTTTGGGATTGGCTACTATTTGTGGAGTTGCTGTTTCCTAGTTTTTCATTTAATTATCTTACATATAGTTCCACGGTCCTTTAATCTAAAATTATGTTTGTCTTCACTCTGGGAATTGAATTTATTTCCAGCTGTATGCCTTGCATTTAATTGGTCCAAAACAGCTAACATGGCCAACAGTCCGTGACCCATTACCATCTTATTAGACAAAGATACCACATATCAGGTATATGTAGTGTACATAGATATGTATTGAATCCTTCATACTTCAGTTTTTTGGTAATAAATCTGCCTTCTTGTTCTATGTCATCAGAGTATCAAGATTCAGAACTCATTGAATAAGACTTGTTGCCCATCTTTGCTATGAATTCCCTAAACTGTACTTGAGTGAGATAAGGCACCCGTGTGTTGGATTAGTTATGGATCATAGTTTGTTTTTTCCCACTGTGGTGGAGTAATTTTACACATCTGGATTTGGTCCTATCAAATTCATTATTTAATCAAATTGGAATGCTCTAAAAACCCTTGCACCTGTGACATGCACCTTCGACCTGACCTATTGGGTGTCTAGGATATTCTTCGATAAAAACATTTATAAAAACCCTGCAACCTTCAATTTCTCAGTCAAGGAAATGTCTCTGACCATAAAAGGAAATATACTATGACGATATGAATATTCATGAATTAGAAAGGCTTTGTACATGTCAAAACGTTGTTACTTCAAAGACTTAATAACCTACCGCTTGCCTGTCGATCAGACTTGCTGTCATCTGACACTGAAATCACTAAAAAACATACTTTTCAAATTACGATATCTCTAAACATATTACACCAATTACAATCACATCAGCCCTTAGCGCAGAAGGCCAATTCACTTTTAATTTAAGAAATAATTCTCAAATCAATGGACGTGTACTTTACTCTATATTTGACCAGAAAGAATATGAGAAACTGAAAATGAATAATTAATGCTCTGCGGGCGGGAAATGAATAAACACGCTAAATTACACTATTTAACGGCTCTAGTTTCAAAACTATATATCCAATCCACATGAAATCAAAACAAATAAAATTGAAAGATGCCTCTCATTGAAACATATATAAAATGTAATTTGATCTCATGGAAATAAACATGAAAATAACATGCAATTAGAAAACTCCCAATTACAATATGATAGGAAAAGCTCAAATAGTTTTACTGCCTCTTCAATGGAGGAGGTAAGAAATGTTCATGTTTGAAATTATTTGCACGATACAATAACTGTTTTCACCACTCTAGGGACACATCAGTTACTGCTAACATTACTTGTATAAAACTTAATAATCTCAACTTGGAACTATATGGACTGAGAAATTGAAGGGCGTATGCTTTTTATGAATTTATTCCAAAAATTTCTGGACATCCAGTTGAAGGTCGCAGGTGCAGGTCAAAGCGTTTTTTAGAGCATTCTAATCAAATTTACTGTCTTCATTCATGTCATTTACACTTTCCATACGTTTGATTTTTAGTTGGCCCTGAATTGACCAAGGTCTTAAAAGCTTGGAATGAGTTGTTGTTTTTAAATTTTATCAACAATGGCTATTATTAATGAAATACGAATACTTTATTTCCATTTTTATTGTATCTAACTTTTTTCATCCAATTCAGGATAAATTGATTTTGTTTAGTTCTCATTCAGAGTATAAATTACAGTTGTTATCCCATGAAACAAAGTTCAGGGGGTATATAGAATTAGGCTCCATCTGCACGTTTTTTTTAACCCTACTATCACACCAAACTAGTTCTCACTACGTTCTCGAAAACGGGCTTCAACTGTGTACGAACGGACTGGACCTACTAAGAACCGTTTGGGATCTATTTACAAACTTCATCGAACGTACTCGAACGGGTAGGTCCTCTAGAACTTAGTCAATGCTCAAAATGTTCTCGTGGTCGTCACGTTCTACAATTAGAATGAGTGACAACGTACTAACGACGAGCTGGACGTACTATGAACGGAACCGTCGTACTTCAATCCTACTAGGGACGTTTTAACAACGAGTTGAACTGTCTGAGGACGTGTTGAGAACGAGGTAGAACTAATTGCAAACGGGTTTAAACTGATTAAGAACGTATTTAACACTGCTTATGAACGAGTTAGCAAAAATATAGCTATCCCACCAAACAAGTTGCCACTACGTTTTTCAGAACTGGTTTTAAACTGTGTGCGAATGGAATGAACGTAACTGCAACTTTCTAAGATCTATTTACGAACTTTATGAACGTTCTCAGACGGGAAGGTGATTTTAGAATTTTGAATCGATTCAAAATTCGATGGCGACAATACCGTTCTGTAATCAGGTCATGTTGACCTTTTAGACTAAGGGACGCGTTCTACGACGTTGCACACCGACGTGGTGCGACCTGAACGAACTGCGAACGAGATGGACGTATTGAAGACTGTTTAAGAACGAAGAAGCTAATTATTTCAGACATATTTCCCGACCACAGCCAGATTGAGCCCGTTTTATGCCGTTTTCGTAGGACTGGCAAGAACGGGTAAGAACTAGTTTGGTGTGATAGGGGGGTTAGCAACAGAGTGATTTTTTGAAATTTTATATGTGAATAATAAGAAGCATGTTACACTTGCTTGTGACTCTTTGGCTAATGCCTAGTAGGCACCCATTTTCAAAAATGGCAGCCATGGCTGTTTGATGGGATTAGCTACGCCTTGGCGTTGCTGTTTTCTAGTTATATTTATTTGTTTTGTTTTTTCCTATAGCTAGTACAGTGCACAGCCACAAGATATGCCTCAACCTGGAGAGACCATTCTATTAATTTATCTTGTCAAACTCATTGATCAACTAAATTCATACATTTTCATTGGGTTGTGTATTAGCCTAGATTTTTGTCTATATGTTTTAGATATCATACAAAGGAGAGTTGTTTTGAATGTTAATGTGTTTTTATTTATTTTTTAAAATGTATATAGTCATATACTTTTAAGCATGTTTTAACCAATCTATGAATTTTTCCACTGCCATATATATAGTGCTATTCATTTTCCCCTTTTTGGTGGATTGTTCCATCATCATATACTAATATGTTCAGCCGTTCTAACTCATTGTCATGTGCATCATGTGCCTAACATGTACATGTAATTAGAATCCATGTTGCTATTATCTGTTGCTTTTTATTTCATATTCTTTTATTCTTTTCTAATATTGGCACTGATTAGTATTTTCACTAATCTGTTTCCTAACGAATTCTATTGATAAACTCAAACTTGTAACATATGATTCCCCAGGCTGTTGTAATATACTTAACCCTTGTCCAACTGTATTGTTTGTCAGAAAATCCTGTTTTGATCATGACTTTTGATTCCAAACAGTCCGTACACATACTAAATATTTAGTTGAAATTTGACGTGTTGAAACGAAGACAACTACATTCTTTGTTTCCAGTTGATCCTCAGTGATTTTATCAATGACCAACTGCCATGCTTGATAAATGAATATCTGTTCATTTATCTAGGACATATTATACAATAATAATGCATTAAATGCATTTGTTGATGTTTCATGTAAAAGTTCACAATGATCATGGCCGCTTACAGTTAGACAAGGGTTAACTGTGATGTAATCTTCATAGTAGATTCATGTATAATTGATGGTAGTCATTTCATCAAATTGATAAATATACTTAATGTATGCCAATTGATTAATGGAAGGCCAGAATCAATATGTTTTAGTTATTATTTTAAACTGCCAAGCATTTTTTAAACATCTTATTTGTGATTTAAATACAGGTATTTTAAACTACACTGATTTGTGCATTATATTCAATAGTTTGCATTCAATGCTCATCTTCTTTTCTGCAGGCAAAGGTGTCAGGCAGTAAATCCGAGAATAATTTTGAAGAAGTCTTGAACAACACAGCCAATGAAAATGCTTCAGGAGGCTCTGGCAGCACGTCTCCACTTCCCGAAGAAAAAGTCCCGCTATAATAAACACTCCATAGACTCCAGACCTTGAAGGACACAAACTTTGTAAGGGTGATTCATGAAGAATTACCAGATTGCAGCCAAACCAGTTTTACTTATCATTGTAAAAACAATTTATGGTACTGGTACATTTTAATGGCATAAATATATAAACATGTTACACTGCTAAATGTGGACCGGGATAATGCCTTCCTTAACTTGGTATGTGGTTTTGAAATTATATTCCATATATCTTCAATGTCTTATTCGTGTAAAACTGGGAATTGTACCTTCTAATGGTATCATCCATTTATAATTTTCTACTTCATTTCAATATTTTTGAGTTACAACATTAAATGTAAAATGTAGTGTTGCATATACATGTACATGCTATTATTTTATTATTACTACTAAGCCTTCATATGAAGCTGGTTAAGCTATCTATATGATATTATATTCTTCCATCCAGTCACTATTGAGCATAAGTCACTTAGGGTAATATTGGCAACTAAAACTATTTGAATGATTGAAAAGTATTTGCTCAAATTATGCAGGTAGTGCTTCACAGAAAAACTTAGATTTGGAATAATGAAAGTGAAAGTGTTTGTTTTAAGGTGCTGCCTAACATAAAATTCAGAATTTGTGATTTGACTATGAATCTAGACAATTTTTAGTGACAAAATTAGTTTGACTTGTGTACATGTATGTTTAGTACATTGAACAGCTGCATCCTTCCTTTGCTTCGTCTGTTCCAATTTATCAATTGACCAATTGATGAAATAAAAATGTTAAATCTGAATTTGTAATTTCCATGTATGATTTTTCAACATTTAGTGCAATGATTAATCCAGTGTGAATTATGCGTTGTTTTAATGCATTTTCAACTCTGCATAAAAGTTATTTTGCTATTCATTCCTGGAAATTAAGTCTGAGTCGAGTTCTAAGCCATGAGCTATGAACCTCAAACTCAGGCTTATTGGTGAATTTAATGTACAAATTTGAATGTGTGTAAAAAGCTTTGTATAAATTAGTCTATCCTCCAATTACAGGGCATTATTCATGTAGTACACATGTACATGTTTATAATGATAATCTACAAAATCATGCCAGTGAGCCAATTTTTGATCTTGAGATCCTGTACTTGGAGAAATTAACAATTCTTACCGTGCATTATAATAATAAAAAGAAACTATGCTTATAGGCTGTGTGATTATGAATCAACGTCTAGTAATGATCAATGCAAGATATCTATGTATTAGAAATTAGTGAAATAATCAATAATATTATGCCATCGAACAAAGTTCGTAGGGATATAGAGAAGCTGTCCATCTATCCGTTTGTTCATTTGTCCAGGCAATAACTCAAATACCGGTTGACAGATTTGGTTTAAATTTGAATTAAATAAAAAATATAATCTTTGATAACTCAAATACCAGTCAACGGATTTGGTTCAAATTGTATATACTGATGCCATATGGACATAGAAATCTGCTCAAGAAGGAATCTTCAAAATTACTTATGAATTTAAAATGGTCCCCTTATTTGATTTAAAATATATTTTTTGATAACTTAATACCTTTTTCAGATTTGGTTCATATTTTATGTGCAGATTGGCTAAGGACTCTGGCCAAGAAGAAATGCTAAATTCAAAATACTGCCATTTCTCAAGAAAATTATGATAACACAAATACCAGTTACCAGATTTCTGAGATTTGGTCCAAATTTTATGCGCTAATGTTTTATGGACACACAGCCATAAGAACTCTGATCAAGAAAGAATTTAATATATGACAGCATGTCACATCATAGGTGTAGATTTTGCCAAAAGGAGACAATGCTGCTGTACTCTTTCCTGGTTATTTCTATCATGTAATGTCCAAAAATATGTTTTGTTTGGTGGAATTTGTTACTCCGTGGAGTTGCTGTTTTCAAGTTATTGCAAGGTAAAGATTGAAGAGTTAAGCTCTGCAATTTAAGATTGCACGAATCACCCTGTTTCCTGTATCCACACCTCCTTCAACTGGCTGGAGTCTGATATCAGCCATTGTTTTTTGTGATCACCCAGTAATTATGTCCGTATCCATCCAGGTTACTAGGCTTTTAAACCCTATTTTTCCAATTTTGCCTCATAAGAGGTTGCCATGAGAATGAGGGTGATTCATGTTATCGAAAAGTGTTATTCAAATAATGGTTATATATCAGTATGTATTGATGTAATTGTAAATTATACATATGTTACTCAAATGGGTTTGAGGGATGTTAAATAGTGCAATCTGTTGAACATGTATATAGTGAGGGATAAGGTAGTAAAGTTAAATATATATGATATAACAATAACAGATGATGGAAACCAAATATGAAAGTATTGTCTCTGTTTAACATTCCGCTGTATTAATAGGAGAAATTGAGTATGACCTAATAGGTGTCACTGTATCACTGTGTAGAGTATGCATCTTACACTGCAGGGGTGCAACCAGCTTTCAGTCAAGGGGGTGTGATTGTGGCATAAGCGAGCCAAACAAATTTTTCTTTAAGATATAATCTGAATTTTACAACAATTGATGCAACTTCCTTCAAAAATGAGCTGGAAGCTTCAAATAAAAAACATTTTAAAGCTCTTCTTCTATCTAATGGTTCTGTTTTCATTAGTTATGGGGGAGTGTGTTCGCAGACCATCGCACCCCCCCCCCCCCTGGCTATGCCTGTGTACTGTAATCACCTCACACTGTGTATTCACATTACACTGTGTAGTGTTTACACCTTATGGTGTGTAGAGTATACACAATAGAGACATCTTGCACCATGTAGAGAATGCACATGTGTGAACTGTGTAGAGTATGTACCTTACACCATGAAGAGTATGCTCTTTGCACCATGTAGGATGAATCTTATATTATGGAGAGTATCCATGAAGAGTATGCACTTAACACTGTGTAAAGGATGCGCACCTTTTAGAATATGCACTTTACGATGTATTGAAGATAGATGATGCTCCTTATACAGTGTAGGGTACACATTTTACCCCATTTAAGGTAGGCATGTGCACCTTACACATTGTATAGTATGTGCTTTTGCACCATCTAGAGTATGCATCTTACACCATGTAGCATCTAGATTGATATTACCGCGTTTAGATAGTTGTAGTGTTTAGACTCTAGTCAAAAATTTATCTTCTGTTTGATCAAGAAAATATTCAAAAACCGAAATAGAACTTTATATATTTTATCAAAGTATATGCAATAGCTCATTCAAATCCCAAACCACCATGATAAGAAATGTAAATTGGCAAGTTACAGTAATATTGAGCAAGAATAATGTAAGATGCACTGACCAAACAACACTTCAATTTTGTTATTGTCACTACAGTGATGTAGTGAATAAATATTGTATCATATTTTTCACAACTTACAAATAATCTGTTGTCTGAATGCGATACAATTAATGATTTAATAAATTCAAATAGATTGAATATATTTCAATATTATGTGTCTTCTTTGTTAAAGATGTAAAAGGGAAATTCATAGATATGTGGATTGTGGAAGAAGTTTGGCCACTTCCTATATAAAGTTATCATAAGCCTTCTTTGTTTTTTGAGGTCTCAAATATTTCATATTTATGTACTCCTAAATTATTTGAAAGCTTTGGATACATAGTATCTTAATATATACACGATTCCATGTTCCATTCTAAGGCAGACCTGATTTGATCATGGAAGGTCAAGGCCATAGCATTTTTGCCCCAGGTATCATTAAAAAGAAAAATAAGCCATTTGTAGTGCAAATTACATGTGTTTTCAACAAAAATAGCTTATCAAAGCGCACTAACACTCACATAAGTCTTTTTAAAGACATGACGTTTTATTGCAATCGAACTCCTGTGGAGCACTAGCAACAAGGCGATACTGTTGACACACACCATTAGCCAACAAGATTGACATACCATAATCAGAGGTGTAAGTGCGCTTGAATGAGATGTTTTTGTTGAAAACGTGTGACCATGTAATTCGCACCGCATCTAGGCATATTGTTTTTCGTGATACCTGGGGGGAAAACTTGGGGGGAAATATTATGGAATTCTCTAGCGCCACAGACAGTTCAAAAACACAGCCCAAAGGTGTGCATCACTCTAATTAGTACTTATAAAGGACTTAAATGAATTCCAAATCCAGTTCATGAACAATAACAATGAGCCAGATGCCAGTAGGTAGTTACCAGTTTCAACACTAGGTGGCTATTTCGACACAGATTACTTGACAGATATAGTTACAGAAAATTACCTTAATTTGAATAGTGATCAGGTTAAATGGATCATATGAAAGTATGTCCAGTTTTTGTGATTTTATAACATGGTCTCTGCAGATTCTACCCAACCAAGAAGTTATTGAATATTTGATGACATCGATTTTTGGGGGGATTTGCATCTATCGCAAGTGGATGTGGAGACTCCTCATATGGAATATTTCGTGTTGAGTTGACTGGAGTTCAGTCTCACCTGGCAATGATGTTACAGTATTGATCCCTGAATCCAGCCAAGAAAATATTTCAAAGATCTGACCAGATAATGAATGATGAATAAACAATCTGATTGGTTGAGAATATTAAGCTGATGTTGAATGTGATTTCAAAGTCCCTTGATTGACTATGTCATCCTATTAGTGTTATAATATACATACATGGTGATCAAAAAACGGAAACCCTGCATTTTCCTCATATCTCAGTCATTACTCCCTGATATTTGACACAAGTGTACATCATTTGATTTTCTACCACCCTACCACATTTCATGACCATCAGACTGACGCATGTTGCAGGACTTTGAACAACATGCTCCAGGTGAGGCCATCATCGCGCTGTAGACAAACCTGCAGTTTTATTAGAGGAGTACTGATACAAGAAAAAAACTTCATTATATAATACATGATTTTATTTCTACTCAAGTAATAGATGTACAAAACAGCTTTATTTGACATAATAATGTGACACTATCATAAATATGTGTAGCTATAACTATTCTTGTAAAGAAAGAGAGCTTTCTTGAACAATGATAAAACAGTATGTGACACTTCTTTATTAACAAATACATAGAAAAATAGATTTTAAGATTTTAGATAAGCAGATTAAGCTTATTGCAGATAAGCTTTACTATGGCTGATAGCCTATCTTGTGCGTAGATTTTACCCATTTAATTGTTTTAGCAGAATTGTCATCACTACTCTCCATCTAGTTGTTTTCCACTGACATAATACCATAATGTACCAACAGTCCAACATGGATGTTTTTCTGGGGCTTTTTTCTTTTTTCTCTCAATTTACAAATTCAATTTGGCTTGATGATGTAGCAAATGTTCCAGTTTTAACAGAATGAGAAAATAGCTTCACTGGAAGGTGTTTATTTCAGACAAATCCATTGAAAAAAAGGTGTACTATCTATTAAAGAAAAAAATGAATTCATTATTGTTCAGATCTTTGGTGTACCTTAAATAAAGTTTATAATACTAAGGGGTTAGAAAATAGACATTGATAAGAACTGATATGAGCCCAAAATATTCTAAAATTGAAACTTGCCAGCTTACTAGATCTGATACTACCTTTAATTCTAAATGACTGGTGAATATAGGGTATGAAACTACAGTATATTATAATGGTTCTATTCTAAAATTACAAGATCTACAAGCATGCAATAATAAAACCTTAATCCATGATACAAGTCATGTAAACAATGATACAATGCCTTTCTTTAAGAATATCTGACATCAGTTTTGAAATAATATATGTAACAAAACAAAGCAATGTGTGACTGTAACAATAGCATTGTCAGACACATTAAGTCATTAGAAAGTATAGTAATGACATAGGTTTCAATATTTGAACATTATTCACATATACAGTAAAATAAAAGCGAAATTCTGCAATATGTGAATCTCCATTATGGCATTTTCAGATATGTTTAACAAGGGAAGAAAAGTGATGCTTTAAGCCTATTGTCACTCTACTATACCTAACCCCTAGAAATACATAAGATATTCTATTTGTCTAATTGTATTGTTTAGTATATTTTTGAAAGTACCTTATTAACATCTAACAGTCCTCCAATAAACCATTCATAAGGAATACACACATAAAAACAAATCACATAATCATTACTAATAAGCCAAATGGGTTGCTCATGAACACCAAATGCAAGGTATAGTAGAGTGATTGTTATATCCGTCATCAGTTTTTAATTTTACCAAAATCTGCATATACCAGTACATGTATAAAAAAAAAATATTACAATAAATATGACAGACATGTTTTTATTATATAAAATTAAAGGCATGAATCATTCTACTTTTTGCCTCCAAGAGCACATCCAAGAAATGTATCTATATGTTCATCAAATGATCTGGGATATTATTTGGTTGATACCCAGTAAATGATTCATTCTTAATTGTCTGACTCCCTGGTGTAGATTTATGTTTTCGGTATTTCCCTCTTTTGTATCCACTTGCCCTACGTTTGGCCAATTGCACAGTTTTCCTGGCTCCATTAAACACGTAACCTTGACCTCTCATACGATTCCTCATTTCCACTTCCATATGTCGCTCAAGGTCGCAACGTTTAATAAAAGCCCTATCGCATATATTGCACATGAACTGTTTTGTCTTGTGAAAAAATAAATGCTGTTCGATTTTGTCAAGTCGTTTTGACCTATAGGGACACAATTTACATTCATACATTTCCCTATTATTAACGTTGACCAGAGAGTATGACTGAAATATTGCATCTGAATGTTCATGTTTCACCGCTTTGTGGCCCAATACATGGGCCTCATAACATTCTGGGGACCTTGTCTTATAGCTACACATTCTGCAAGGGATCTCTGTACTTAGCATCTTTAACTTAGTGGAGTTAGCTGGACTTGTACTTGATGTCACCATGACATCTGCAGATGTCACCATAGCATCAACTAAGTCACCTGTTGTCTGATTTGATTCTGATGGTGAGATTGATGTGAAACTTGATGTAGAAGGAAGGCTTTCATTGATGTCATTCTTTTCTTGAGTTTTATTCTTATGAATTAGTCCTAGCATGGTTAACAAACGATCATTTTTATTCTTTGACTCAGAAGTGTTTTCATCAATTTGAGAGTCTGCCTCCTTATGTTTAGAGTCCTCATATTCCTGGATTGCACCAAGCTCCCCTTCACTAATGACATTTTCATTTTTGGTTGGTAATTGATTTGACATAACTCCATTTTCAGTTGGGTCCTTTGGTATTTGATTATCAACAGAAACATCCATCTTGATCTCTTCATTGTTGTGTTGATTAGGGATTTCAAGTGATACATTCTCATCTTCTATTGATTCACCTTTATCTATATTATCAGTAGTGGTTGCTGCTTCAATATCATTAGAATCAGACCCTTTCACAGTTTCTGTTTTTTCAACTTGATTTATCTCTGTACGAGGTACACTATTCTTTGGGTTTTCCTTACCAGGTCCCTGTAGTTTTGTCATCCCACCCACATTGATCTTGTATACAACATTATTTTTGGGTTCTGGTTTATTTTTCAACATCACTATTGCATTTCTATTGGCAAATAGCTCAACCGTATTATCACCTTGATACTTACACTTAAAATGACCAGTCTTTATACATTTGTTCTTGGTAATAGTCTCCAGTCTTGCAGTATTATTGGTAAGTTCTAATCCATCATTGATATCTGTTTGTTCTTGTTTTTGTTTCTTTTTCACCAGTTTGGGTATTATTTGTACTTCTTTGTAGAGAATGTTTTGTGACATTTTCAGAGCTGATTCTGGGCTGTAACTTTGGGACTCCTCAGTTGCTATATATCCCTTGCCTCCATGTTGGATTCCGTGTTTCACTTTGCACTCTTCAAGGTGAATCTTTAAATTGTCTTTCGCCACAAATATCATGTTGCATAATAAGCACTTGAATGCAACAGTTGATTTAGGAACACCAAACTTGTCAACTGTTACCTGTAACAGTTGCCCAGTTGTTGTTTTTACTTGCTTTACACATGTGTAACTCTTCTCAGATGGAGGCTTTTGTGCATCGAACATACTTCTCATAGTTTGAAATCTGCCACCGGGATCCCTTGGTTTGTTCATAGCAATAGATGACTGCACCGTTGAACCACCTGGGGCCATCACAAGCTTTGTTTTGTGTTCTTTCTCGACATGATAACGAATAGCCTGTTCTGATACAAACATGTGTTTACAATACATACATACAAACATGCACTTCTTCGAAGTATTCCCATGCTCTGGAGAACTGAAGGGGATATGTTTTATAGGTACATGATTGGTGGGCTGAATGTAGGAAAAATCTGATGTCACTGACCCAGCTACTGACACAATCTTTGGAGAGAAATCACTGATATCACTCACATTATGTGATAGTTGCCCTGTATCCTGACACACTGCAGAGGCTTGTATTAATAATGGAGAGGTCGGTGCTGATATTGCAGATGTTGTTAACACAGCAGATGCTGGTGATGATATAACAGGTACTGCTGGGCCATCAGGGATATCTAGTGATGGCACATGTTTGACTTCTCTATTTGTACTCTTGCATAGCACCCCTAGCATCTCATTTGCAGTTAAACTGTGTGTCTCCAAATGTTTAAAGAATCGTACTGTGCTATTAGATTTGAAGCCACAGGTTGGGCATTCAGACGCATGATCCGGATGTATTGTCCTCAAATGCTTCTCAAATGAATTCAAACTAGTTGAGTTATACTTACAATCGTTATAGTAAGGACATTCATAGTAATATTTCTCATGTGTATCAACATGCCGTACAAAATCAGATAAATATAACATAGCTTTGTCGCACACTGGACAGATATAGTTGCCATTATGTGATTGCATGTGCATATCATACCTGACTTTTTGATTGGTTTTATATTTACACCTAACACAATTATAAGTCCATGCCCCCTGGTGTGGTTTCCTAGGGCCTCCGATCCAATCATTTTCTGGACCTGGATAATAGTCTTGAGATTCACCAATATATGAATTGTCATATGGCATGTTGGGGTATTGAGGCTCTGCTTTAATTTCCAGGGACGGGTCATCAGGGCTGGCCCAGATTGAAGAGTCCATAAGAGAACTCGCTGAAATAACAATGCATTAACAATGCATTAACATGACAAGGTGGAGGAGGTAGATTAAACAAACTCATTTATTTCATATAAACTTCATTTTACAAGTATATAACATGACATTTTGTACATGACTTGTGCATAAAAACAACATTATGATTCATCAAAGTAAATTATTGGGCCTCGATAAGAGCATGAGATTAGCATGATCTTAAGTGCAAACTAATAACTAAGGTGGCTAGTTAATTCACAAATATGTAAAAAGACTAGTAAATTCACTAACATGTCAACGTTCTTGTCCTCCCTGATCTTCTTACTCCATCAATCGCTTCAGAATTCACGTTCCTGACAGATGATGGTCTATAGCTGGGGTCCTCATGGTTTAAACCCATTCTGCTGCGTCGTGGAGACAAGCCCTTTTCACTGGGACCACCATCAGATGGAGTCGAGGTATAACCAGGACCAGGCCAAAGACCTCCAGTGCGTTGTGGGGAATGCAATGTGTTGATACTTTCTTCATCAATATCCATTTCATCATCACCCTGGTCTAAAAAAAACAAAATAGATATATACTTTGTAATTCAATTTGCTACAGTTTTAAAGACAAGGCATTAACATGACAAAATGTCACCACCTGGTAAGCAAATGGTTAAAAAATTTGGTCAATTTGAAGCAAATTCGAAAAAGACCTTCTTGACCTTTTTTGACCTTGAGAAAGCCATTGAAGGTCAAATCTCAAGTCAGATTTGGGCTTCTGAGAACTTGTAGATGGTTTTGAAAATCTCAAATCTCAAGTCAGAGAACTTGTATCTCAATAATGATTTTGAAAAAGAATTTGGTCAAATCGAAGCAAGTTCGAAAAATACCCTTTTGACCTTGAGGTAAAATCTCAAATCTGAAGTTCGATTTGAACTTCTAAGAACTAGTAGTTGATTTGAAAAATTGATTAATTTGAATCAAGTTCGAAAAAGGTCTTTTTGAACCAGAGGAGGTCTTTTAAGGTCACATCTAAAGTCGGATTTGAACTTCTGAGAACTTGTACAGGGTGTTCAAGAAACAGGACCTAAGAAAAGTTGGATAACTTAGTCAATCTTCCATATTCTGCCTTGAAAATTCAGAATTATTCAATTTATTCAATGTGATTTGTTGTGAAAGATGATTATCTACTTATTGAGTCAGAGTTAATGTACTATATAGATGTGTTACAATTTGGAGAAACCACCTGGTATGGAGAATGACGTCACATTAATTTTGGGGAATTCTTAATATTCAAACACTTTCACTTTTGTTATTAGAGCACTTTGACATTCAATTACATATCGAGATTGCATTTATTCCATTTAGTTAATGAAAAGGAAACAAATTGATGATATTTGTGAAAAGTTGCTTTAACGATTTCTAAGCCCTTGAATAGTCCTGAAAGTTATATAGATCCTTTAAGTTGGATTAGTTAACTTGTATCTTACCTCCTGGACGCTTTACACTGTCAAGATACTGCTTTCGCATGAGTGCAATCTCATTGTTAACTTCTGAGTCACCATTATGATCATTCTCAATGATTGAATCACTGTTATCAGCACCTGCCTCACTGTTACCAACAGCATCATCTGTATCCATATGAGGGTCACTGATTGGCACATTATCTGGCACGCTCTTTTTGAATGTCTGGGTAAGTGCCATATTAGGCATCTCATGATGATCATCATTGTCAGAATCTTCATTTTCTGTATTCCTATGCTGATTGTGAAATCTTTTGATTGGTGACTTATGGTGCTGACTATGTAGTGGCTCGTGCCTCTGGACATCAGACGATTTTATGAAAACTTTGTCACAGAATTTACATACATATTTCCTGTGTATGTGTGCCTCCATATGCTCGTCATATTTATGCTTTGATGGGGTTTTATAAGTACAAGGAATACATTCAAAGTATTTGCTCTTGTCAAGCTTTCCATCTACTTTAATATTCAAATATATGTAATTTTCTTTTTGACTCCCATCAGGATTGTTTTTATTAACATCATCTTCCTTCATGCTTACTGGAGACTCTGACTGCTTTTCATTATTTTGTTCAGATTTGTCCACAGGTTGGCTCATTTTGTCATCATTTTCTACAGAATCAAGTTGCTGATTTGATTGTTCACCAATATCATCAATAGTTGCATTACTGACACTTGCACTGCACTCTGCCACAGTGTTTTGTGCTTCAGGGGTTTCATCCATCAGTAGATCATCTGCCTCATTTAAATTGCTAGGAACTGAAGGATCCTTAGCATTAGATTCTCCATTTATAGACTTAGAATCAGTTTTGTGAATAATATTATTGTCGTCATGCTCATTTGAAACTCCATCATTTTCTGTAGGTTTACTACTCTCATGTTCATATTCATGGTTTCCTTGTGTTTGATCTTTGTGGAGATTACACTCATTGTTATCTTTTGTCCCCGTGGGGTGATGAACTCCATCAATGTCATTGTTTATACTGTCACTAACAGTGGTCTTGGGTTTGTTATCCGGTATGTGCTTTTTAATTGCATTAGGGGAGGTGTCCAGATGTGATGGCGAGGGCGCATACATTTTGGTTGGGTTTTCAGTAGAACTATCAAATTCAATTACATTGTTTCCAATCTTATGTGTTTTATCAACTTGTGAATAGGTACATGTGTCAACTGAGTTCTCAATGGTTTGGTGTGAGTTGACTTGTTCTGAATTTTCACTTTGAAATACTTCCACCGGTTTGCCAGTTGATGGTTGAGGAGTGTTTGTATCAGATAGAGTTTGTACAACATCTGGAAGTAATAGTGGTGGCCATATACCAGTTGAACTTCTCTCTGAAGATTCATGACATGGATTTCCTTGACATTCTGATTCTTTATTACTCATCAGAGTCTCCGTTGCACTGTCCTTTGGATAAGAAACTGGAATTCCTTGTTTTAATGGAGGGGGCTTTGGAAGCCTTGAATTGATATTATTGCCATTCAAGATACCATGAAGTGGATCAAATGCTTTCCGAAGTTCATGATTTTGAGGATACTGATGTGGTCTGGATAAGGGATAGGGTCTGATGTCCATACCCTGGGGCACTGACCTCAAAAATTGCTGCGGAGGAAGTTTTCGATGTATTTCTTCTGCTGACAGTCTTCTCATGGAAGAAACCATGTGTGGCATTCCATGAATTGTGAAATTGGGATCTAACATGTGTTCAGACTCAAGCATGTTTCTTTGAATAGAATTCTGATGTTCCTGTTGAATTTGAAAACCCATGTTCTGATTCAACTCCAACTGTTGTTCATTCACTTGTTGTACCTGTTCATGAGGACTGTATGACCCAGTTGACTCTCTTAGTTCAGCCATCCTCCTCCTGGTGTTCTTTTCAAGTTCGTTAATGACATTCATTGGACTTCTTTGTGGAGTTTCTCTGTTGAGTACTTGTGGGAACCCTTGGGGATAATGAGGGGGCATCATTTCTGGGGAAAGAGGCATCATTTGAGGAGATGGCAACATGGGAACTTGTTGGTGTAGACTGGTTTGCAGATGAGGGGGAAGACCAGGCATTCGCATATGGGAAGCAGGAGTGTTCATATACACTACACCTGGGGGTGAAAGCAAAGGCCTTTGATTAGAGCAATGTTCTATCCCCATATGGGGCCCCAGCATATCGGGCAAGCCTTGTGAAAGCATTTGTGGTGGAGGTGGGCCTCTTTGTTGAAAATGTTGTCCTGCATGTTGATTGAATAGATGTTGACCATTTTGATGAAACCCAGGATCTGTTTGCGGCATATGTCCATACATTGTCCCTGGTGGAAGATCAATAGCGGAATAATCTTCCTCCATATTTAGATCTACACTGAAAATATAAAATATTATTTTCAGGAAAAGATGCATTGAACCAAGTCTGTTTTTCTTATCTCAAAAAGTAAGTATGTAAGCCAGGACATACTGTGAGTATACATATTCAATTAATCAGATGAGAGGAAAATAAACTGAATGTAAAATATGGTAATTCATTTTGATTTCTTCTTCTTCATCCTTTTAAGTGTCACAGAAACTTGTAGCCCTATGATATAAGATACTTATGTCATATCTGAGTATTTATTATTATATATATTAATAAGGACAAGAGTGCTTCACCATTTCCGGAAACTGGTATTTTTAAAAAAGTGAATTAGTGTTCAGAATTCAATCATTAGGTCTCATTTTGAAGATGAATTATTCATCTGCAACACACATGTCATTATATTACTTGTAGATACCCTGCAAATACAATTTTTTGTCATATCTGTTACCAATACCTTCACGACCAAAAAACAACAAACCCAATTTTCACATTTTACCTTACCGATTGAAATCCCTCAATCTTTCGTTAATTGACCTCTGGTTTGCTCCAGGTGTTGAACACATACATACTCAATGTTATACCAATTGTCCAATTGTACTCTTATACTTTAAAATAGTGTAAAGGCTTACTAATTTGAAAAATTAACTATTCTCTGCTGCCATCTTGAAATAATAACATTGTAAACTTGACCATTCTGACCTTTCATAATTTATCTTTTAAAATGGCAAAATAACATATTTTTACAGGTGGTGCAGCATGAGCATCCCTTCACATCTGTAATAAGTCAGTGAACTAGATTTGGGGAGAAGTCGCTAAAAAGGTGAGTTTTGGATATTTGACTAAATGTCATTGTGTTTTGATTCTGAAGCATGGGTATCAGAAACACCAATAATTCATTATTTATGATGTCTAAATGTTATGCAGTGACATTTATCTTACAGATGAAAGATTTTTCTTCAAAGTGAGACCCTAGATCTAATTTTAAAATTCTAGTCTACGTTTCTTCTCTTGGCTGGGAAATTGGGATTTGCCATAGTACATCGTTTCTATAGGTCGATTTCTCCCCAAAGATCCTTGTTTCAGCGCTTAATCGCTTGTTTTATATGACAAAATCATATAATTATATCGTATCCACGTATCAACGCTAGTTTTTCTTCAGATAAGCCCTCCAATCGATGAAAATTGACATAATAGTGAAGAAGTTTTGTTCAAAACTGACATGCAGTACTGTTGACCTAGAAAATCTACACATTTTCAAAATTTTCTAAATATGCTTTGAATAATATTATGTAATTTCTGGCGAGGGAATCAAAAATATCATAGCTTGTGATTTCACAACAAGATAAATGAACATGTAAGATATTTGGTTTTATCGATTAAATCATCACATTGACATTTGGTATTCGTAAACTAGATGGTGAAAATAGAGACAATAGTAAACTTCCCAGGAATTTAACATCTGCATAAGCAACGACTGCACAGAACGAATGCTAGGAGATCGCTGTCAGGCAAGATAGTTATACGAGTCTTCTGCGTTTTTTCAGTGCACTTTATTATTTATACTTTTATTCAATATTCACGGCCGATTTCTGGGAACAGTGATTTGTTTTTCGGTGTGTAAACGCAATTATTGGATTTTTTCCCAATTTTTGTCGTTGAACTTGAATAAAGATATAGATCATGATTTGGGCTTGCATTTAACTGCATACCGACTGTGATTCTGACCACTAAATTCATATCTTTACAACCAATTTCCGAAATTTTGGAGCGCTCCACTCCTTTTATATAGGGATAAGTCAGAGAGTCAACATTCATCATATACCATATAAGGAGCTCCAAGTTCCTGTGATAACTAACTGTGTGACATTACCGACAGTAATGGCACTATAATACTGTCTCTCGACACCCGGAAGTGGCTTCCTATCGAATTTCCCCATGTTGTAAAAATCAAAATATATCATATGGGTTCAATCGAATGATCGAACTCATAATATTATACTAAATGCAAAAAATGCAGCGGAGGGGTTATAACGCATATTAATATGCAGATAAATTAGAGATACCAACCTCAACAAAGCTCACAACGAGCGTTTTATATAGAGCAATTTGGACAAGGTCTGGATTTTAGGATCCATTTTGAAAAGTCCCGGATAATGAAAACAACTTTTTATCTATAAGCTTTCAAAGTTAGTTTTGTACCTATTTTACTGTATAAATCTACCTCAAATAATACATGCATTAAGAGAGATAAAATATCCATCCCTTGTTTAATATTGTAGCGCTACTCTATGCCCATAAGTATAATGTATTCCTCCTAAACGGTGGCAATGAATCACACAGCTCACGCGCATGCGCACTTCCATTTTTGAATTTTTCAACCGACAACAAAAACTTGACAGAAATTAAAGTTTTCACTACTTTTTCGTTGATGTAAGAATATTTTAACGATGGAGCTTGGTGGCGTAAAAGTCGGGGTCAATGTAGACATTCAGCGATCCGATGGTAAGTATGCCTTTTACTGGAATTACCCACATTTTTCAAAGAACACTGATCAGATGTCATGATTTTATTTGATTTAGCCTTTTCAAAGGCTGGACTGGCCTCATTAGAACCAGGGACCTATGTCAGATTCCTCCTCTTGGTCTTAGGCTCAATAAATAGATTCAAGGATGGGACTCGAAATCTTAGGAAAATTTTTATTTCCTTGATTCTGGAGTCATACCACAGTCAGAGAGAATGTTTCTGGCGAAATTCTGGGACTTCAAATGTCAAATGGTACCATGGGCTTTCAAGAGAAAGCGTACTGATGATGCATACTGTTGTCAGCTTTATTTCATCATACAAATATTTAGGCGTCTGTTGATAAATAGCTGAGCGGAAAGATAATGTCAGGTTTGGCAATTTCTAGTGATCATGATGTCTATTCTTATCCCGTTCCCGGACTATAGTCCTGCACTGAGCGCATTCATTTGCCTGTACGATTACAACTTGGGAGAATTATCTACGCCCCTTACACTTAAGATACATACCTCAATGCATTATAGAACTCAAGATGTAACTTCTAATATATTGGAACCGCCGATTGTCTGGGTATATCGGCAGAACGGGAACATTTTCTCTTTTTCATCGAGAGAGATTCCATCACTTTTCAAAATGGCGGTTGGATTTAAAAGGGGAATCCCCCGTTTGGCTGTCCCGGATGTAGCCCGGAAGTACCAATATGGAGGAATTTGACGGTTGAAATAAGTTAAATGTTACACGCAAATATTGCGATCAAAAACGAAAATGTCTTCGTTCTGCCGATAAACCCAGACAATTGTGGATTCAACTACACGAAAAGAATGCTAAATTACCAAGGAATCTATTGAAGTAGGTATCTGAAGTGTAAGATGAGTAAAAAATTCTCCCATGTTGTAATCGCACAGGCAAAAGATTGAGATGTTCACAGGACCATAGTCCGGGAACGGGATAAGTCTATTCCGGATGTAGATGTCATATATCTTCGTAAATATGTTTACAAAATTTACATGTATATGTCTCTGCGTAAACTGACAGACCTTACTTCCTGCGAAAGCTATGTTGATTTTGATATAATAGCTTTCCCACGGCACACTTAGACAGCTGAGTAAAAGTGACCTTTAAAACATGAATAATGAAATCCGCGGCTTACTTTTGGTCTCTAACTGTGTCTTACATCAGTATCATCAATCCGTGTAAGTATTGGAGCGCTGAAATACTTATTTTCGATCAAGACTTGTAAATTGTTCATCGAGTGAATGTTTTTTTGACCCATTTCCAATATGGCGTTCGGACAACCTCCAGAGATTTACGAAAATGCTCGAGCAGAAAACGCCATATTGGAATTTGGCGGAAAAAACATTCACTTGACTAACAATTACAAGTCTTGATCAAAAAGGAAGTGCTTCAGCGCTCCAATACTTGTACGGAAGGATGATAATGATGTATGACAGAGTTAGAGAACAAAGTAAGCCGCGGATCAACTTAATTCATGTTTCAAAGGTCACTATTATTCAGATGTCAATTTCTCCGTTGGAGAGCCATAAGTTTCAAAATCTAACATGGCTCTCGAAGTGAGTTAGACAGACCATTATCGGATATTGCTAGAAACAGGCCGGAAACTACATAATCCGAACATTATCTTTACGCTCTAAAAATTTGAAACAAGTGTTACGGGAAAACTCTATTTACACGGTAATAGTTGATATCATATAACCATTCAAACTGAAATATGAAGAAGAGAATAAAGGGTATTGATCACTCGTTGCTTGAGAGATGGTGAAGATAAAGGTCAGTGCGAGGGTCATATTTTGGTGTGGTCAATTTTGTACCATTCTTGGTTTTATGTCTGATCTTCTCATTATTACATTGAGCCTACTACCAGTGTTCGCGTTGACGCCGTTTTTTGCCATTTTTACGGAAATTTCAGAGGGTTGGACGTAAAAATCAAAATCAACTTACGTCCCTAGGACGCAAAAATTATAAACTGCTTCAAGATAACTTTTACTGCAGCAAAGTAGCGGTGAAACATGATTTTCATCAAGATTTTCAAACTCACTACCTTGATATACGAGCAATGATCCAGGTATATTTTTTAGTGTAAGCACCCTATTATCGCCCACTTTATTTTCACTTTCACAATATTTTCTTGAACTCTGTGAAGAAATAAGAGGGACGCAAATTTTTCAAATGGGTTGCGTCCCTGGGACTCAGAAATTTTAATGGCTAGCGCGAACACTGCTACTACCAATGGAAACTGCAGGCCTCACGCTTAACTTTTATCAGGTAGTCATTTCTCTACTTAGTGAATTTTCCAGGAAGTTATTTGAGATAAGCAAATAGTGATGATCTTGATGAGAGTGATCTTTATTCTTGTGACTTACCAGTAGTGTTGTCGCGATTAATCGATACATCGCGATATACATCGCCAAAGCTGATTCTGGCGATGCATCGATGTCTGAAACAAAACATCGATGTTTTTGAAAAAAATTAATTTGCTAAAAATCACCCTTTCTTATCTTATTTTGACGCAAATCGCTTACCTTTCTCATGTCTTATTTCATTTTCCAATGTTTTCTGATATTCTTTCGCTTTAAAACTGTTTTAGCTATTCGAAATGAACCATTAATCTAAAAAAATTACTTTACTTTCATTTCACCTTTCTAGAAGTTCCCGGATGTACCGGATGTTCGGTATTTTAGTGTATTAGCGTTCGGTATTTCAGTGCACTTTTCTCGGACTTTTTCTCGATGTACATCGCGATGTGCATCGATGTTTACTACTGAAAATTGCCGATGCATCGATGTACGATTATGGCACATCGCGACAACACTACTTACCAGCGTAATAATAAGATACTAATCTGTTCTTCTGTTGGACAGAGAATATTTTCTTTTACTGCACATATTTTTGTTTGTGTTACTATCAGACACATGATGATTATATGAAAATTGATCCACTTAAACTCATAATATTCAAGTTTAAGGGAACTTTCTTATATTCCTGCCATGTTAATTAACCTGAATCAGCCACCTGGTGGTGAAACTGGTAACTTAAACTACCTACTCGCATCAGGGTAATTATGTCACCACCAAAAAGTAGTGACATTGTTATAGTCTACATATTTTGTGGTGGTGGTTGGCGATCGGCGGTTGGCATCTGTAACAAATTCGTACAACTTCCAATAACTTAAATAATACTGTTTAGACTGACTTCAATTTTTTAAAATCATCTACAAGTTTTCCGAAGTTCAAATCTGTCTTTGGATTTGACCTTCACTGGAATTCCGAAAAAAAAATTTGACCTTCAATGTCCTTCTCAAGGTCAAAAAGGTATTTTTCAACTTGCTTTAAATTGAGCAATTTTTCTTCAAAATCATCTACTAGTTCTCTGAAGTTCAAATCTGACTTTAGATTTGAGATTTCACCTTCAATGACCTTCTCACAATCAAAAAGGTATTTTTCAACTTGCTTCAAATTGACCAATTTTTTTCAAAAGCATCTACAAGTTCTCAAAAGTTCATACCTGACTATAGATTTGACCTTCAATGATATTCCAAAAAAAGGTTTGACCTTCAGAGGTATTTTTTCAACTTGCTTCAAATTGACCATTTTTTCAAATCAAAAAAAGTTCTCAACAGTTCAAATCTGACTTAAATTTGAGATTTCACCTTCAATGACCGTTTCAGGGTCAAAAAGTTTTTTTTTCAACTTGTTTCAATTGACCAATTTGTTTTTTCAAAATCATCAACAAGTTCTCAGAAATACAAAACTGAACTAATAATTATACTGTGAGCAACTAGGTGGTCATATGTCATGTTAATGCCTTGTTAAAAAGTTATTAATACCAGAGTATTTTAGTAACAATTGGAAGAAACAACAAATTACCGACCCTATATCTAAGAACTTATGAATTTCTGGGTCAATTACCAGAATTGCATAATAGATTTTGGAATTGCAAATAGAATCAACAGAGACACAACAACAAATTAATGTTCTTAGGAGCTCTTGTTTAAGTCTTTGAAACTAGATATTGTTAACAACAGGGGATAAATATCACAATACTAATTTTCAAAGACTGTAGATTTATGTTATAAATTCAGATATCTTTGTGATACATTTAGGTGCCCTGTAGTAAGAAACAATTTAAGTTAGCTATTTTGCATGGATTGACTTACTTTAAGACAACACAGATTGAATATTAGTCTTGACTGAGTTTAAACTGGTTGAACAAAGATAGGGTTAATCAAAGCATCTAGACATTTTGCATCTTCCTTATCTATAGACTTGCCGGATCAGCATGTTGGGGCCAGCTAAAATCAATTATACATACAATCCTGTGCTTTGATAAGAGGCCATAATGATGCTACTGTAACATCTTGTAAAAGATTCACCAAATCTAATATTGAATCATCTACCAAATCTAGATGTCCAGAATTCATATATCTGCAAGGTGTCCTGCTCTGGACACCAGCATTCAAAGGATGATATTAACTTGAGTCAAGCCAGAAATCATTGATTGTTTCTGATTTGGAATTTGCTTCTCAGCAGAGTTGCCATTTTAACATATACATTAGCCTATTGTTATTGAATTTTATCTTAAATATTAATTAAAATGATATTGTGCCATCAGCTACACCAATCAAAATATCCTCATAGTTACATGAATTTGGTAATTTATGACTTCTTACATGTAAATGATACATAATCAGCCTATTTTGATTGATAATGAAGCCCATTTTGGGCCAGCTATGTCAATATAGCTAGAAGCTGGGCCGGCCCTTTAAGACACTTTTCAAAGGGGTGCATTTTCAATTAAAATGATGTCACTGAAAATATTTTCTAGGTCGCATCCATTCTGCAGTAGTGAGTGGGGTAGCCAAGGAATCCAAGAGTGTCACCGTTGAATGGTTTGAAAAGGGAGAAACCAAGGGAAAAGAGGTAAGCACATTCCAACCAAAAATTCTATGTTGAATTTATTGTACTTTGAAAGTAAAAGATCACCATGACACAAGTAATGTAATCTTACAAAAGGTTTATCTGGCTTCTTTATTTGGAACAACCATGTTTGAATTTATCAACTGAACTGAAGTCAGGCCATATTGTACATAGTACTATACTATCACTCAGGGTGGAGAATGATTGTGCAGTCCCATAGCTGACATGACAAATAACCAAATAAATATTTATCAATGTCATATTTCTTCCCTGAATACTGAACAAGCAAACTAGTTAGAAATTCATAATAGATTCTTAGACTTCATTGTTATACATGATTTTTTGACCACATGCAAGATTTTAATCCTAAAAATTAGCTAGATTGTGGTTTGATTGCGTAATACCTCTGTGTCAATCTTGTCCCGTGCACTCGCGATGGCTTGTCGCTAGCACGCCACAGGAGTTCCATTGAAATGGTTTCAGGGGGGGGTAACTGCAATTAATCATGGTGAATTGCCTCAAATGTTATTCAATACACGCAAGTGACCTTTTTATGCAATGTGCACCATGGAGCTAGTAGATCTGTTTTAATGTCACCACCAAAAAGTGCTGACATTGTTCTGGTCTCTGTTTTTTGTAACGGCGGTTGGCGATCGGCAGTTGGCAATCAGTGTCTGTAACAATGTGATGAGCAACTAGGTGGTGACATTTTGTCATGTCAGTGCCTTGTTTGATACTTGCAGTTAAATCAAATTCACTTGCCCCGTGGTCATACAAAAATACACCCTTAATTTCTTTGCTCACAAGTTAAAGTAAGACAACAGCATTTCATGATAGGCTTACTGTTATATTTTCTGTTTTCGTCTTGTTTGTTTTTAGATTGAACTGGAGGCAGTATTTTCATTGAATCCTGAATTGACACCTCAGAACAATCTTAGTGAAGTGAATGTATTAGCAGCACAGGTAAGGAGCAACACTGAACTTCTCTTGTAAAATATGAGTTAAATCAAAAATGCAGAGTTTGATAGGTATACATGTATAGTGAAGCCATCTTTCAGTAAGTCAGAAAGTCAGTCATTCCACCAGTCCCCTCATCTTCACTCTCAGTTTACAATAAATCTCTGATCTCATCGAGCCAATCAAAGTTTGTCATCAAATTACAGATGACTTCCTATATGCATGGCTTAAAGTCTTCGGGAATTTCAGGAAATTTCAGGAAAAAATTGACCAGAATCTGACCCCGTTGAATTCAATACAAATCTGGATTTATTTCTAGGGGGAGTAGGGGGTCAAGCAAGGGTTTCAAAATTAAGGTCATTGTTTCTGGGAAGTGCAATTCATAAATATGAACCAGTTCAAAATATAAAACATGCAATGTAAATGATCTCAAATGGATATTTATTTTGCCCTGGTCCACTATGCACTCAGGATGATGTTGCTGCTGCTGCTGAGGGTAGTGGAACCTCCGAGTTTGAGGAAGATTCTATTGAATCAGGGGAGGATCTAGAGCAGGTCTGTGTCTTGTCATCATTTTGTTTGAATGTCTGTGACAAGCTTGGAAATCACAAACTGGCATGCAACATTTGGAAGGTTGCCACTTATTCTGATTTTCTCTGCTACACAATGACTCTTGAATAGATTGTCTAGATGTTTTCTTAATTCTTGACAGCATGTAAACTTTTCTGTAGTGGCATCAACTCCATGTGACTGTTGCCATTAGGTGTTTGGAAATATAAGATGGGCAAAGGCTGATACTTGGTGGAAGAATGGCAAAATAAGACCTAATTCTAATAATTCTTAGAAAATCATTGAATCTGGGCACTATCTGCTATAGACTGAAGATGCCTGGGTTTGTATTGTTACATCATTGTAGTTATAGGTATATAGGTATTCTGGGGGTTGTGCCAAAGATGTTTGTCATCATTTAATTTATTTAGAAAAATGGCTATTGACATTAGAAGCTTCTATCTATTGTTGTCCATTTTTTCATTAAGTTGTAAATGTCACCAACTGATAAAAAAATACAAATGGAACTAATGTAGCATATTCCTGGGGATTTTTGAAAGATGCATATATGGGCGATAATAGGGTATTTCATGATTTTCCTCTTCATAAGTGGACTCATTCCGACTAGATAACATAATATCATACCTCAATGTTTTCTTCCTTCATTTATCTATTGGCTGAATGTGTTTTCATGGGTTAATAGACATACATGTGTCAATATCGATGAAAACATTCACTCCAATCCTTCTAGCGAGGCTGCCATTTTGGAAATTGACAATTTAAATCATCAATAGAAGGTAGGTTATCATGAATGTACTTATAGTTCTAAAGATTCCGGAGATCATTATGCACAGAAATGACTCAATCGATAGTGGTATGTGAATTCATGGAACTTACCCTATCATCGCCCAATTGATTTTTTCGAATTTTACTTTTTCTTGATTTCTCTTTCTCAGGTTGCTGGAGTCTTTCCTGGAAAAGTCGAGTGCGCTTATTTGAGCATGTGCGCCTATTAGGTACTTTATGACCTGGTGACATTTACAAACAACATTTTTAAAGTTGAAAAGTAATGAGTGATTGCTTTTGATGTAATTTATTAGGTTGCTATTTACACACATCATTTCTCGTTTATTTATACAGGGCTCTTACCAAAATATATTTAAGGTGTAGTGTTAACATCTCCGGCTAAACTATTTAATCGTGATAAATCATATTTATTATGTTATATCACTGGTACTCCACTCGATTATACTGGTTACTGAAACAGATTGTTTCTCAAAAGTTCAAATCTGACAATAGATTTGAGATTTGACCTTCAGTGACCTTGAGGTCCAAAAAGGTCTCTTCAAATTGACCAATTTTTTTTCAAAATCATCTCAGAAATTGAAATCTGACTTTAGATTGAACACATAATATTGTGAGCAACTAGGTGCATGGTGACATTTTGTTATGTTATTGCCTTGTCTTACACATATGATATTGACATACGTTTGTGATAAAAATGTTGTGGGAATTCTGCCTACAAGTCGTGAAATAAGGAAAAAGAAAAATTGTATCTTCGCGGCTCTGGCATTTTGTTACCGCATTGATCCATTTCAGCGTAATGTATCCTTTTTACATTCTACAGTATTATTTTGTAATTTGTGTATTCAGTCTAGTTTAGACTATGGAAACAATCATGGTTTGCCAATAGTCTGTGGTGAAAGCTGAATAGACTGAGGTGCTACTCCACAGTCTAAAAGCCTAGCAAGAAAGACCCTTGTTTAAGTTCTACAGTACTTATTATGTTTCTATAATTATGAGATGTTCTAAAAATATGTAATACATCTTGATTGCATTTTTATAGTGGTTGGATTTGATTTGTTAATGATTTACACCTTCAAGATAAGTTGATTCTGAGCATCTAACTAGAGCTATGTTTATTTTAAATCATCCATTATTTGGTAATATGGAGAGGTGTTAGATAAGGTTACGTTACCCTGTACTGGATTTCAACTGAGCATGGTACTCTATTGTGTACTTGATCTCTCTATACTATTGGGATGATTGGATCGTTTATGTGCTTGCATATAATGTATCTTGTATTATTTAGTTGTTTGATGTTGTCTTTCATATTTCATATCCTATCACAATTATTTTTTCTTGTGTAGAGCACATTCATATATTTTGAAATGATGTATGGGCTCTCGTAAATTCATGCACTATTTATTTAAAAGAAAGTTTTTATAGAAGTTTCATTTTAAACTTCATGGTTTGAAAAATGGCATTTATATGCCTCAATTTATTGACTTCATACAAGTAAAGGACATTAAACTCCAGGGTTCTTAAATAGTGTCAAACAAAACTAGATATGTAAAAAATTAGATTTATATGTATTCCTTCTTTCAACCAAACCAGTATAATACAAAGGAAAATAACATTTATATTATTTATTCAATTTTTAGAAATGTTTTTCATTCAGTGAAGATTCATAGTTGTTAAAAGTAACCATACAAAACATTGGATTATTATGTAAACAATTACACTTGAGGTCTGTGTAGCATTTATCTGTGAAACTGAAAAACAGAGAATGCACTTAATTGTTGCTCTGATATCTTCTGAAGTTCTACATTTAAGTAGATCTACACATGCTTAGCATTAATTTTATGGACTGTATGTTATCATGGATTTGAGATTTCTGCAAAGTATTAATATCACATGTTCATTGTTAATATCACATGTTCATTGTTAATATCACATGTTCATTGTTAATATCACATGTTCATTGTTAATATCACATGTTCATTGTTCATTCCAATCTTAACGAGAATGTGTACATAACTATTTAAGACCTCAGACGGAATTCCTTATTCATATTTTTGTTTTAGAATGGTAATCAACAGTCAGAGGTAAATGAAAAAGCTCCACCTAAACAGATACCCAGAGCTAAAAGTAAAGGTTAGTGAACTGAATAAACATTTATTTCTCCGTTTATATTCATGTCTTCTTAATTAGAGCCAGGCTCATTTATTGTCTCTCATTTATTCATGTGTAAATAATTACAATTATAAAAAGTGCAGTATTATAACCCTGACTCCATAACACATCTCATACCTTAAAATGTCATTATTAATAACCTTTTATTGTTCTTTTGTTGTCTAGTGCCAACATCAGCGAGAGCCAGACCTAGTTATGCCAGGGGTCCAACTCCATCATCTGTCCAAAATGGAGAGTCTGAGAATCGACCAGCACCAGTATCTGCTGGTGTCAACAAAGTCAAAAGTGAAGCAGGTAACATTCATTTAAATGATTACACAATATTTTTGTTGTCCTTCATTTAATTTTAATGAATTTTGAAGCATGGCAATGAATAAAGATATTACCCCAGTTGTTTAAGAATTTAAGCCCTGGACTCAGTGTAATATGGAATGACCATTCCTTGAGGGTGTTGCTTTCCAAAATTTGCATGAGATGTGGAGCATTGAGCTTGGGCTTAAATTCTTTTCACACATTGCAAAATATTTTTCACAATATCATCTAAAAGATACAAAATCTCTAAAATAATATATCTCCAATGAAACTTTTTGTAACGGTCAAGTTGGCAAGTTATCAATTTCAATCTGAGGAGTCCAGTTTTCACCTTGACAACTTTTTAACTGGTGACCTTGAGTTGGCTATTGGTTATATAATGGAATGCAGTTATGTGAAATAGCACCTCCGAATTGGCTGGAATCGGGCACACCTTGCCACGCTAAATGAATTTTCAACCATTCTTGAACCTTTAAATTTGATGGCCAATTTTCAAATTCTCTCAAAATATTTATTCTCATCAGATGTCTCTAGTCTCCCCATCTATTTCCTAACCCTGTAATAGCATATTGACTGTGTTAAATTGAGGAGAGGAACACAGGCTTGATAAGAGACACCTATGTTCAAAATGTTCTTCAACACCGTTATACAGTTTTCACATTTGCAAGTGGGTGCCCAAAATTGTGTTTTCAAATGGGCACAAGTATATTCCAAAATCCTAAGCCTGTGCAACAGGTACTTGTTTCAATGCTAGGGAAATCACTGATAATGATACATACACACAGACATCACCTTAGAGATTGTTTATCTTGCAGCTAACAGACGGAAGTCTAACTGTGTTAAAGAGGTTGAAAAGATTCAGCAGAAGAGAGAGAAAAGACGAGCGGGTCAGGCTGCTATCAGAGAAGATCTTTCCCAGAACTATGACACATCAGTCCCTAACTGGGAGTTTATAGCAATGATAGAGTGAGTACACATTTATCTGGTAAAGTGTAACATAGACCAATTTATGTGAATTGCAAATGTTCCATTTGAAACAAATCACCCTGGACGAAGTGATAAGGTCAAAACAAGTGGCTCTGATTTAGGAAAAAACGATCTTCCTAAAAATAAACATGGCAGAGCAGGGGTGAGTTTATTTCTTTAAATTATACCCTTTCTTGGCCACCTGACATGTTCAAACTCGGTGCATTGATCCAAGACATATCCACCTCTCTATATATAATATTGTAACGATTAATACTAAGAAACGAAATGAATACGAATTGAAATAATTTACTTTTTTAAATAACCGCAATATTTTTTTTTGATTATTTTCGAAAAAATGGTAGATACTCTGTTTCAAATCCATTGATATTTGGCGATATGATAGTTTATGAACCAGGGAATGTCATATCACTATTATTTTTCTAATACAAGTAGTAATTTACGTCCCTGAGACGAGATTAGAATTATTTTCTGGAAAAAACGCGGCTCCGATTCCCACAGAATATATGGAAAATACGTGGAATGGATGTCTAATTAATCACTTGTTTACTTTCAGCTGTGTAGGCTTCCAAATCAATAATCGCGTCTTTTCCTCAAATGTTCGTCGTCGGGAGTAAAACAATAGGCATCACATCAAATTGAAATAACTGTCGATGCTGTAAATGCACATATGAAAAGAAACATACAATCTCGGTGTGCATGAACGTTTATATGCATCATTGATCATCAATGAAAGATATTTTGACAATATAAAATCGTAATTTTTAGCGGGAGATATAATTCTCAACTTTAATTTACACTCCAGCCACTAATGCGCGTTCCATTCAATTTAAAACACACGGACTGAGTAGTTTAAGATGTACCACTTGAACATAATACAAAATTGTATATGATTCTCCTCTTTGTCCACAAGAATTTAACCTTACAAAAATTGGGGTACTAAAATTATTAATTTTTAGGAAGATCGTATTTTCCTAAATCGGAGCCACTTGTTTTGACCTTATCACTTCGTCCAGGGTGCAAATACATCTATGCACAAGGATTAAAATGAGTGGTGTACTCTTGTGTAAAACCTTTGAGTTGCTGTTTTCTGGTTTGGATTTCATTCAGAACAAGATCATTCAGCATTTAAGAGTATGTACTATAGCAATTTGTTCTAACTTGAATCTGATTTCATTATTTCAGTCAATTCCGACAAAACATTGAATTCCGGCCAATTACTGCTGGAGAGCCCATAATTAACCACCAGATCTGTGTCTGTGTGCGCAAGCGGCCTCTCAATAAAAAAGGTAATATCTAAGAACCTTACAAGTGAACAGTGTGTGAGTCTATACTTGTTCAACAGTATTTATAATTGTTCAACGAACGGAGTTCGGTAGGGATATAGTGAAGCCGTCCGTCCATCCGTCCACAAGATAACTCGAATACTAGTTGACAGATTTTTGGTGAATAGTTTTACGCAAAAAAAGATTTTTCAAGATGGCCGCTGCTTTAAAACTGACAGGAATTGTTGCAAAAGTCTTATGCTTTTCATTTTTAACCTAAGTAATAAATATTATTATTTGAAAACAGAAATTTGCGTTAATTTTGAGATGTTTTTTTTAAAGTATATCTTCATTATACTCAAGAGGCAATTTAGAGTAGATGAAGGGAAGAGTAGATGATAAATATAACATTGTGACTGTACAGATTCATGATTTATATAGTGTTATACTATATCACCCTTGGTATATGCAGCACCGATAATGACTGGGCAGGTACAGCGTGACTGGTGCTGTACAACAGTTATTTTTGAATTTAAATTAAATATGATCAGCTTAATGTCTAACTTCTTGTCAAACTTCAAATCTATGTTATCTTGGGATGTTTGGAAGCTCCCCAAATTTCTATAGATTTTTTAGACAAAGTAAAACTTATAAATATGCACGAAGGCATTTTATTTCATTTTTTACTTCAGCTAAAAATTAAAAAAGGGAATCTTCCAAATATTCCAAGATTTCACAGAATTCAAATTTGACAAATTAGTATATGAAGCTAGTTATGGGTTATTTGAATTCAAAAATTAATGTTGTGCCATGCCAGTCATGAGGAACACATTTGGTCCATACTCAGTAACTATGTATACCAAGCATGTGTATGTTGTCTAGAGCATTATTCATTTTTGTAAATGATGTGGGGTGAGCCTTTTCTTTTTCCCTTAATTTTGTTTTCTCAAAAGTGTTGAATTCTCTATGAAAAAGGTTGACAAGCTTAAGAGGATATTATAGACATTTCAATGAAAATTCAGACTATTCTGTATTGCAGAAGTGAATAAAAAAGACCATGATGTGATCACAGTTCCAAACTCTGAGAGTGTTCTAGTCCATGAGCCAAAAACAAAAGTGGACCTGACAAAGTATTTAGAAAATCAAAATTTTAGATTTGATTATGCTTTTGATGAGAACTGCAGCAACGAATTAGTTTACAAGTGGGTAGCATTAATAAAATTTTTAATATTTTATTATTATTAAGTAAAACTAAGTAGAACATTATTTTTTAAATTTTATTTCATTTAATAACAAAATGTGAGGGCACTTAGATAACATAAATAAACAAAAATCAACCTGCATAGCCAAACCAATGTATTGATCATTTTTCAGATTCACTGCTAAGCCTTTAGTGGATTGTATATTTGAAAAAGGGATGGCTACTTGCTTTGCTTATGGACAGACTGGAAGTGGAAAAACACATGTAAGCTTTTGGGTTTTCAGTATATAGTAGTATTTAGGGTAGCACAATATTATTGAGCATCAGAAAATTCAAAATGGATGGCACTTTTTGTCAAAATCTTTTCATTTTTGCTTGAGGTTAAATACTAGGGTGGAATGGGCTTCCTTGGGTTGGGTCGGGAAGACAGAGCCAGAAACCTCTGGGCCAAAAAGATTTGGATGATTTATGATGAAGAAATCAGTGAAAAAGAGAATTTTTATTGAACTTTCCAACCAGAACCCTGGACATCTTGTTTGGTAACAGCTTAATCGAGTGCAGTATCATTGAATATACATACTCATGTTTTTTTGCTTCAAGACTATGGGAGGAGACTTTACAGCTAAAGGCCAACAAGACTGTAACAAAGGTATCTATGCCCTGGCAGCCAGAGATGTATTTAGGCTACTTGCCTCAAAATACAAGAAACAGGACCTTACAGTCGGCTCAAGTTTCTTTGAAATATATAGTGGAAAAGTAAGTTGAATCTGACCTTTAAATTCATATTTTACCTGTAATTTTGACATATTATCATAACCACCATTTATGAACTGGCATTTGGCATCTGCATTGCAAATTGATTTAACCTTCTCTATAGGTATTTGATCTGCTGAACAAAAAGTCCAAGCTACGTGTTCTGGAAGATGGGAAACAACAAGTACAAGTGTGTGGCCTTAAAGAGGAAGAAGTACACAATGTTGATGATGTACTCAAGCTGATTCACCATGGCAACCAGTGCAGGACATCGGGCACAACATCAGCAAATGCTCACTCATCCAGATCACACGCAGTGTTTCAAATCATTCTTAGATCAAAGTAGGTCACTCATACTCAATCTCTGTATATTTTTCATAAACATATTTTATTTCAGAGAAAAGTGTCTAAAATTACACCTGTTTTGATATGCCAAGATTGAGGTTGGGTTCCTTCATGTCATTTTATGTTTCAGAAAAACTCGGAAGCTTTGGGGTAAATTCTCATTGATAGATCTTGCTGGTAATGAGAGGGGGGCAGACACATCTAGTGCAGACAGACAGACTCGTATGGAAGGTGCAGAGATCAACAAGAGTTTGCTTGCCTTGAAGGTAAGTGTATGTCTATCTACATAATTAAAGATCTGCTCTATTTGAAAACATCTTTGTTTTTATTTCATTTTTTTTATGAATGCCAACTAAGCATCAAGGTATAAAAGTGTTTGTAATTCTGTTATGACAGCTCTATGCTATGGCCATGTTTTTTCTGAGAATAGATCATATATTGACACAATCTTGAAGCCTAAATAAGAGTCATTGATGTCCTCTAGATGTACGTGTAAATTGTTTACTATATTGTAGGAATCTTTGAGTGCTCTAGGACATAAAGGGACTCATTTGCCATTTAGGGCCAGTACATGTACGTGTAAATTGTTTACTATATTGTAGGAATCTTTGAGTGCCCTAGGACATAAAGGGGCTCATCTGCCATTCAGGCCAGTTCATGTACGTGTAAATTGCTTACTATATTGTAGGAATGTATCAGGGCTCTAGGACGTAAAGGGGCTCATTTGCCATTTAGAGCCAGTAAACTTACTCAAGTTCTCCGTGACTCATTTATTGGAGGAAACTCAAGAACATGTATGGTAAGCACTTAATAAGTTATTATTTGTGTATCTCATTACATCTAGCAATGCTTGATAGTTTTCATTCAACCCATAGCAGTTAAACATTTTTGTTAATATGATTGGATAGATTAAATTTTTTTTAACATATTATTTATTTCCTTCATAATCAAAAAAATACACAAACTATATACTACCAATCGCCATAGGCATTCTAGGTAGTTTAGATAGATTTAGTCTAATGATTCCAGCAGCATTATGGATATAATATAAGAATATGCTGCAATAGGTTCTCTAGAAATCTTTATCCCACCAAACGTAGTTCAAAATGGATGTAGAGAAGCTGTCCATTTGTTAGTTTGTTCGTTCGTTCATCTGTCTAGACAATATGTTCAAAATGGCCACCATTTTTCATAAAAAATGTAATATCAGTCGATGGTTCAAATTTTATATGTTGAATGCCTGGGGACACAGCAGCTCTGCTCAAGAGGAAATTTTCAAGATGGCAGCTGAATTTCAAAATGGCTACCATTTTTTGTAAAAAACATAATCTTTGATAATTATATAGGCAAATGCCTAGAGATAAAGGAGCTATGCTCAAGAAGAAATTTTCAAGATGGCCACTATTTATCAAAACATGGTTTTTTTGTTTGGTGGGATTCGCTTCTCCGTGGAGTTTCCCATTATTATACAGTAGCTCAGCCAGCCTGTTAAAGTTAAATCTGAAAAAGAAGTTAAATAACAACATACATAATGCAATGCAAATTTCTGAGTCAATTCTTCCATCAATTTTTACACTTTCTGTCTGTTGTAGATATCAACTATCTCACCAGGAATGTCGTGCTGTGAACACACTCTCAATACATTGCGCTATGCTGACCGTGTAAAGGAACTAGGACCAGGAGGCCCAGTAGAGGGCAAACCAGCAGAGATCCATCACAACCCACCATCAAATGCTGTTATGTCCCCACAGAACTCAGATCTGGTCCTGCTTCAAACTACTAATGTAAGAATTTTATTAATATTTGTGCAGTATACATGTATTTTAAAACTGAAAGACTGAAGAATAATCCCCAGTAGCCTTCAATGATAATGTAAAATAAGTGATTTAAGTTTTCTAATTTAGATACTTTTGTTATTAACTTTGATGCTTTTGAAAGGATTATACATCTAATTGATGTGTTGTTTTTTTTATCATTATTTAGAGGAAAATGTTTGATGATTTGTAGGAGGAAGAGATGGCAGATGACTTGCTGAACTTCCATGAAGTGATTAACCACATGCAAGAATTGGAGGAAGAACTCATAGATGAACACAAGAATGTCACTGAAGTAAGCAAGCATTTTCTAAGCCCATCATCATATAATTCATGTTTGACAAAAACATTAATGAATTAATTATTTGTGTGCTGCTAGATTCTGTAAAAATCTCTATTATTATACAGATTTCAGCTTAGTACTACATCAGATTGAACTTGTATAACAATACATTTGTTTAACATTTCAGCAAATGGGCAAATTTGTGATAGAGAATAAGAAATTATTAAAGATGACAGATGAAGTGGATTATGATGCTGAAGGTAAAGTGAATATTTAGTAGTTAGTTGCGAATCAAAAGATCTTACATCTATTTAAATGTATATAAGAACAGGGTGTTAACTTTATTATTTCAATATGTATATCATTTAAAAACCTAATAAATTTTGAATAGCAATTTTAATTACTGTAGATTGGGTTAATTTGGCGCCCGCTTTAATTTGGCGAATTTGGCGAAATTGAAAAATTCGCCAATATAAATCTTCGCCAAAATTTAGAATGAATCCCCGGGAATTATCTAGGGTAATTCGTCCAGTATATTTAGGTCACTTCCGGTTTATTTTTTTCCAAAAATATGAAAAAATGTCTCTCATAAATTGGCTCAGAACTGGTCAGTCACTCATTAATACTCAGGGAAAAACTAGGAAAGGAAAAGCTTGGTATAGTAGCAGCATCGATCGAGGTGCAAAATGTAAAGGATGATCTCACAAAGATGTACAAACGTGGTGAATATCGCCAATGGTCCTCATAAGAAAAAATGAACATAGCCAAAGATGCCCATTTACGTGGTAATTAGCAAACAGCGCGTAAGTTTGAAATTTTTTTTTTTCATATCCGCCAGATTAAATAGCCGCCAATATGCCAAAAATGGCAAAATCGCCAAATTAAGTAGCGCCAAATTAACCCAATCTACAGTATATGAAAGTCCATTTAACAAGGTGAAACGTTAACCTGCAACCTTTTGATTCTGTGCTGCCTGGCTCAATTGTGTATTTTTTGCAGCTTATGCCAGAAACCTGGAGAACCTCCTGACCAAGAAGATAGATACTTTTACGAGGCTAAGAGGTATGATATTGTATATTCAGTACTTGAATTAGTACGTGAATTAAGATTCCACATTTTCCTTCAAATGTCTTAAAATGTTTCAGAATTAGGGGAAAGGGGTTTACAATGTGAAGTCAGCTAAAGTTGAACTTTTGACACAAAAAATGCCACCCACCCACATTATGTTGAAAACTTGTTATTTAGTACAGTAAAACTAGACTCCATGGTGCAACTCCACAGGAAGTTTCAGAAGACTAGCTCAACTAGATGCATATATATGAGTGTTAATATGTGTTGTCTATTCCTTTGCAAGCACATCCGGATTTTACACAAAAAATGATGCCCACCTTTTGAAACATAGTTTTGCAAATAACTTCTCATGATTTTTCTATTAATGATAACTATATCATTTTGTGTTTAATTGAATGGACTTCCTTTCCCTGTGAGTCCAAGCAAAAATCATTGGTATTTCTAAAGTAGTGGTGTGCCTGCAAAGGAATGGACAACATTCAGAGCAAATCTTGGAATGCTCATAAAAGTGCATCTAGCTTGTCTAGTCATCTGCTGAAACTTCTTGTGGAGCTGTTCCATGGACCCTAGTTTTAATGTGCTAAAGAACAATTCAGATATCACAGACCAAAAAGTTATCAAACATTATGTTGGTGGCATTTTTGTGTCACCCTGTATGAAGTAAAAAATGTTACCAACAATCTTGCCAGTTGGTTTCATTTAAACTTACATTGATGATTAGAGCCTTACAATTTGTAATCTTGAAATTTTGATTCAAGAGAACGATGTAGTACCCCACACAAGTCCTCTCAGATATTTTTCTACAGTCATCAAATGTATATGCAACAAAAACTTTTGTGGGGTACTACACAGTCATAATTACATTGTGTAAAAGTCTCCTTAAGTAGTAAGCATTTGTTCTTTCATTTTTTTTTGAAAACCAACATTTATGTAGAACTTCATACTCTAGAGTGTATACAGTCATGTTGAGATATGTCCAGTTATCGTTATCTTTCTGGCATCTACATGATTGGAGCATCTTTTGTTGTAGCAAAATTCTGTGTTCATTTTTATTTTCATTTTTATATTTTTTAGTAGTGCAGTATATCAGCCAAACACGCTTCTGATATTTTATCATTAATAACTATTGAATTAGATAGAACATCTTACCACCATACATCTAGATTTTTACAGTAGTTCTTATAAAACCTTTCTGTCCTGGTGCTTTTCATCCTTTCTTGACAATTTAAACGCTATATAGGACTCCAGGGATCAATTATTCAATATGTGCTCCAGATTCAGTTGGTCAGATTTTGACACTGAGTGTAGGTGCAATAGTTCTTTTATTATTAAATTCATGACAAGATCATCTCAGGACTGAGATGACTCACTTGTGTTTGGTTGAAATTTGATGTGAACTGTTTGACTCTGTAGCTCATGTGAAGTATCTGAAAGAAGGCTACTGGTTGCTAGATCAAATGGTCACACCTCAGGAAGATGAGCAAATGAAACCCTTCATCGATGTAGGTCTCAGTGGTGTAATAACATGGTCATGTGTTGTGTACACATTAAGTAGTGATGTTACTCCACTTTCATGTGCTTCACATGTGCGATAAGAATTGATTTCATGTGCAATAAGAATTGATGTCATGACACATTATATGGAACACATTGGGTAGTAATGTTGTTATTGATACAGAACATTAAGTTAGCGATGTCATTTATTTACTTACAAATCATGTGGAACACTAAAGTAGCAATGTCATGACACAATGTGAAACACACAAAATAGTGATGTCATTACATCATGTGAAACACACAAAATAGTGATGTCATTACATCATGTGGAACATTTCGAGTATTAATAATTTCTCTTACATCTTGCTCGGTAAACCTGATGGAGTGGTGTCACCTAAAATCATGTGGTGGTTTCAACTAAAATCATGTGGTGGTTTCACCTAAAATCATGTGGTGGTTTTGCCTAGCATCATGTGGTGTCTAATAGCAAATATTTGTGATATAAATCTGTACAGGTAATGGTGGATAAGGGATTTTTGTTGTAATTGTATTTAAAGATACAACATGTACTAATACAAATCAGGTTGTGGCTATTAACTTTACAATGAGCTCATTTTAAAGATATAAGCTTCAAAGAAATAATGCACAATATACTAATGAAACTTGCTTTCTTATGCTTAGACTGCTTGATATTTTATATGATTACTGCAGATATATGTGTAGGGGAATGCTTAAAAGTCAGTCATTCATTTAGTAACATGGGTTGAACTGTGGTTTGGGAACATTGTTTTAAATGATCCTAGGGTGTCAAGATATTAATCCTTTTTTTAGAATATTAATTTGAAGGAGTACTTGATTTTGGTACTGATTGTTAAAGTGGAGGTTATGGTTGTTTTCAGTGTCCATTTTGACAGTGATGATCAATTAAATCAGATAAATTTATGTAAAACAAACCCTGTACAAACCGAATTGCTGTTCAACAATTTGCCTATTAAATCCCTCAAATTGGGTAGACACGATTAGTACATATTGAACCACTGCTTGTGCCGTGGGGTGAGATTTTTAAAACTTCAGGGGGGTCATCATTTGGTCCATTTTAAACATTGTTCATAAGTGGGTGAACCCTTATCTTGTTGGCATGAAGTCATATTGGTATACAATCCACCAAGGGTAAACAAGAAATAACAGAAGAAAACTGTTCATTTTTGGTTAGAAGAGCATTGGAATTGATTGATAAAATATACATTTCTATAAGTATAAGTACAAATTTTTGCGAAACACCAACTTTCAATTCACTTATACTTAAAACGTATAGCTATATGCATAAATATGTGGTTGAGCGAAATCCTTCAATTATCTTAAATTTCATTTACCTGGTCTTCTAGATTACTGAAAAGTGATTGAGAAACTATTTTTTGTGATAAATTTAAATTGTTGATTAATCTTTTGATAATCTGTTTATTTGTTTGTTTCAGAATTGGTTCGAAACTATAGCAATGACATGCAACAAGAGGAATTCTTGAGTAAAAACTTCAAAAGTTCCAAGAAATAATAACACACAAGACTTTGTGGAGAAAAGGAGAAATGTAATACACAATTGACATGCAAGCATTACCAAACAACATTGCTAAGAAGAACTAGCACAAATAACCAACTTGGAAGGAAAACTTATTTTGAAGATTCAGGATTAGCCTATTTTTACTCATTTGAATATGCCATAATCGATTGTAAGAAATCTATTAAGACAAATGCGTAAAGATGGTTCCCATTTTAGAAATTGTGTCCTTATATTAAGGATGTGAGAGAACTGTTGACAATATCCTTAAGGTGTTTTTTTGCGGAAGGTCACAAGGGGAATACAAGTCTTCAATATGCACCTGAAAAGTTCATATGTATTTGGAGACCCCTCCCTCCCTCTATTTCTTAATTTACATTTGCATTATACTTATACATGTACTTTGCAGTTTAAGACTGAGCATATTTATCTGAACTTTTGTAAACATTATTTTAACGGAAACCTACATTCTATCCAAACATATACATGTAGATATAGGGAACATCTGGGAGGTGCTGACTTAAATATTTTTATTTCACGAAAGAAATTTCATGAAATGTCAATTGTAATATTAATGTTATTCAATTAAAATGGGGACTTTAAGTTTCCTTAGATTTATAGAACAGAAAATTATTGGGATTTTTTCTAAATACATATAATTTTTTAAGTAAAATGTGATAGATTTTGGTATATTCCAGACTTCTTACTGTTTTAATGATTAACTTTGTTCAAATTCTGATTTTCAATAGTTCAAAAAATTCTTGATGTGTAACGAAGTAATGTTCTAGGCTGTTGATTTCAGGCTTTCAATATGTGACTGAGATTATGAGATTTTACTAGTAATTTGAATGAAAAGCTGCAGTACTGTTTATATTGTGTAGAATACCTGTATATTACCAATGATGTTTGTTTAATGTTTGACCACCAAGGTCAGGGGTCAATTTTTGTATATATACAACTTCATAAAACTTTATAAAATCCTAACTGAGACTAGAGTTAGGAATTTGTTAGATTTGACTGTACCAAAAATGGACCCCTTGATATCTTGCAATTATTAGCTCACATCAAGCACACTGTGCTCTTTTGTTTATTAGTTGCGCTTTGTCCATGCATAAACTATTTATTAAGGTTTCAAAATCTGGCATGTATATATATATATATCATGAACATTTCATATTAAATATTGTATATAATGTATGATTTTGTGTGATGGCTTGCTGTGTCAAGCGTGGCTTTGTAATGAAACAGTAAAGTGTTACAGGGTCGAATATTGTATTCTATATAACATCATATTTGTGAGATTCTTATAATGTGATAACATGGAAATTCACCTTTGTGCTCCATTATTTTGGCAAGACCTGAGAATTTAGATATTTCTCAACTTCTTGAATGACACTAAGAGTAATTACATGAATTACCTATTATGAAAAGAGACTTAAAAGTAAATTGGTTATGTCCAGGACCATAGTAGTATATTATTTTCTTACATATTAGTGACTTGCCTTACAGAAAGACACTGCCAAGGTAAAGTAACTTGAAATTAAATGAGGGACATACCATATTGCCAATGGAACTAGTATAACTAAGTTATTTTAATTTATATTTTGATATGTCACATCATGCTTTAAACAAACAATGCTTAACTAGTCCTTGTTTCCACCAATTCCCTTATTCATATAGCAGAGAGTTAGACTTCCAATTGCAAACTAATATTAAGCAATGTATTGCTGCACTTTGGAGCAACACATTGCATACATTGAAGCAACACACTGCATACATTGAAGCAACACATTGCATACATTGAAGCAACACATTGCATACATTGAAGCAACACTTTGCATACATTTGAGCAACACATTGCATATGTTGAAGCAACACATTGCATACATTGAAGCAACACATTGCGTACATTGAAGCAACACATTGCGTACATTGAAGCAACACATTGCTTACATTGAAGCAACACATTGCGTACATTGAAGCAACACATTGCATACATTGAAGCAACACATTGCGTACATTGAAGCAACACATTGCATACATTGAAGCAACACATTGCATACATTGAAGCAACACATTGCATATGTTGAAGCAACACATTGCATACATTGAAGCAACACATTGCATATGTTGAAGCAACACATTGCATACATTGAAGCAACACATTGCATACATTGAAGCAACATATTGCATATGTTGAAGCAACACATTGCATACATTGACGCAACACATTGCATACATTGAAGCAACACATTGCATACATTGAAGCAACACATTGCATACATTGAAGCAACACATTGCATTTGTTGAAGCAACACATTGCATACATTGAAGCAACACATTGAATACATTGAAGCAACATATTGCATATGTTGAAGCAACACATTGCATACATTGAAGCAACACATTGCATATGTTGAAGCAACACATTGCATACATTGAAGCAACACATTGCATACATTGAAGCAACACATTGCATATGTTGAAGCAACACATTGCATACATTGACGCAACACATTGCATACATTGAAGCAACACATTGCATACATTGAAGCAACACATTGCATATGTTGAAGCAACACATTGCATACATTGAAGCAACACATTGCATATGTTGAAGCAACACATTGCATACATTGAAGCAACACATTGCATACATTGAAGCAACACATTGCATACGTTGAAGCAACACATTGCATACATTGAAGCAACACATTGCATACATTGAAGCAACACATTGCATACATTGAAGCAACACATTGCATATGTTGAAGCAACACATTGCATACATTGAAGCAACACATTGAATACATTGAAGCAACACATTGCATACATTGAAGCAACACATTGCATACATTGTAGCAACACATTGCATACATTGACGCAACACATTGCATACATTGACGCAACCTATTGCATACATTGAAGCAACACATTGTATACATTGAAGCAACGCGTTGCATACATTGAAGCAACACGTTGCATACATTGAACCAACACGTTGCATACATTGAAGCAACACATTGCATATATTGAGTCAAAATAGGTAGTGGGAATTTTGCATCCATATGAGAGAAATTTCTGGGGCGAACAATGTAAACCTTTGTAGCAGTAGTGGTGTTATTTTATAATTATAGTGCCAACATTTCACAAAAATCCATAAATGTAACTATTTTTTTTTATTTAGATATTCATCATTCATTTCGAAATACTTGAAATCCAGAGGGTATGTTCGAACTCTGATCCAGAACGTGGGTTCATTAGACCTATGGTTTATAAATGAATGCTTTAAATCTGGGTCTAGAGCATTATGTTTCAGACCTGAGTCAGAGATGCATATATTTAGAATATGGTTTGACAGACACAGGCTCAGAACATATATGTTCACATATACTTGTATACTAATCTTTACAACATGTACAAAGGAATTCCTGATCCGGTTCACCATTGAGCAGGAAATGCACAAAGAATGATTACTAGTAATTTGTTTAATATTGATAAATTGTACACTTTGTAAATACTATTTTATACACAGAAGAGAACTTTTCATTTTTATGTCTCAAGATTTATAAGCTGAATGTATTCAACTTTTGAAACATGGACCTAAGAATTCAGTTTGCTGATGTTATGTGCTGATACACGCATATCAAATAAATCTTATCAAAACAAATTAATTGGCATTTTATGTTGTTCCACTGTTCCACCATCATCTATTTGAATTTGATCCATAATATAAAAGTTGATCTTCACCTCAGGCCACCAAGGGTCTCAGCAGCCTCAAATGCCTTAAAACGCCAAACACCTAGATATTCACTTTGGAATGACCCCTGATCTTCGTAGAATACCCATTGACCTGTTGACCCATTTAGCACAGTATCAAGTATAATGACCCAAGGTTGAGCGGTGTAGGAAATGTCCGGACAGATAGACATCTGTCAATCGTAGGATTTTATCCAGAAATTATTATCCCACTGAATAAAGTCCAATACTGTAGGGATATTAGTGAGATGCTATTGGTTCATTTCGTCTGTTCATCCATTTGTGTGTCCAGGCCATAACATACACCAGTGGGACCTCTATTGACGTATTGCGTGGTTTAATGCGAGCAAATAATGTTATAAATGTGCACGAAAATAACTTTAGAGTCGCCCTACCCCCGGGCGGGCCCTACCATTTTGTATTCGTTGACATCGCTTCTTAAAATATACCTTGGTAGTTTGTAACTAGACTCTGTGCGCACTGCGCAGGGTAGGGTTGCCCCATTTGTCCAAATCCCAATCGTCCAAATCCGCCGCCGAGAAACGCTTAATCTAATTGTCAAGATACATGAGATAACGATGCAAGAAATGTGTAAACATTGAATAAAATATCTCGTTGATCTGTGGTTATTGAAATCCCCGTTAGCACGCCCGGTGATCGTACAAAAATGATGGAGGGGGATTACGCGATTTCTGGAAGAAAACTCGACAAATTGGGGAGATTTATTTTTTCAAGAGAAAATTTACAACTGAATTGTCAAATGAATAGGCGCGGTCCTTTTTAAAATATTAAGATTATTCAATCTCCGATCCCTAGCTGAATTATAGATGCATTAATGGCCTGTGTATTCTGTATGTCTTATGTATCTAACAACTTGTCAAAATTGTGAAATTGAAATGCTCGTTCAATACAGCAATCGGTACAATAAAATCACTTTTTTATTTGCTGGTTAATTCAAGGAAGTCGTCTAAAAGCTGTCACTATATTTTCACATTCAGAACACATCTTTGTCTTTATGGATTTACTTCTCTCCCAATTATTCAGTTTAGAACCAGATAACTAATCATCATCAAGAAATGTGTAAACATTGAATAAAATATCTCGTTGATGTGACTGTGGTTATTGAAACTCCCGTTAGCACGCCCGGTGATCGTACAAAAATGATGGAGGGGGATAACGCGATTTCTGGAAGAAAAGGAAGATAACTAATCATCATCAACGACCACAGTAACACTGTCGTGTGATGGGCTGAATTTACAATCCCTGAGACTAATCGTTACCCATGCTTTGATTAAATAAAATGAAACTGAATAACATTTAGCAAATCCCTGTATTTAAAACTAAATTAAAAAATTTAACCCTTAAATGTCTGTACCACGACCCACTTACCCACACGTGGTACGAGGTTTTTATACTTTGTACCAGAGAACCATGTGCATGTACAGCAACTTCAAAAATGTTTTTTCTTCCACCATCACCTAACACATCCCTCATCTACACGCGTGATCTAGTGAGCTCAATACGTTATGCATGATCATGCATTCCGGTGTAACACGTGGTCTTTGATTGAATTTCTCCAACTGGAGAAATAGTTCATTTGAAGATATTACGAACGGCATTGACCTGCTCAGTTCATGTAGAACTAAAATACCTGAACCTGACAAGTTAACTCGGTTCCATTTATTGAGTTTTTAAAGTTATGACAACTTTTCTAGTTTTTTCACGGTTTTGCGAATGTGAACAAAAGAGGTTGGGTCGCTGAGGCTTTAATAACCACTCTATCCACAAGTATACGATTAGTACCTATAGAAAGTAAAATCAATTCCCTAGAGACTGGGCGCTGTCGCATGGCACCCAAAACTAGCTGTGGAACACTAGCTCCATTTCCGAGGGCAAGGTTAAAAGTGCAGATCTTAACTGTTTTTCGAAATACCCAAATCCAATTTCAACGATCCTTACAAGCACATCTTTCACGCCTCGCGCGCGGGCTCGCAGTACTCGACTCACACACGCTTCTTAGACATTAAAATATCAAAAAAGTTCAAAAAAGACTTTGCAGCGTGAAACGTAGCCTAACACACAACGTAAACGCAGCGTCAACGTAACGTAGGCGTCATGTCACTCACAGACTAGGCTTTATGATGTCATTTTTGTCAGGTTTATTTCTTGCCCATACAAAATTTTCTTTTTTCATTTATTTCAACATTTTAAGATCATATAGCCCGGACAGAATTGTTCAAGGGTCACCTTTTCTTTAGTTAATTTTCCGTCTTACCAAAAAAAAAACGATTGCATTTTTGAAAACTAGAGTAAAATTCTGAATAGATGTTCATAGTAATATGAGTGGCGCAAATACATCACGCCCGGTGATTGGAAAAATGGAACGGAGGGGGGGGGGGAGGAGGGAATTTAAACTGCAAGAGAATTTAACAAATCTGGAAGATTTATTTTTTTCAAGACAAGTTTACTACTATAGGCGCATGGTATTGTAATAATAAGTTATTTTTTGAACCAGAGTATATCAGAGTTCTGTTTTGACCTCCAAACAGGATGACCAGGATCACATGAAAGCTTACATGATCAGAATGACTCTAAACATGATGAAATAACTTTTCAGCCCTCTGAAAAATCAAAGGTCACTGAACACTAGAATCTTTTGAATTTTTCAGAAAAGGTGCTCAATATATTGCTCTAAATGATACAATCTTTGAAATTTGAGAAAATTGTAATTGTCTGAAACAAAAATGGCGGTCATAAAAAGGAAAACAGGTCGCTTTTTAATTCATTTTTTTTCTTTTTCAACGAATGATATCAAATTTTCAAAGATTGTATAATTTAGAACAATATATTTTGCAAATTTGCAGAAAAATTCAAAAGATTCTGTTCAGTGAGCTCTCCTAAGCTCCTACTTTTAGCTATTTTTCAGTCACATTTCAGTCAGAGGTCTGAAAACTTTTCAGCCCTATTTTTCATCAAGGGTCATATTCTGACCATCGCCATTGTGATCCTGGTCATGTAAATGATATTTGGAACTAAATTAGTTCAATTGACTGGAGGTCAAAACAGAACTTTGATATCTTGGTTCAAAAATGGTATGGTTTGGTCAGGTTACCTGTTTTGTCATTTCCATTTACCATCATGGTACCTTGAAGCACACTATTTTTCATTTGTTTTCTAAATCAGGTTGATTAATTAAATGGGTGGTTGTGTTCATGAATTATTTATCCAAAAATAAGTCCAGGGTGCATTTTCGGAATTTTTCTGCATTCCTCAAAAGATTGAGTCACATGTTATTTTTCAAACAGGAATCACTCCTTTCCCACATTGTCAACATCTTTCAGTTTTGCACAAAGGGTGCACTTATGTGCCTAGAAAAGAAGACTGGTGAGAAGATTTGTTTTGTAAAATGAATTCACTGAATTTTCTTTATTCTTTTCTAGGTACATTAGTGCACTCGTTGTGCAAAAGTGAGAAATGTAGACACTGTGGGGAAGGAGTGATTCAAATTTGAAAAATCATGTGACCCTATTGAGGGTTGCAGCAAAATTCCGAACATGCACCCTGACCTTAGTTCAGCAAGTTAAACCTAAGAATTCTGGGCCTTATTTCTTATCTGACATATCTTGTGGCCCGCCCTAGGTTGAACGCCCCGTGCCTATTCGGCCGCTTTGATGCAAAAAAATTAATGGTGGCCTATGTCAGCGCATAGAATCAATGCGCGTTTAAGTGATAACTGATTGTGAGAATTTGCTACCATTGAAAGCAAAGCACGGAAGTTAAACCCTATCACGGCAACAAGAACATTCAGATTAATAAATGAAAGCCGTGGTAGTTGGGTTTAACTTGTTGAATTACCCTGACCTAAGTGGACAACCCGTAGTAATTTTGTTATAGCAAGCTAGATAAGTCTCTTCCGAACACTGTGTTATGTAGTTCAACAAGTTAAACCTAGTCTGGGCCTTATTTCTTATCCCGGGTTTCTTATATGACATATCTTGTGGCCCGCCCTAGGTTTAACGTCCGTATCTATTCGGCCCTTGATGCAAAATATTTAATAATGGACAATGCAATGGCAGCGCATTAAAATCCATGCGCGTTTAATTAATAACTGATCGTGAGAATTTGCAACAGATGAAAGCATAGCACGGAAGTTCAACCCAATCACGGCAACAAGAACATTCATATTAATAAATGAAAGCCGTGGTATTGGGTTTAACTATGTGGTATGTTGCACTAGGTCTGGATACTAACCGTTAATAAGATATGCGGGCAAAGGAAAGGAATTTCTACTGCATTACCTTCGCCCTGTCCCAATTTAATTTGGGGCGATTCACAACTCTTCACACTGCAACACGTTTTCCGGTTTAGCTAAAAATACTTTATCGAAGGAAATAAACAACTAAAACAAGAATCCACGGGCCATAGAATAGCAAACATGGTGAAAGCAAAGATACGTAGTAAGAAGAAGGACTATGTGAACAAGGCGAATCATAGTATGAACCCTGGTAAGTTTACTTTAGATTTTCTTGACTGTAGACTTGTAAAGTTTAGGTACAGCTGGAAAATAACATTTTGGGAAGAAATTGCTAGATTATACGATACATGTTATTTTCTGGCACCGATCCGGAGCCAAATCCAGCCCCTATTGGTAGTAGGCTCAAAGTATAAATGGGAAGATAAGACACAAGCCAAAAATGCTACATAAAAATGACCATTGACCCTCTTACTGACCTTTATTGGCTTACACAGTGAGCCTATGGGATAGACCAGGCGTCCGTCCGTTCCGTCCATCCGTCAACATTTACCAGTGGATCTAGAGGGGGGCGTGGGGGGCGCACGGCCCCCCCCCCTAAAAAGTCAGAAAATTCGTGTTTTGCCTCATTGCTTTTTACAAAATTTGAATCTTTTTTGTAATTCGCTCACAGTTATTATCACTCGCCCCCCCCCCCCCCCCCCCCCCCCCGCAACACAAAATCCTGGATCCGCCCCTGACATTGGCCGCACAAATTAAGGTGCATGATGGGAAATTTTCTGCATTCCTCAATTGAGTCACATGTTATTTTTTAAACAAGAATTACTCCTTCCCCACATTGTCTATATATCTTCCAGTTTTGCACAAAGAATGCACTTATGTGCCTAGAAAATACTTGTGAGAAGAATGTTCTGATAAAGTGTAAAAAAAACAAGAAAATTCAGTGAAAAAATTCAGAAAATTGTCAGAAGAATTTTTCACTAAATTTTCTCATTTTTTATACTTTTTACAAAACAAATGACCACCAAGCTAATAGTCCTGATGTAAACCCCAGTGAGTATAGGGTACTGGAAGGTCTCCGGGAGATGGTTTAAAGGTACTCAATCTCAAAAATTGCTCAACTTAAGCTGGCAATTAAGACAGGTTGAAAGAAACTTGTACATTATCTTATTACTTAGGACAGTATATAACTGCAACATTTGGTGTATGTAGGTTGGAAAATGAAAGTTATAGTGTCTTGAAAAAAGTGGAATTTTTTGGCCCACCCTGTACAAGAATCTAGCTACAGAAAGAATGTGATGTAACCACGTGTCTACTTACCGGCTTGTTCTATGTCATCCATCGGACTAGTTTACATCGTGAGACGCAGCCAAACACGACACTGAAGGCAACAGCATATCTATCTTGATCTTAGCCGAATTTTTGGAAATTTAGATCGTCCATTTTGCAAGCTCACGTGACTGACACGTGACACGTGTCTGATCACGTGACTAGTTACAGTATCGATCATGTGACTTAATCACATGTCAATGACGTGTCACCCAACCACAGTGTTTTCAGTAGGCTTGTCCAAAATTGCGTCCCTTGGACGTTATGATTTTCAAAAAATGCGTCTCCCTTCAAAAAACTGCGTCCCTTGAAAAAATGTTCCCGGGAATTCAAAAGTCACGTTTTTACACTGGATGAAATAAATTGATGAAATTTTGTACCACTGCTTTTGCTATTTATCGGTCTGAATCAGCGTTCTTGCAAGTCTAGTATGTCATTGAATGATACAGATACCATCATAACTTATATTCTCCCATTTAAAACACCTTTTCCTTGCGAATTTCGAAACAATTTGCTATTGATTTTGCTTTAGCATGTTTAGTTTAGGGGCAATCTGCGCGAGGTTCAACTTTTTAGTTCAGTTTCTTGCGCATATGCAGTCTCAAATAATGATCACGTGATCACACTTGACCAATTGAAAATGGTTTGAATCAGGTCTTAAGCTACCGGCCAATCGTAGGACTCATACTGATTACTGCTCGGAAATCGAGTATTGTATAAATTTTTGTCCTATCACATGCCTCGTACTATTTCGATCAGAAATCAACTTCCAGGAAGGAAATTTCGAAAGAAAATTTTATTTCTTTTAGAAATAGAATTTTCTTCAATTATTTATTGGATTCTGACGAAATAAAGAGACTGAAGGTAAGATCTTTATCAAATCATTCATCCAAAGTTGATTGTATGAGTATGGCTTGCACTGCGTCCACAAAACGCAATCACTTTTTATTTCCGGGTCCATGGATTTTTCATTACGTTTTTGCAATACTTGGATGGCGTTATTGAAATAGCAGCAACCATGTCTTCAAGGAAAACGGAAGTAAATATTTTGGAAAATGTTTTTCGAGCATTTGCTACTGATTATAGAAGGCCCAATAACGAACGAAACTGCTAAATTGTATTTTGTGCCTAACAGGCGCAGTACGCAATGAAACTGCTAAATTGTATTTTTAGTCTGCTTATTGATCTATTGATTCATAAAGACCTGAAATGATGCATTCAAATAAGACCGCCTCCTAAATGAAAACACTACACCTAAGGTGGTGAAAAAGAACGAACTAAAGTTGAAAGATCGCAACGTTCGCTACTTTGATCAATTCCGGAAATCTCCAAGGGGCTGCAAATGGGAAATTATTTAGATTTAGATTTTATAACCTCAGAATACTGGCTTCATTGTCGTGTTTGGCTGCGTTCCACGATGTAACCTAGTCCGATGGATGACATAGAACAAGCCGGTAAGTAGACACGTGGTTACATCACATTCTTTCGTTATTTCAACCATATGAACTGATTCCCAGAATAAAAAAAATCACTGTAGACCCTATCAAATGATGACAGACCTGAAACCATCAGTTTCTAGAAAGCCAAAGAGGAAGCAAGGGCTAAACCTGATAGAGGTATTCTCCACTTGGCTTCAGACAAATAGGTTATAATGAAAACACGCGCTACGCGCTAACGCGCTAGCGCACTAACGCACTGTTCAGAATGATCGTTCCCACAGGCCCGGGAACATGTATAAAAATCGAGTGAGTGAAGAGATTAGGTGGCTCATCAGAAAGCAGAAGTATGAAGAAGCCCAATGTTTGATCGTTAACTGTGCAAAGATTATCGATTGTTTGTGTGTTTTATCTGATTTAAAAGGAAGATAGAAAGTAGCACCTTACAAGATGAATGGTCGCAGATATGCGAATATGCTCCCTATTTCATTGCATTATTTGGGTCCATCCATCGGCGAGAAAAATCCCGTTTCGAAATCTGAGCCTGGGGCCCGACTACTTCAATGACTAATGACTTAATATAATGTTTACTTGTCGCACCTCTTAATATCAAGTCATGGATGTTTTATATATCTTTACTCTTTGTATTTGAAGTTATATCTCACATATGACTTACCAAACGGTGGGATAATTCAGGCGTCGCATTTATATTTTTCCATTTTTCTTTTCGTGCCCGGTTACTCTCTTTCGCTTTCATGGGGGGGGTGTATAGGGTTATCGTATAAGAGGAGGGTGAAAATCGATTGTGTATGGCCGCATAAGAGGGGGCAACATTTATCGTATATGGCATTGTATAAGTTAAATAAACATATGTTTTAAAAGAATTAAAGAAACCTATTATGAAATTTAAAGGCAGTTTGAACGAATACTGCAGATCCAGCTTATCCCCATAAATTTGGGATTTCAATACACAAGTAGTTGTGGGGGCTTGCCCGTAGCCAGCTTTTTTCCAGGGGAAGCTTTTTCACAATTATGAAAAAAATTCTCAAAATGGTGAAAAACTGCATGATTTTGAAAGAATCTCTGGCCAGAGGGGGAGCTCCGCTCCCCCAGCTCCCCCTCTGGCTACGGGCCTGGTTGTGGGGGTGATTTGAAAAATCAGTCCCACATTTATGGGGGTAATCCAGATCTCTATATAGTAGTCTCTATATGCCATATGCCAGGACAGTAACCAGGATTTCCCAGGGGGGGTCACTTTTTCAAAAATTCCAAAGTCACCCTCCGAACCCCCCCCCCCTGGCTTCGGGGCTGTGTACTGCCTATTTGCCGTATGATTATACATTTGGTACTACGTGGATTCTTGCATTATGTTATTTCATTCTGAATATTATCCAAACTTTTCTCAACGGTAATTTCAAAATTATCGTACAGATATATTATTTACCCGATTGCATACACTGTATGTTATACATGTAAAAGGGGTGAAAAATGCTGTAAATGGTATAAGACTGAGGGGCTTGTGAAAAATAGTGTATATGGATTTCCAAGACCCCTATGAACCCCCCTTTCATGTTTGCTTTCGTTTTTCTCAATTTGATTTTAGATTTAAAAAGTTTTGAATTACGTCAGTCCCAGTGAATTGTATTACCTATTTTACCAGGAATATTGTTGAAAACAGGATTGTATTTCATTTGGAATTAAAGTTTTAAATAAGAGACGATTTAAAAAGTACTGTAAACCCGACCAGCGTGTTTTATCATTGTCCGGTAATTGGCCGTAAATATTTATTAATTCTAAGTTACTCATGTTCTTTCAGGTCAAATACAGAGAAAAGTACACGTTCATTTAGTTTTGGAATTATTTCCTAAATTGAAGTTGAATTCTGTTTTTTAACGGTGTGAAGAACATCTTAATTGGTCTTATATTTTTAGAGAAATCGTAACTTGAAAAGTGTAATTTTCGAGAGGCTTTGTTTATTTCCTGCGGCCGCAAAGTTCACATCAAAGTCTGATTGACAGGTTAGCGGTGATTTATACAGTCTTTGAAGTGTCAATGTTTTGACAAGTTCCCAGGGAGTCATAACCCTAATTATACATGTCCCTGGGCCAAGGGTATTGACCAATCATAAACATGCGCTTAAAACATGCGCACACATCGTGGGGGAAGGATCATTTTCTATTAGCGCATTGGCGCGTGGCGCGTTAGCGCGTAGCGCGTGTTTTCATTATAACCAGACAAATATTTGAATTTGCTGATCCTTTTTTGTGTTGAACACATATGACAACAAATGACATTCATCAACCTTGTTCTGGTTTGGATAACACTGTAGATAGGGTGTATACAGCAAAAGGTACTCACTTGGCTGAGCCTAACCTCTCATAGATTTTTCTAAACAACTTGTTCAATCATTTGTTTGTCGTGCCATGTATGACTTTCAGTATATCTATTTCTTACTCTAATATTTTAGATCGTGCCAAGGGAGAAGGTGGTAACAACATGAGAACCAAAGCTACAATAAAAAGGCTCCATATGTACAAGAACTTCAAGGCAAAAAGGTATGTATTAAAATTTTGGCAGTTTAAGCCATTGGTCCGATGGAACAATCACTTAAGAGATATACCTGGCCATCAGATTATGTATTTGTATTTCCTCTAATGGTAACAGGTAGTTCTTCACTCCTGTCAGGTCTGTGGAGAAGCTCTACTTAAAAGTTAAAAAACCCAATCCATCTTTGTAAGAGAAACATAATATATCACCAGGATGGGAAATTTATCAAGATTTTTCATATTTGTGATATTGAATGATAGAATCTTTGTCACCTTTTGGCATAACTTGAATATTGTATAAGCATCATATCTCCGAAAATCTAGGCAGTTACTGACAAATGAGTTTGATAATTCTTAGCTTTTGTTACCTTGTCAAAATGGTTAAAAAGTCAGCACTTTCAATCTCATTGTCCTTATTGGGTCCCAGGTACCCTACAGGAAAAAATATTTCAAAAAATATTTGGTTTATCACTGGTACTGCACTCTTCAAACTAGGATCCGTTTTGGTAACAAAATGTCGGAACCTCAGAGTTTTAGAATTTCCACGACATTTTTATCACAAACTTGTGTCAGTAAGACAATCTTAATGCTTGCAAACAAATAGTCCAGAAGACAAAAGAATCATTGATACAATACCTTAGTTTTGTTTTGTAAATAGATCTTCAAAAACGGATTGATTTCAGGGATGTTTCTTAGCATGAAAAAATGTCCTCAATTTTTCAATAATACATGGAATATAAAAATATGTTTGCTGGGGCGTAGAAATCACTTCTGCTATTCTTCATTTACTAGTATTTAGTGCCAGTTCAACATTGTTTTGGTTTTCAAAATTTTGTAGAGTTTTTGCGTTTCGGAGCATAGTAATGCATTAAATGGTAAGTTTTAGCTTATATTTCTTTATAAATATTCGAATTTATTCTACTAATCGTTGTCAGTTGGCTCCTGATAATCGGGTTTGAAAATTTGAGTCCCACCGCTACATGTATATATTAGTGGGCTGTTTTAGCAATATTATTTAAATATTCTTTGAAAAATGTTTTCAGAGATAAGCATGGGCAAATTATAAAGGCAGCACCATTCCAGAACACACTGTCATCAGGCACTGTTGCTAGAGTGGAGCCCAACAGGAAATGGTTTGGTAAATATTATATATTATTTGAAATATAATTCTCGCACTTCCCTTTCTTCATCTACATATATTACTTCTACCATATTCTCTGTTAGCTTAGAAAAATTGAAAATATATCGTTCAGACCATTTGAATAAGCGTCCATATACTGTAAGGAATCAAAAACTCTGGGAATTTCATGTATGGCAAATTTTCAAGAATTTGTCAACAATGCCTTATTTGCAATATCAAAACAAAGTAACAACATATTTTTACAATAATGATATGTTATTGGAGAGATTACGGTAAAGATCGCTAAAATAAAGCAAGGATAGACAATATTGACGATGAGTAGAGCTGAAATACATAGATCGGACCAATGTTTGAGGTAACAATTGGGTGCATATCTTAGCCATCAGAAATGGACGGTCTTGTGGACTGGCTGGTTGAAACAACTCATCAGTCCTGGGTCAACATCGCCGGATTTGTCCGATAGTCCGGCGCTTAGGAAAAACACTGTTCACTGGGTCATTTCAGAATTTTTTAGTTATTTCAATATTAATTTTGTTGTGAAAGTTTGATGATCATCTGCCTATAATCTGCCTTGAGTCAAAAATACCTTACATAACAATAACACCTTACAAAACATGCTCCAAATGGCCACCTCTCTCTATTCAATTGTGTATAGAGAGGAGCATATCCCATGTGGAACATGTTTTGTAAAAGATTATTATCAAACAAAATTCACATTGAATAAATAAAATAATTCTGAAATTCTAAGGCAGAATATGCAGGATTGACCGAGTTAATTAACTTTTCTATGTTCCTGTTTTTTTTTTGATAACCAGTTATCAGATGAAGTCTAAATTTTATAGGCTAAAGCCTAAGCATTAAATCTCTACTCGAAAAGGAATTGATAATATGGGATCACTTGACGTCATGGATGTAAATTTTGCAAAAAGGAGACAATAAGTACTCGATTCAGAATAATGTGTGATTTGCTACTCTGTGTAATTGCTGTTTTTCCAGTTTGACTAGGCAACAGTTTGACTAGACTATGTAACTGGACAGACTAACCTTAAAAGGATGGCAGATACAGCATTTTTCAATGTGATTTAGTGACATTGACATGTAAAACTGATTCTGTCTTCGAAGGCACTAGCTTTAATTGTCTGACCCTGTCCACTCATTCTACAATATATATCATATTTTTAACAATGGCTGGCTTATAGGTGACATCAAATTAGGGCGTGGCATTCGGCAGGGCTGCCCCTTATCTCCGATGATTTACCTAATAGCATGTGAGCTTTTATCTTGTAAACTAAGACAATCCAGTGAGGTTAAAGGTATCAAAGCCCCTGGAAATCATGATGAAACCAAAGTTTTACAATATGCAGATGACACAACTGTTTTTGTGCATGACATTAAGTCTTTTAATAATGTACTTGAAATTTTATGGTTTATCAAGCCTTAAAATCAACACAAAGAAAACAGAGGCAATGTGGTTAGGAAAATGGAAAAATAGGAGAGAAAAACATGGAGATGTGCAATGGAAAATAATGCCTCATAACTGTATAAAGCTGTTAGGTGTAACATTTAGTACCTCAACTCATGTTATTGATAATGACTTGAATTTTGAGTCAAAATTTGTAAAATGTGAAAACATTATGAAATCGTGGTCTGGAAGGTACTTAACAATTATGGGAAAGGTTGTTATAGTGAAATCTTTACTTTTATCACAATTTTCCTATCTCATGCAAGCCTTCATTCTACCTGACAAACTTTTGAATAGAATTAATACAATGATGTTTAAATTTATTTGGGCAAAAGGCAGATTTAAAGAGGATGAATTGAAAAAGATTCCTGACAAAGTGAAAAGGTATGTAATGGTACAAGAATATAAATATGGAGGGATAAAAATGATAAATGCTAAAGATTTACAAATAGCTTATACAATACAATGGGTTCAAAAGTTGCAAGAAAGAGGCAATGGTCACTGGAGAGGCTTACCCATGTACATGTATGGAAAAATGGGTAATGGACTCAGTATTTTTAATTCAAACATAGATTTTGATAGAATTAAAGGTTTGCATAACTTGAGTAATTTTTATAAAAATGTATTACATGTATGGTTAAAACACAATGATTTTAAAAATGAGAGCATTATTTGGAACAATGAAAGTGTAACTCTCAATAATTCTCCATTATTTTTTGAAAACTGGATTGAAAAGGGTATTACATATATTTCAGATGTTGTCCAGGATAGGGAAATGTTAGCATATGATAACATTGTCCAGAAAATAGGGAGAAATGGCCAAACAATTCTTCAATATAATGCACTTAAAGCATGTTTAACACAAGATCTCCTTATCAAATATGAAATGGAAACACCTTGTACAAAAAAATTATTTTTTAAAGGCATTGAGAGCCATCTTTTAAACACAAGAATTGTGAGAACAAAAATTGTTTTAGAGAGAAAGTGTGACATAAAATTTAATGGTGAGATTCTAAACGATAAAGTCTGGTCTCAATTTTTTGAATGTACAACCGATACTACCCTTTTGGTAATTCAATGGAAAATTTTACATGGTATTTACCCTCAAAATATTTATTTGAAGAAATGTAACATTGAAAACTCTGACATCTGTAACTTTTGTAACGCACATGTAAAAGATGACATTGACCACTTCTTTATCAATTGTGACTGTATTAAATCAATTTGGGATGATGTGAATGTTACAAATGATCAAAGAATTGGAAATGCAATGGTTAAAAAAGAAGATTTACTTAAAACATTGGTAATTAAAAAAGCTATACATGATTTTAAAAAAAGGGTCAATACAGCTAGTAATGTAAAAGCTATTTTTGATAATGAAATAATGATCAGAAAGATGTAATGTAACTTGAAATTTCTATAATTGTATTTTATCTTATTGTATGCATGTAATGTAAAATATGTTTATTAAAGTTTGATTTTATAAAAAAACAAAAAAACAAACAATGCAATATATTTTATTTTCTAGGTAATACTCGAGTCGTCACACAGAACGCCCTTCAGACTTTTCAAGAGGAAATGGGCAAAGTGAAAAGTGACCCGTACAAAGTAATAATGAAGCAGACACAATTGCCAATATCTCTACTGAATGAATCGGCAAAAGTAAGTCCACATTTTATACACACATAAACAGTCAATTCTAGTCGTAATATACTGCTTTCATTTTTGCATAGGAATCTTTTTAAATGTCGGGAAATTGGGGATAGGCGTTGAATTAAAGGAGTACTAAAGCCATATTTAAAAAAAAAATTATTAGTAATGCATTAACAGCCCTTTGACTTGTGATTTGTAACATTGCCAGTTTGAGAATACTAGTACAATATTAAATCTACCATTGGTCTGTATAAATGTTTTTTTATTAATTTTTTGGATGAAATTCTCTGGATTTTCTGGAAAGTATCCTTTCAAAGGAGCCAAATATGACTGACTCCATATTTGTGGTCCGTTGATTCTATATGTTTTTTTAGCTCGCACTGTGGGCCATTTGGCAATCCTCCATTCTGTTTGTCTGTCCATCCATCCTTCTAAATGGTAGTACAAATTGAAACTGCTCTTTGTATTATAGGTCATATAATCATTTATGATCTTTCCTGTTGGTTCTTTATTTATTACAACATCTGCTCATTATGGTATATTTTTCCAGCATGCCAGAGTCCACCTCCTGGATACTGAGTCATTTGACAACACATTTGGGCCAAAGTCCCATAGGAAGAAGCCAAACCTCAAAGCATCGGATATGGAGGTATTGTATTCTAAACTTTATCAAAGTTTATTATTACTTCACTGAATGCAGTTTGAGTTGATAAGCTGTCTGTTAGTTTCTCTCTCTGGGTGATAATTGAAATATATGTTGACAGCAAGAAGGATTGGCTCCCTGGGTTCTAACTTGATATTCAACCTTGACCCAGTTATTTTTTGACATTTTAGCTGATTATGAATTCATGAGTATTGATCCAAAAGATTTGAACTAATATCTTGATCATTTCTTGGGTGTTTTGAACTTTTTTGTTTGGAAATAAGACCAAAGCTCGCGATTTGGTCTTGTCTGACAAGACAGGATTACATTAGCATCACACTTGTACAAAGAGAATGTTCATGTACCAATATGTAGATATATGTATATAGTATGTAGTATATATATTGTGGCTTGTATTTCATAGAGCCTGGCTAACTTAGTAGCAGAATCAAATGCTAAATACAATGTTGATGGAGATAATGACCTAGTGACTGAGGACCTTGGATATAAGATTGAAGCGCAAGATTGGATGTATAAGGCTGGCCAGTCCAAGAGAATCTGGAATGAACTTTACAAGGTACACATTTCATATCTACACACTACATTGTACATAACAATTCCCTGCATTTAGTTGGTGATACACTATGATCTAGTCTCCTGCCTTGAATTGTGTTTTCTTCTGCGATTTTGACAATTGATTTAGAAATCAAGACAAGTATCAATGGATTGAGAATTAGACTCATGTGATGTTCTGTAAACTATTCTGTTGTTGAGAGTTCCCTTACTGTAAACTATTCGGTTGTTGAGAGTTCTCTTGCTGTATTCTCACTGCAGGTTATCGACTCGTCAGATGTAATCATACAAGTGCTGGATGCCAGGGATCCTATGGGAACTAGGTGCAAGCAGGTGGAGAATTACTTGAAGAAAGAGAAGTCTTTCAAACACCTTATCTTTGTGCTGAATAAGTGTGACTTGGTCCCTGTATGGGTTACAGTAAGTGGTATACAAATATATAATGATTATGGTTATCCACCCCTGTTGGATGGGGAGCATTGGGTGGTGCACTACCCCCCCCCCCCCTCCCCCCTTAGTGTTACTTAAGTACCCCCATTCTTCTCCATTTTACCCTGGGATTAATCATTCATTAAGTCACATGTACATATCAATGCTTGTGCTTTATTTGCTGTCACAGTAAACTATTATTTGGGTGAATTACACAACAAAACTAAAGGAATATGTTACATGTTATTTATACATTTTTTGTTTTCAGCAAAAGTGGGTTGCTCTGTTATCAAAGGAGGTTCCAACTCTTGCCTTCCATGCCAGCTTGACCAACCCATTTGGCAAAGGTGCACTCATACAACTACTTAGACAATTTTCAAAGGTAAATATGCACTTTTCTTAGCTGCGATTGTATACAAATATTGATCTATTCAGAGACCGGTGTGTAATCAGGGAGCTTTGCAGATATGTGTACCCTTTACATTATCAACTAAAATTAAATTTCCATCACAAATTGACCTTTCGATTTGGAATTGGTTTGCTACATTACTACATGCAGAGGTGTAAAATAATTGTGCTACTTCACAGATTCTTCATGTCTTATCACAAGGAAATTCTTGTAGTAGATCTCTTTACCCTCCTAAATATTGTATGGATATTTATCCCAACTGTTAGTTTTTGTGTATGTACATGTAATATATTTGCTGCTATTTTTCTAGGTTTAAAGGTTTTTATTATCATATTAATCAAAACCATGTTACATACAGAGCAAGGGCCGAAGCAATGCATTATTGGTCCTGGTAATCAAGAATTAATATAAATGATAAAGTTGCAAAGAAAACTTATGTGACAACTCAGGCATGCAGAGCAGTAAAAACTTACTCATTTAAAATCGAAACAATTAAAAATTACCTGATTTGTCATAAATGGTAAAGAAGAATCATCATACAACAATAGGTTTACCCTGTCCTGCTGTCTGAGTTGGCCAAATAAGGTTAAATCAATGGATTTGCTGTAATCATTTGCTATGATTTTACAGCTTCAAACAGACAAGAAACAAATCAGTGTAGGATTCATTGGCTACCCAAATGTGGGTAAAAGCTCTGTGATCAACACGCTCAGGAAGAAGAAAGTCTGCCTAGTTGCCCCCATAGCAGGACAGACCAAGGTGAGCACAAAGTACATTTTCACCTGACCAAATTAAAACTATATCTTCTAAAATGTAATGATTGCAAAAAACTTGAACATGTTATCAATTTCGTACGAGCCTCAAGAATTACGAGTCATTATGGGCAGAAAGGAGCACAATCCTCGTACGGAGCTCGTTTACGAGACCCATACACAGGCAAATTACATCGGACCCCATACAAGGCTGTGTGGAGCTCGTTGAGTCAATGGCTCGAAAATTACAAGCAATTACGAGACTCTTAACGAGGCCTGTACGAGGTTGTACAGGGCCCGTTGACTTTACAAGCTCCGTACGGGCTTGTACGGGGTCCGATGTAATTTGCCTGTGTACGTTTTGTTAGATTTTAAACCATATATAGTATCAATGTGTACTTATAACATGTCAATCAAATAGTATCTCTGCCATGTTAATTTTGTCACAAATTGCAATGTGGCGAGAAATATGGCATAAATAGCCCCATCATATGACATTTTTCTATATCAAGTGCCTGATGTTAAGATTCCATTAATTATATCATCATCGGAGTGAACTATTGGCATGTGATCACCAAGAAGTACATAAACAAATAAGTGTCCTGCCAAATGTAACAATTGCTTTGTTCTTGCAACCACATGCTGGCATTTGTCTTGTTGCTTGCAGGTTTGGCAGTACATTACCCTGATGAAACGTATATTCCTCATAGATTGTCCAGGAGTAGTTTATCCTGCTGGAGACACAGAGACGGACATTGTGCTTAAAGGCGTTGTAAGTATTACAATCAAGTGGATGATTCGGTTCTCAAAATGTCAGAATATCTTAAGTGTTATCAATGTGTTGCAGTTTATCAGTTTTCAATAAAAGTTTCACACTTCATTCCATGAATGAACTATTGGCGTGTGTTTTCAAAATTAATCCCACTATTGGATACATAGTTTATTTGGATGTAACATATAAGCATGCATGTACTAAACAAAACTGGTTAGACTGATTAATATTGAAATTCATGCTCAGGCATAGCATTAACAATGTATTTGTGCAGATCATCAGTAATTTCTGCTCCAGGCAAAACTTTTTCCTGCCAAAGCAAATAGCTCCTCATTAAAGACTTTGAAGTAATCTTTCAACATCTGTATTGTCTCATCTTTGATATGTGGATGTGTCCTGCCCTTTGCTTTCCCCATACAGTTCACATCTGTTTCATTACCTCTTAGAATGCAATAAAAGGCTTTAGTTGGATGGGGAACAAACTTGTCTTCATTTAAGAAATGTTCAACTCCAATAAATTGTTCTATTTTGTTCAGTTCTACCCATGGTTGCCTTGTGAAGATGTCAGCATCTACTAAATAAATCAGTTCCCTTGGGAACATAGTGTACCATAAAGCCAGATGCTTCACATATATACTCTTCTGTATAGCTATGTGGTCTTCATTTATGCTTCCATTGGGGAGGAAGTATGCCTCCTCAATTGATAGATTCTTACCCGTAATCCAAAAATTCTGAGTAAATTCTGATATTAAACGATCTACTGGATCTCGTACCATGATAAGAAACTTCACATGGTTGTCCGGGTAGAAGACTTTGAGTCTGTCTCGTGCTGCTTGACTTATGAAACAGCCAGTACAGCGTTCAAGAATAAGTTGATCATCTCTAACACTTCCATTTCCTTTGATCTTCAGGTGATCTTGGAAACTATTGAGGATATAACGATCATGATGGGAGAAATATCCCTGAGATTCCAATTGTACAATTTGAGGATGACTATTTAGAAATTGCATTATGGTCCCGGTTCCACCCTTGAACATGCCAGCTAAGATCACATCTGCTCGTCTCAAGCCCAACTTCTCATGAAGTCCCTTCTTTATTGACTTCTTGTCCTGCTTTAACTTGCTTTGTAAATCATCATGGTCAGCTGAGAAGTATATGTAATGTAGTTTATGAGTTTTGTAGTAGGGATGATCTGTTGATGGAAAGGTGCCATAAATCCTCATTATTTCCTCTGGTGATGCATTTTGATTCTCAGAGCTCTTAAAAAATTCTTGAACATTTTCCAAGTTTTGATGATCAGTATACCCAGACATATGTCCCATACCATTATGGAGATTATTCATGAGCAATATGACAAATAGTACACCCAAAACCAGTAATATAGTCCTTGATATAAAAGTCATATTTTGATTTCTTTACTTCAATGTTTAAGTGTTTTAAGTGTTCTAAGCAGACAGCACTTCTACTTTCTAGTTGTTGAGTACATGCCAATAATTAACACCATCATTATGATGGCATATCCATACTGGAAAACCAATAATTATTTTGATATCAGGGGTCTCAATCTCCAACTCTAGGAGATAAATCATTTAATTACACATGTATCAGTCTGGTAAAATCCTTTTCTGTTTGTAAGTAGTATACTTTTGGTTTCAGTAAAATTGCTTTTGTGTTCCATGATATTCAGTCTCTTATTTATGGAACTATTTCATAATAGCTTTTTGATAAGTAATTTTTCAAATCATTCTTGTTCTTGATAGAACTTGTTAATCATTGTAGTTCACACGTTCTTGTTTAAAACTAAAAACAATTTTAATACACAGGTGTGCATATACATTTAAAATTGTAGGAATCATTTACACAAACAATTAAGTTAGTCTATATTTGACATTTGAAATAATGGTTTATTGGTTTAAGCCAGGTATTTCATCTTCAGTGCTTTGTTTCACAGACATAATATCAAATTAACCACACACAGCACATTAGAGTAAAGCAATTCAAGGTTCATTATATTTTCAACATCACTCACTCCTAAAATTAAGGAAATAAACAGTTTTTAGGTGTATGTGTCCGGATGTATTTGTAATGAATCCAAGTCACTGGTCAGTATCAAGCAAAAGTAACAGACGTTACCTTCACATTTAAGATGGTGGAAGGAAAGTTTCAATTTCGATATTTTTAATTTTCATTGAATTAAACTACTTTATAGTTGAAATTATGCTTTGATATTTGAACTATATTAGGCTTATATGACGTTGGAACTCTGGAGTATGATCATTTGTTCATATACCATGCGTAGGCACCACAGTTCAACAATATCTTCTACTGCTTAAGGGAAGGCAACTAGGGTTTTGGTAATGATATGTGGTGATGCGGTAACGTTATTAGAGTTTATAATGGAGAGTAGTATACGACGGGCCTTTTGACCTGCAACCAGTACTGGTCACTGCTCCACTTTAACGTTTCGCTTCCACCAGAAGTAACGTCATGTCACGTGGTTAAATGGTGCCTGGAAGTGACATCATAGGTCACATGGGTAAATGGTGCACTGGAAGTTGGAAGTAGCATCATAGGTCACGTGGTTAAATGGTGCACCGGGAGTGACGTCATAGGTCACTTGGGTGAACTGCTTCTGGTGCACCATTTACCCATGTGACCTATAACCTTACTTCCTGTGCAACATTTACCCCTGTGACATATGACGTCACTTCCCGTGTACCGTTTAACCACATGACCTATGACGTTACTTCCGGTGGAAGTGGAACGTGGAAGTGGAACAGTGACCGGTACTGGTTGCAGGTCAAAAGGCCAGTCGTATACTACTATGAGAGCTAAGATGTCCAGTTCTAAATGTACCACATCATCTTGAAAACCAACATAACTGTTACCGTATGATACATTTCCAGTTACCTTCCCTTAAGTGATGGGAGATTCCATGTTGTATGAGCCTGATTTGGTTCAAATATCAAAGTATTATGTCAACTGTAAAATAGCTTCCATCCGCCATCTCAAATGTGAAGATAAATGCCGTTACCTTTGTTTGATTCTGACCAGTGCAAATGACAATTTGAAACTGAATTGTGATCTAAGATATTATTATATGGAAGGATTTTGAGTTCTTCCAGGCCTCAAAACTATCATATATTTTTTATTTAAATGTGTTTGTACGTTAAATATAGGATTAACTGAATTGAGTTGTTTGATTTGAATCAGAGTGAATGAATGAAAGGTTAAAATGTATATGTCAAGGTTATAGGAGTTATCGCTTAGATGATATCAAACAGTTTTGGTATTTAACTAAAACCAATAGTTGAACAAAATATTTTATTGATGATTTGATGAATACTGAGTAGTCATATGTACTCTAGAAACTACTTAATATTTATATCTGTGGATTCCTCTTTTACTAGTCTTAAAGTTATGTAGTTACAGCTTTCGAATGTCATTGCGTCCTTCATCAGTAACATTCTGTTTGATTTCCCGCCAACCCAGCTGTCCTTGAACTTGAACCTAACCTGTTCAAGTGTGAAAGTCTTCCTGTTATCTGATTGGTCGTTGAATTTGTTTATCATAAACCTGATTGGCTGCCTGGTTCAAGGCGCTTGTGGGCGCTTGTGTGACTCAATGGGGATTCCCCTCGCTAGCCGAGGAATCGATTGTGTTTAATTCTGGAGTTTGGTTGTTCTGTTGATTATTTCCGATATTTCGGCAAAAATATACCCAAAAGTTATTCTCAAGATATATTCATGGTATGTGAGATATTATATGAGCAATAACAATAGGACATCATTGATTGTCTGGGGGAGAAACCTATGGCATAATGCATCTTTAACGTTTTTACTTTAAGTCAAAAAGTAATAGAGCGATTTTGTTCATATGTGTTTGGCATTTGGTGGTTGGCGGTTAGTAGTTGGCGGTTGGCGTCTGTAACAAATTCTTACAACTTCCAATAACTTAACAAATACTCTTTAGCCTGACTTCAATTTTTTTTCAAAATCATCTACATGTTTTCAGAAGTTCAAATCTGACTATATATTTAAGATTTGACCCTCAATGACCTTTTAAAGGTCAAAAAGGTCTTTTTTCAAGTTGCTTCAAATTGGCCAATTTTTTTTCAAAATCATCTACATGTTCTCAACAGTTCAAATCTATCTATAGATTTGACCTTCAATGACATTCTCAAGGTCCAAAAAGATTTGACCTTCAATGACATTCTCAAGGTCAAAAAGGTCTTTTTTCATCTTGCTTCAAATTGACCAATTTCTTTTCAAAATCATCAACAAGTTCTCTCAGAAGTTCAAATCTGACTTTAGATTTGAGATTTGACCTTCAATGGGGTCAAAAAAGGTCTTTTTTCTACTTGCTTCAAATTGACCAATTTATTTTTTCAAAATCATCTACAAGTTCTCAGAAATTCAAATCCTCCTTAATCCTCCTTATGCCATTCAAGTTTCAGACAGATTCAGCCAATACTTTTTGAGAAGTCAAGAAAGGACGAGTGGCTTTAAGACCCTATTTAAGCTCCCAAGATATTTAGAAAAAATTGTACAGGATATCAAAGAAAAGACTTTGTTTGATAACCAGATCCAAAAATTAGGTCATTCTGACATTTATGTTTCAAAATATAGGTCATTCTATTAACGTGTATAAAATGACATTTTCAAGGAAAAATCACCTTTTTCACATTATTATTGTCAATGTTTCTATTTATTATCAAAGTAATCATTATTTGCAGTCATTTAAGACTTATTTATCCTGTTGCTATTATCTTACATAATAGTGACAAAGCATATTGGGCAACAGTCGAAAACATATAAAATATAACAAGTCAAAAATACAAACAAAATATTGAATAGTGATCTTCTTTATACTTCATTTAGAACAATTGTCTACAAAAAAAGTTTGCGAAACTATGTCAGAAAAGAATATTGAGTTTTTTAAATTTACATCACAATGAGAAAGAACAAGGGGCAACATTTAAAAACACATGAAGTAATTAACAAGTCAAAAATACATATCAATCAATTATATATTGATCTGCTTCCTTGAGATCATTTGCACATATGCAGTTTGTGGCAGTAAAACACTGAATTTATTATTTCACATCACAGTGAGGAAGCACAAAGAGCAACATTTGAAAACACATGGACTTTACATAACTGTACAGCACATTCATGTGTTTGTTCATTATAACAAGAGATTCTCTGAGCTATCATCATCTTCTTCAGATGACAACATTTCATACATATCTTTTGATTTTAAAATGTCAAACTTCGTGCATTTCTTTTTGCTTTTATACCCCTTGTGCCTACAACCCTACTCCCAACTGGGCATGTACAACACCATCCAGTAATTGCATCAATACTATTACATACATCTGGACCTGGGTTATACTCCACCTATGTATGATGAGATTTAGAGGACACAAACCGATTACTGGAGTTTTACACAAATTAGGCCAAATGTATCTTTTTTAACAATGATGGTATATTTCCCATCTACTTGAAGATGGTCATCTGTGCATCGTTTAAATTTGTTGGCTTGATCTCAAGAGAGTCTACTATGATTTAGATGTAACCCTCTTGTCTCCATACAGGGGGTACTGGGAGATTGCAGTTCACTCATGCAGTTCCTTTTAATTGCTTTGGGCATTTTATTAGCAAATGTCGTTTTTCCGCCTACTGATTGTGACTTAAAGGTACAACAAGTAGTGCAGAGGGGCCATTCAACGATCATGGACCAGTGTCAAAATATATTTAAGTTTGGATATTTCATCAAGACTAACATCTATTTTTATTTTCTACAAAGAAACCCCCGTGATAATCATTATTTCAGCTTATATTCCTCTTGAAACATGGTGGATCTTAAAAATATAAAAGTGGACGTCCCCTTTTTGAAGCTTTGAACTGAATTTACACTTTTTAATGCCGAAATTGATAGTTTATCCATACATTTTAAGAAAATAGGTATGTCGAAGAAGATGTTTAGCCAACTGTTGCCTTGATAGCTCAGAAAAAGTAAAAAATTTCCCATTTTCTCTCTACAAGCCTTATTGCCCCTTTAAAGTATATTTCTTCTGTACAACAAAGTTGAGCTGGATTTCTAAATATGAACATTGGTATGATCAGCCAGTGAACTGTGATAATATAAAAGAATTATTCATACGCAAAACATCAAGATAAAATGATTGTACAACAATCATCTCATATGAATGTATTGAAAGGGATTGCTTGTTATTATGTTGCTTAGAGCCATGGTAAAGATATATGCTTCTCAAGAGGTCATGCTCCAGTGCAAGCATACATATTAGTTCATGAAAAGATCATATGAATAAAGAAAATATACTCAAATATATAAAAAACAACGGTTATAATCATTCTAAGGATTTTCAAAATGGCTGACATCATTTTATTACATGCTGAAAATTGCAGAAAAGTTCCATTTTTGCACAACGCTTGTTCCTTACCTAGATTTTTACATATATCAAGAAGAACCTTAGAAGTACACTATTCCCTCAATACATATAACTTTCTAGGTAAGAACCAAGCATTATATGAACAAAGCAAGAGTTTATCATGACCTTCCTCTATCTAAAAGAAAGTAGGTCAACACAATTGCAAACATAACTAATCCCTACTCAATGACTATTGAAATATGACTATTTAATATATGTACAAAATATTAATCCAATGAGTGTATAGAGTGACACAATCAAACAATGGGACATCTGCCAAGTTTGGTTTTTATTATTAGCTCACATGGTGAGCTATTGCAATCGCTCACTTGTCCGTCTGTCTGTCCGTCCGTCCGTCCGTCTGTCCGTCCGTCCGTCAACAATAGTGGCACGTTTTAAAACCTCTGTCGATAGGATTCCTGTTTTAAGTTATTTCTGTTCAACATCAATACAGAAAACCCCCCTATGACTCCTGGTTCAAAAGCTCGCCTATTTTCAAAATGGCCGTCACTTTTGTCTCGCGAAATTCACTTTTAGCCCATTTCCTAGCTAACCTCTGTCGATAGGATTCCTGTTTTAAGTTATTTCTGTTCAACATCAATACAGAAAACCCCCCTATGACTCCTGGTTCAAAAGCTCGCCTATTTTCAAAATGGTTGCCATTCTTGTTTCGCGAAATTCACTTTTTGCCCATTTCCTAGCTTTACAAATAATTTCAGCTGTCCTGCATTGTAAAAAGCCATGTCACTGTAAAAGGTAGTTGTATGAAATAATTTTGTTACAAAAAATCAGCAAAATATTATATCAGTTTTTTTTATTTTCAGCCATTTTAGTTAACATTGATTTGTCCATCTGTCTCGCGAAATCCTCTTTTGGACCATTTGCTTAAAACCTCTGTCGATAGGATTCCAGTTTCAAGTTATTTTTGTTCAACATCAATACAAAAAACTCCCCTATGACTCCTGGTTCAAAAGCTTGCCTGATTTCAAAATGGTCGCCATTTTTGTCTCGCGAAATTCAATTTTGGCCCATTTCCTAGCTTTACAAATAATTTCAGGTGTCTTGCATTGCAAAAAGCCATGTCACTGTAAAGAGTAGTTGTATGAAATAATTTTGTTACAAATTATTGGCAAAAAATTATATCCGTTTTTTTTTCAGCCATTTTAATTGACTGAGAGACGGATGGCTTGAAATAATTTTGTAACAAAAAATCAGCAAAAAATGTGACCATGTGAGCCCAGTACCCATGGTACTAATTTTTTACATTCTGGAGACATTTTCTGAGACTGATAAAAATTCACATTTTCACAGGAAGTGATACATACCTCCCAAATCAACCAAAATATACTTATATCAGTAATCTTGAATGCTTTTTATTGCTATTTCTTGAAAATATACATATTTATCTACAATTTGATCCTACATATCTAGGATATTAACGACATTGCATTTTTCAAAAAATGTTAAGTGACTCCAGGGGTGTCTATAGCCATTCGTTCTTTAAAGTGACTATTGCAAGTTTGAACGATGGAAGCCTTTTGGCAGTCTAATTAGTGTCTACATGTATAGTTTTTTTTCAGTGGCCTGGGGAAGCCACTTTAGATAATGCCAAAGGGTGAAGATCAAAAATGAAATAAATGACACATTCAAAAAACAATTTGATATTTCACTGATAAAATGGTAACCTCTGATAACTGATGACGATAACACTCTGAGTTACACATGTTGTAAGTGTGCACATGCTAATATCCAACACTAGTTCAACAGTTCATTTTCCAATTTTAACAAATGTTCGTTAGTGAAGCTCTCTGTAACTATTATACCAGTTCACCAGTTCACCAGTTTTGTCCAATAAACCAGAGGCTTGTTATGTCACCACTGAAAGTTGTGACATATTAATGTTATGGTTTCCAACTCTTTTGTGACGGTGTTAGTCATCTGTAACAAATGGCAGGTGGCGACATTTTTATGTTTAAAATGCCATGTTGTAAATGGTTGTTTGTATGGTTTATGCTTTTTTTGTAGGTGAGAGTGGAGAATCTCAAGATGCCAGAGGAGCACATTGCTGAGGTCCTGGCACGTGTCAAGCCAGAATATGTCTTAAAAACATATGGCATTACAGGATGGAAGGACTCCGATGAATTCTTAGAACAGATTGCTAATAAAACAGGCAAACTGTTGAAAGTATGTATTCTTCAATATTTTTAATGGTTATGTCAATATGGACATAATAAGGTTCTTTATTTTAATGCATGTCAAAATAAGGGTTCCCTTTATCACATTCTTGGTGCTTTTAAAACCCACTCCCCGATTCAACCTCATTTGGATTTGTGCGTTTCCTCCATTTTTCTGTTTTTCGGGTGCACAGATGTTTCCAAGGGTAATAGAAATTCCAACTGTGACGTTAACGGGCTTCAGCTCAAAAGTATATTCCCGTTTCTTACATTTGAGGGAATATAAATTTTGAAGGGAAAAAGTAGTTCTATTTTATGACACGTGACTATGTATTGGCCAATCAGGATTAAGTACAACTATTATACAATGTGTCTGTGAAATGAAGTTACTAATAGTGTGTAAAGTAGATAAGATGTTGTTGAATGTTGTTTATCATATCTTGTATTCCAGGGAGGACAGCCAGACCTAAACACTGTGGCGAAGATGGTGCTGAATGATTGGCAGAGAGGCAAGATTCCGTACTATGTCAGACCCCCAGATTCTGAAGTAAGTGAATGAAATTACATCTTCCCGTCATATTAAATTACCTGTAGACTATTGCCTTGGGACATCACCTCAGCCACAAGTAATTTCAACTCTATTTAGTATTGACATTAATCCAGGGATATAGCCTTTAGCATTTGAATGCTCTATTCGAATGCATTCCAAGATAAACTAGTACGTCTCCTGGATCATGGTGCATATACCCACAATCAACTTTTTGAGCATACTGACATCAAAAGGAACAATTATCATTCAATTGGAAAATCTGGTTTAATAGCCTTTGTTGTGTGTCTCACTCTTCTGGATGTACTGTGTACACTTGTTTTGTTTCTGGGTCTCTAAAGTAGAGCCATGATTCGTCAGAAGGGATTTTTCACTTTTGGAACACTTCTCCCTCAATGCCATATTGCTTGAGAAAGTCCTGCTCAACTTCGACAGGTTTATGCTTTTGCTCTTTGGTGAAAAGCTTAGGGATCCAGTTGTACACACCCTTTTCATATTCAGGTAGAATATTTCAATACACTGTATTGTAGAGTAGGACACATCTGTAAATAAGGGTTATATACTGGGAGGTTTTGGATATGGGGTTTATCCAGAGGGAGATATGCATATCTACCTGAGGGACCGTAGGGACCGAAGGTAGATGTGCATATCTCACGAGGGATGAACCCCATATCCAAACCGACCGTACATAACTGCTTTATCCTATACCAAGTAGAGTTTTCTAATTTTCTTTCAATTTTTTTTCAATATTCTTTATTTTTTAAATGTTTTCACATTTTTCTAATTTTTTAAATTTTTTCTATTTTTTTCTCTTTTTTCAATTTTTTATTTTTTTCAAATTTTTTTCACATTTTTCTTTTTTTTCAATTTTTTCTTATTTTTAAAATTTTTTTTTCGAAGCGGGCAGATATGCCCTGGAGCGGGAGATATGGCGGGAGATATGGAGGTTCAGGATATGGAAACCTCAAAATCAGGATACGGGATATATCTTGCCAACTTATCTCCCTAAAACTCTACTTGGCATAGGATAATGGCACTTATTTCTCTCAGTGTCAATCTCCTGTCTATATTTTAAAAATTTTAGAAAATATATATTCTACCTGTTATTTCATACCAATATATTTTATTAAAATATTTTTTCACATTCACAATACACATTTTGAAGGATAACAGAATTGATGTATTTTCCAAACCAAATTCATCTCTATTCTAAAAAATCCATTGGTTTTAAATCACCACTGTATTACTCCACATTAACAGACATTAAACTTTCTTGCAGGAAACCAAAGAGGAGAGAGAAGAACGTGAGGGAAAATTACAGAAAAAAGCAGATGGTAAAACAGATAACAAAGCTAACCAATCAAAAGATTCAAAAAAGAACAAACCCTCACAGATTCAACAGGATTTTAATCGAATCAGAGTTGAGCCGAAATATGAAGGAGAAGATGCCAGAAAAGCAGATCAGGTCAAAGTTAAAGCTACAGATAAAAGTTTTGAAGTAGAACATGAAGATATTGATGAGGATGAAGATGATGCTAGTGATTATGAAGCCAGTGATGATGACACTGAAGATCAGGATATTGAAGTGAATCGAAGTGATGAAAATAGTGATGAAGATAATGAATTAACAGCAAAGGATGAACTTGATTACATTGAAAATGATGAGGTAAATGAGGAAGATAGTCATGGCAGTGATGATTCTGATGATGAACTTGAAGAAATGTTGGATTCGCTTGTTGATAGTAAAACAGAACATTTAAATGTGACTGTAGAAACTGTTGATTTAGTTTCCCCTAAGGGTAAGAAAAGCAAACCTAAAGTACTTACCCCTTTCAAACAGCCTGATGCTACCATATCTGAGAGTAAGGATGGGTCATTCCACGAGGCAAAGGTTAACAAATACAAGATGGGGGGTACCAAAAGTCCATTTGTTATGTTTGCACAGGGCATCAGAAGTCCACCTCCTGGCAACCATCAAGGTAGGTTTAAGTAAATGTGTGGATTTCACTTTATAGTGCTATATGGAAGCCATATTTCAAGAAATTGTTTAACCCTCTTACTAATAGGGCTATATACTTTGACCTCACCAAAATGGTTTTCATAGTGGTTTTGATAGTTTTAATATTTGCTTATACCCATGATATTATGATAACTAAAGACTAGAGGGTAATGTTCTTTAATGTATGTAGGTCAGATTCAAAATCTAGATCTAAATCTATAATTTTTTTTAATTTTTATTATTAGCTCACATGGTGAGCTATAGCTATCACTCACTTGTCCATCTGTCTATTTGTCAGTCTGTCCCCCTGTCACAATACTGCCACAAAAGTGGCACATTTTAAAACCTTTCTCAATTCCTGTTTAAAATTATTTTTGTCTCAACATCAATACAGAAAACTCCCCCATGACTCCAGATTCAAAACCTCGCTCACTTTCAAAATAGCCACCATTTTGTCCATTTACTAGCTAGAGTTTTTAAACCTCTGTTGATAGGATTCACGTTTTAAATTATTTTTGTTCAGCATCAATACAGAAAACCACCCTGTGACTCCTGATTCAAAAACTTGTCTACTTTCAAAATGGCCACCATTTTTGTCTTGCAAAATTAACTTTTGGGCCATTTAGTGGCTTTATAAAAAATGTCATGTACGAAACCCTGCATTGTAAAAGCCAATATCACTATAAACAGTACTTTTATGGAATAATTGTGTAAGAAAAAATCAAACAAATTCTTTCAAAATCTCCATTTTTGGTATAAAAAATCACATTTCGCCCAATACCATGTGAGCCCAGTTCCCATGGTACTATTTTTTGTCAAAAAATGAAAGGCATTAAGGGGCAACAAATGACTCAATTTTACCAATTAAAATGATAACAATAGTCTTGCTTTTAAAAGTCAAAATTATATTTTCAGTTTCCTGATATAAAAACCACAAAACATGATAGAGTGTTCACATACTTTCACTGTGATATGGAAATCAATTCGAAAAACTATTTTAGTGAATAAAACAAAACTCTATTGATATCAAATATTATCATTTCAGGTGGTTTTGCTGAGTATTCTGTGAATGATACTCCAGAGTTGATGTCAGTTGAAATGACACCACAAAATGACACTTTGACACCAAGCTCCAGCAATGCAGCAAGTAAAGCTAACAAAAAAGCTAAGAGGAAGTTAATTGCTGACGAAGAAGAGAAAACTAAGAAGTCACCTAAACTTAACTCCAAACAGGTACAATTATCCTTCTTTCTGTCTAAAATCACCTCAATATACTGAGCATAAATTACATCAGACCAGATCCATCACAATTTTTAGAAAGTGACAAAATTTCTAACACCATTTGATAATCTAGACAGCAGAATTAATTATCCCACCGAACGAAGCATCCATTTGTCCGGGTGTTAACTCAAATTCCGGTTGACGGATTTGATTCAAATTTTATAGGCTTATGCCTTTTTGAAGTAGAACCTCTGCTCGAGAAGGAATTTGGACACTTAATTCAAAATGGCCGACATTTTTCGTAAAAAATATAATCTTTGATAACTCCAATACTAGTTCATGGATTTGGTTCAAATTTTTATACTGATGCTTAGAGACAAAAGAGCTACGCTGAAGAAGAGATTTTCAAAATGGCTGCTAAATCTCAAAATGGCGGCCATTTTCGCAAAAAAACATAATCTTTGATAACTCAAATACATGTACCAGTGACACGCGGTACTAACTCTCCAGAACATATCGAAACCAAAACGCCCCGCAAAACCGTTAATTTGAATTTCAAATCTATTTTGTCTTTGGAAAATCAATGATTGTGAATCTCACACTACACCATTTTTCTTCAAACTTGTTCCATTAAAACCTTCACAGAAATACCTTTCAGTCGAGACATTGCCTTTGTTTACAAAGTCCCTCGTTTTAGCGGCGTTTTGGTCCCGAGATGTGAGAAGATGCAAATCTTTAGAGATTTCAATCAAAAGCCTCGTTGGATCTACAGTATACACCTTATCTATACACGTTTGTAGTCATAGACTCTGCTGGGCGTTTTGGAAGACAACGGAGCGTTTTGGTCAATTTCGAACAGTTGCGTAGGACTTTTTTAAATTTCTGCGTTTAATGTAATAAATATGTTGGTGCAGCAATGGAGGGTTGTAATGGGAGTCCTTGTGCAAAGAACTGGCGATATATCGAGGCTTTTGGTTGAAATCTCTAAAGATTTGCATCATCTCACATCTGGGGACCAAAACGCCGCTATAACAAGGGCTTCTTTTCAGCTTCTTTTTCAAATTTCTTTGATTGAAACCCAAAATAAATTCAAGCTTCTTACGTTTTATCACCCAGCACAGGACAAACATAACGGTCAATATTTAGTGAATTTTTTTATTTCCCGAATTTTCCAAAACTCAAGAAAAATGCTAAATATACCACCACACGAAAATTACCAGGAGTACAATTATTTTTGTATTCTTTTTTTATTCTGAAGTTGATGATTAGTTGCTCTGATGTAAAATGACAATACTCCCAGTCCAAAATTGTTTGCTATGCACTATGTGGTCCTTTTCCAGATATATTTTATAGTAAAAGGTATTGTAAAATGTATGGTTCTGATATCTGATTTGTTCACTTAGATTTACCTTTTTCATTGCAGAAACGAAAACTTGAACGTGAAGGGAAGAATAAGAAGATTGGCAAACATTTCTACGAATCAGCAAATGTGAAGAATCGACGCAATCGCTGATGAAAAAAATATTTTAATATTTTGGAGGAATTTGGAGTTTTGTGTATGATAGTCAATATAAAGTAAAAATATTGCAGAAAACAAACCTCAATAAACATAAAGGAAATTAAAGAACACTCAATGTGTAGAAATTAAATAAAAGAACACTCATGATTCAAAGAGGAAATTAGGGAACACTTGTTATTCAGAAATGAAATGTAAGATTAAGAACATTCAAGGTAGAGAATGCAAATAAAAGACCACTGACTGTACAGAAAGAAAATTATAGCAAACCCAATTAGAGTAGGAACAATTAGATAACCCAAACTGTTCAGAAGACTTTTACAGGCCACTACTACCAAAATATTTATTTATACTGTATATTATAATGATTGTTCATCTGTCAGTATGTTTGTCCAAGCAATAACTTTAATACCAATTCATAGGTTTGGTTCAACGTTTAAAGGTTGATACCTTATGGGCATAGGACCTCTGCTGAATATTAAATGGCCGCCATTTTTTATGTCCCTACCACATAGTGTAGGGCCATATTGTCAGCCAAGGTGAGTCTCTGTCCAAGTCCATCCATCTGTCTGTACATGTGACAGTTTTCTGCTACAGGTATCTGATATCACCCTCAACCCTCAAATGTTTAGGGTGTACATACATATGCAGTAGAAAAATTGGGTTAATCAGAAATTTTTAGAGATGTTTCTTGGTATGAAACTTTACAACGCATTAGTTCTTGGACATTCTAGGTAAATGTAAGGTACCCATTTTGGACTTCCTATCCTAAAATTTAAGATCGTCTCCATGTTTCCAAGCCAAACCATAATGGATTGCTCTGAAATTCATAGGGATGTTTCCTGTTATAAAACTTAACAACTGATGATGTTGCCATGGTGCAACCCCTAGTTTGAATCCATTGATTTCTTATATCATGAATGACCTGAAACATAAACTCTTGGCTCCTAACAGTAAAAATAAATGGTTCAGATGTTTCCCTTTTAATAAAAGACTCATAGATATTTCAGAGTAGATCATATAATTTTTTGCACTTTTTATTCTAGTCTTGAAAAATTTCGCAACCTAATGCAGGCATTTGCAATAATTTGAGATCTTTGCAAAGTTAGGCTACAATTAATATACGAAATCAAGGTGTTCTTGAAAAGATCATCTCTCTTATTTGTTCCTTGGAATTTTTAGTTTGGCAGTAGGGAAATGTACATACTTTTGTTGAACATCGTAATTATTACCATGTATGTATGTCTTTATTGAAAATAGGAAATAAATGATTATAAGAATCCATCTAAATGACATTCTTGGTATGCATATTTATATATATATTCAAAATAATATATTCTATCAAAGATGGCTCTCACTTCAAAATTATGTTTCTCTTACTGCTCTCGATATGATATCATGAAGTGTTGCCAAAATTGCTATGGGTGTAGATGTAATTCAGTTGCTGCATTACTAAGCAAAGGTTTTGGTCCTTTGGATAAACTTGAGTGTTTGATTTAAAAGCTAAATCCACTTTGGCAAAGATGGATTACCAATGCCTACTATCTATAGTTTGGGGTTTTTAATTTGGAAAATAAGAAATTACATTGTAAAGCAGTTTGAAGTGAGGGCCATCTACATGATTAGTGAGCTCTCCTTATAATGTATACATGTATCATTATTTCCAATTCTATTGTAATTTCACAAAGTGGTCTATTTTAGAATTTAACAAAAAGGATTTCATCATTGAAATTATTGGGGAATTCAAGTGAATTTACAAACTGCAAATTGCATGTAATATGTTACGTTGCTTTGAAAAACCTCCTACAGTTCCCATGGAGGGTGTCACTGCAGTACTGTTTCATTAAACATTTTTCACAACCCTGGAAAAAACTATAGAGACCAATTTGAAACAGTGAAAATCAATTTGGGACTCTTAAGGACCATGCGGCGTCCGGCGGACATAACTGTCGCTTCAACTCATTATAAATCACTTGGTTTTCATTTCATAAAGGTCTTGTGATGGAGAATTATATGAAATACCAATTTCGATCAAATGTGGTTGTGAATCGCCACAATACACCATCTTCCATATCGTCAGTGACAACAAAATCTGAATTTGAAATAATTAACAGAGACAACGGCACATGATATGACGGACTATGGTGGATGTATTGCACTGGAACATAGGAAAATGACAATGTTAACTCAGCACATTTGACCCACATTTACCATTGTTACAGCATCCATTGTTCTGTGTCATATTTTGATCGGTAAAATTAAATCCTTTATAGCGATGATAAAACTTTAACTATACAATGAGTAGAATCAGGCACTTTGATTGATTGTTGTACCAAAGGAATTTAATCTAGCTACTCTATTAAACATGCAGTTAATGAAAATTGAATTGAATATGAACCTGTGGCTGCCATTTGTAACAACGGTATCTGGCTTTACCATTGTCAGGGTGTTCCGGTGTGATCATATGTTTATGAAAATTAACAGAACATTGAAGATTTAAACGTTTTTAACATTCTGTTTTTGTAATTTAAGTGAAGAACTACAATTATGATTCTGTCGTCTTGTGAATTGTTCGTTCGCAAACGTTTAGATTTTCTAAAACACATGATGCTGACACACATTTTTGCCAAAAAGATTCTGCCTACATCTCGCAAAATCATGGAAAAAGTAAAAGAGAAGAGTTACTCCACAGTGTTTATAGTGGGACTCGTCCTTACAAACCATGGCTTACAGCAGTCTCAGTTGAATTAATTTCTCACTGTTCATTGAAAAAAGTTACCATTAATCACTCTCACACTTTGTAAGCATGTTATATATTAAGTCCATAATCTGTTATGCCATTTAAACAAAAATAATGCCTTATATTTGTCAATTGCATTTTTGTTGTTGTTTGGTAGACCCTTTGCCATACAAGTTGTGGATTTTTCTGGTTTCCATACCTAATACCTTCAAATTTCACCAGAAATATTTGCAGAAATTGTACCTGAATTGACTTGTGAGTCGTGACTAAAGTTAAGATGAATTAGATAATACAGTAACTTCCTTTGAACCCAGAATCACCAAAGCAACACTTATTAGGACAACAGATTCCAACCAGTTTCCCCAAGCTCCATCTTAAGCGGGGGATAAATCAGATACTGTAGTGGTTAACAGATTTATAGATTTAGATAATGTCATATGGAAATAGGACCTCTTATCTAGAAGTGCTGTTTTTCTAGTTATAAAATTTAATTGAGTGAAAAGAAAATTTTCTTCATTGATAGATGTCATGATATATCTATTGTAAATACAATTTCATAATTTCATATACACCCTATGCAGACAGAGCCTGTTGGAAATATTGGGTGCGGAGCAAATGAGCGGAGGGTGCAGAGCTAACGGTCATTTTTGAATTTAAATTTGGGATATTTCTGAAACTAAGCCGTTTTGGGACTTCAAATATACCAAGATATGTGTATTTGACACCAAATATCAATACAATTGTGAAAATAGTAGCGCAATTCATTCTATAGCGACGCAGTGTACCTTAAACCTTTCCCAGACCTATATATTTTGAAATTATCCTTTTAATACTGAGTCCCCAGCATTCATAAAAAATGGAAATTCAGTGGCCATCTTGAAAATTGTAAATCGAACAGATCTACTGTGTCCCTTGGCATCATCATAGCGGAAAAAAAACGTAATCTCTGGTAACTCAAATACCAGTGAACGGATTTGGTTCAAATTTTATATGATGATGCCTAGGGACAAAGGAGCTTCGCTCAAGATGGGATTTTCGAAATGGCCACTGAACTTCAAAATGGCAGCCATTTTTCGTAAAAAACACGCAATCTTTGATAACTCAAATACCAGGGAACAGATTTGGCTCAAATTTTATATGATAATGCCTAGGGACACAATAGATCTGTTCAAGAAAGAATTTTCAAGATGGCGGCTTGATATTCAAAATGGCGGCCATTTTTCGTAAAAAAAGGTAATCTTTGATAACTCAAATACCAGTGAACGGATTTGTCTCAAATTTTATATGATGATGCCTAGGGACAAAGGAGATCTGTTCGAGAAAGAATTTTCAAGATGGCGGCTGAATTTCAAAATGGACGCCATTTTTCGTAAAAAAACGTAATCTTTGATAACTCAAATACCAGTGAACAGATTTGGCTCATTTTTTATATGATGATTCCTAGGGACACAGTAGATCTGTTCGAGAAATTTTTTCAAGATGGCGGCTGTATTTCAAAATGGTAGCCATTTTTCATAAGAAAAAACGTAATCTTTGATAAGTCAAATCCAGTGAACAGATTTGGTTCAAATTTTATATGCTGATGCCTAGAAACACAGTAGCTCTGTTCGAGAAAAAAATTTTAAGATGGCGGCTGATCTTCAGAATGGCTGCCATTTTTCATTTTCATTTTCGTAATCTTTGGTAACTCAACTGCCATTCGGTGGGATTTGCTACTCCGTGGAGTTGCTGTTTTTCTAGTTACCTTATTTATACAGATACTTTCTGGCAAGCAATATGTTTTAATCAGCGAGCATTGACCACTCCTAAACTAATATTCAACACAGCGTTAGTAATCATTGATATATGCATGACCTGTTCAGACTTGGTACATTTAAACAGGATCAATATATTGTTTACAATTTTTTAATACTGATAAAATTATTCATGAATTTTCAAGCAATTCATTTAGACAGGGTCAACAGCGAAACATATCAAACTTCAATACATTCTCCTTGCCTGGGCTCCTCCACTTGATTAGGATATACAGAACATTCATTTAAACCTCTCCTCAAAAATGATATTGAATTTTTCAAAACAGAAAAAACATGTATAAATATAGTAAGGCATGTAGGTCTGATTGAAAAGATGCAAAAAATCTCCAAAAGCATTTTTTTAAAAAGTAGCCTTGTGACATTTCTTGCCACAAGACAAGAATGATTCATCTTGGCTATATGCTGCATAAGCATTCATGTTAACATTCTATTTTACTGTATCACTAAGATAGATGAACCTAAATGATTGTTTTCCGTTTTCTCAAATATAGTACAAGTGGACCTTTTAATAGATCATCTTCGGTACGCAGGGCTCCGAAATCCAGAATACCTTCTTTCTTTTTAGAAGGAGGTACGGATTCTGGACACCTGCTTAGGAGGATGAGGGACGATATGCTCCTACTTGGGACCTGGGCTTAACTTGGTGAAAAATGAATTTTAATTTCATATGACTTGCTTTGCTATGCATTACTCTAATGCACCCAAGGTCATTTTTAGATTCTAGTGGAACCAATGAAACCTTAAACTTGCTTAAACTGATCAATTTCAAAGTTGGAAGTAAAAAACTATAAATAGGAACCAGGAATAAGAAGCCAAGTGCCTTTGTAGGTCAAATGTGTTGAGTGGTTGTAAAGGTGACAATTTGACCCTTGCAAAAAGTTTCTTTTTTCATAAAGTTAGCACTTGATGCATGTACAAATATCATGCAAAGTTTGAAACACCTTTGAGGAATGATATTCAGGCAACAATGCATTGAGTCCAGGGCTTAAATCCATAAACAAGATTTGAAGAAGTAACAAAAAGGGGTTCTTGGGGCTTGTGCAAAGCCCCCATTCACCTTGAACCCCCTTTCTGCCAGGAATAACCCCCTTTTCTGAAAGATAAAGGAACTCCAGGCCAGGAACGAACCCCACTCCCCACAAAGATGACTATTTAGACCTGTTCAAAGGATTTCCCAAAAGAGGGGTGATTTTAGCGTACGGATGGATTGCTCCACTGACGCACCTACTTTAAGAGGGGGTGGTCTGGGGGCATACCCCCCTAGACCCTCTCTGGTACATTCTGAAAGTTTTTCTGAAAGACTTATTTGCATCATTAAGCATTCGCCCCAACGCTTTGGACGGGCTTGCTATTTTTGCGTGAACAATGAATCAAACATTTATACTATATAGCTATTTGATGATGCGCTTACTATATTCCGTAAATTGATTGATTTGTTGAAATCTTTTCGGTCATGCGAACACCCCCACCCACCTCCACCTTGAATCTCCCTTTCATTATAAGACGAGCCCTCGAAGGGGAAAAAATAGAACCCTTGGGAAATCCTGTCTATGTGTATGCATGGCCAATGCCATGGGCTTTTAAATAACCAATACCACGGACTTTTCTTCAGGTCTGTGCATTTACATTGCATTTATATAATTAATTTATACAATAGAATAGTCTCGGTCTAATTCTTCAGTTTTTCAAATAGCTTCCACTGAAATAGACGAATAGGATTTGCATTCCAACACCTATACTATAAAACATGTAGAGACCAGCGAAAATAGCGACCGGTCGGATTTTTAGCGGATTCAACCTTAGCATCCCTATCGGCGAATGGACTAGCCCACTGGTGTAATGTGATTGGCCGTCTCATTCATTCATCAAGGTTGGCTGTACTGCTGTACATAGCGAAATTCAGCGTAACGACGCCGCCAACTTTCCCCGCGGATATTCCACGCTAAACCTAAAACGTTTCCTTAGAACCATTGCTTAGTATACTCTGGATATATAACCTGATCGAAGGACACTCTTTTCGCCAAGAAATGGATAAGAATCTAGAGGAAATGGCGCCAGTGTCCGCTACAGAAAGAAATAACCTGAGCGAAGAGGGAATCACTTCCAATTCCAATATGAAAATACAAATCTGTCCAACAACTGGAGGACAATTTGATCTGAACATACCAGCATCTGAAACAATTGATGGACTCAAAAGAGCGGTTGGAAAAAAATTAAAAGTACCAAAAGACAGGATAACTTTACTTTACAAAGATAGGTAGGATTGTAAAAGCAAAGCCTAAACTTCGTTAATAATTTTTTATACCAGCGATCTGTTTTTATAATTGCAAACGAACAAGCATTCTTATATATTGTTTATGAACTTTCCAGGTTATTAAAAGAAGGCACTCTGTTCGAACATCAAGTCGTGGATCACAGTAAAATCACACTTCTCCCTAATGTAGAGAGTGGCTTAATGGTAAGATAAGAGTTAACACTCGATGTTAACCTTTTACCTTTGATAAACCCTTGTTGTAAAAAAGTACTTTATGACCTGAATGGTTGGGGATTCCACTTGTACTGATCAAATGAATCACAAAGGAATGTGGTTCCCAATTTTTGTAATGAGACTTGTAGAATCATCCTGTTTTGACATTGTGGTATCCATGGAAATCGCAAGAGTGATCGAGTGCATCGTGAGTGCATATAAAATCTAGGGTGCAGCCCTAACAATGTGACTAATTTTCTATATGGGCCACCATTGGATATTTGGGAACAAAAACCTGTTACTGTATAAAAATATGTCATTAGAAATATAGAATAATCGAAAATTTAACAAACTTGACTCGAACCAAACAAAACCTGTATGGCATCTTATTGTGTATTCTGCATACCTATTATGATAAAAACTGAAAAACTGTTAATTTTAATAAAAATTCTGGCTTGTTTGAAAAGACTTGTATGAAATAGAGAATCCTTCTTTTATTACAGACTAACAAGGCTGAAAATTCTGTGATGCAGGCCCTAGAAAATTTAACAGAATTACAGGTAAACAAAACATTTTATTGTTCCAAAATATCTGGATGTAAAATTAAGACAGTTTTGAGAAAAATTCTGTCCCATGCCAGAGCTGCAGTATAGTCACCTAAAAGTGATGTGATCTACCCATACTTAAATCCTTAAGCACCAATCTGTTCACTCATGTTAATCGTTAAACAATGTTCTAAATTCCAAAATGTCTGATGTGAAGTATTTTGCCAATTGTGTGATGACATATTTGAGACACAGGGAGTCTCATGTAAATATGATACATATTGTCTACTCTTACTCGAGTCTCTAGCTTACAGCTAGACGAAACTTCATTGATTTCGTATGTACTGTGCTATACGCACCTACACGCACCTACAACTCATTTTTAAAAGATTTTATAAATATTTTTAAGAATATTAATCATATTTAGGATGAAGCGTTGCTTGTCTGGATTTAGATATTTCAAAATTTCATTTCGGAGTTTGACACATGGTGAAATTTTCTCGCTGTAGCTAAAAATGGCTTCCGGTTCTGGACGTGAATAACATTTGAAATTATTCTCGCTTAAAGAAATCAAATATAACAATAGATTCAGACGGGGATGTGAGCTGATGTTCTTCAAATCTATACATAAAGGTATATTTCATATTATTATGCCATATTTACTGTGCGTGTGACACAATGATTTACAATTTTTATAATACTAAGGCAGCTCAATCTTCCTCCTCAAAGCCGGAATATAGAGAAGGCTTTGGACCGAAGTAAGTCTACTCTATAAGTCCCCTGTATTATATGTTTCACATATGGAAGCTTGTATTGTGTTGTTTAGTATTCCAATTAATAGGTTGACTAAGAGTTGACCTAAATTGAGGTCATGGTATAAATACATATGCAGTTAGTTCAATTCTAATTATTTGGAATGATTGGTAGCTTCATTAACTATGTCAGTATTTCAATATAAGGACTATTTTTATACCTGATACAATCCTATATATCAGTTGGGTGTAACCAAGCAAGGTTAGTCGCATGTGAGTGGTCATATCATTGTGAGAGGTAGCCACCTTCTTTAAATTTCCTTTCTTGAACTATTAAAAGAATGAAAGGTTACAAGTTTAAAAGCTTATTTGATTTCTATAGTCTAATGTATGCACTGAGTGATAAGCTATCCGCCTTTTGAAAAACAGAACATAAGTTTCTTTGCACATGGTAGGCGTTTGTTAAATACTCTTACAGTAAACTTTGTAGCACTATTTATTAAAGCCAACCTGGGTCTGCTGCCTCTCAAGATTTGCTTGGTAGAAGGAAAATTACCTGGAAAACAACTATGTACACACATTATCTACCAAAATGTCCCAAATTATGAGTATATTTCTATTTTGTTGGCTTTGACCCTAGAAGTAGGACAAACCATTGTTTGCAACAGTTGTCCATAAAGCAAATGCATATTGGTTCTATTATTCAGTGTTGAAAATCCTATTACACTATGCTTTCCCAATAGCATGGTTTCTAAAGAGTTAAGAGGGAGCTAGGCAATAGGCATTTTGTGTACCCTGGGAGCATAGCTCAACTCACAGCATGTCTATTTAAAATAACTGGGTTCCTTCAGCATGACAGGTCACATGACTCATGCTGAAGTATACCTCAAGTATAGGATAATAGATATGGAGTTTCATAATTATATGAACATATAATATGGACGAATTTTTTTTAGATTACATCCATCTAAACATGTTAAGAACAGTAACAACCCATTTCATACAACTTCCGTTAACCATACAGATTCAAATGATGAGTAAATATGTAGGGGTATTTACTATATCCTGTTGTGTTATTTCTTAGCATGAGGTCCACATATAGTACTAATTTATGTAATTATAAAACAGTGATAGTATATTTTTGTATAATGCTTATATATTTGATGAGATAATAATCTTGATGCTTTGTACCCTCATCATCCGTACATTTTGTGTTTTGTTTTGACATAATAATATGAAACTTTCTATTTTATTCTTGGATATTTTTAATGTTTTCTTTGTTAAAATATTTTACTATTCAGTTTGAGTGCAAGGTCATGCAATTAAGCAACAGTTTGAAATGATTGCCAAGAATCCCAGAATATCAATTCTTAGTGTCAGCTAATATTTGATGCTATTCACAGTTGTATTTATAGTTTTTATTTACTGTAATGTTTACAGATTATTATGACTGTTTGTTCAGAATTGCTCTATTCTCTCTTACTTGCAGGCAATATTATGTCCTAAATTCTCTTCCATTTTGCTGGTGGAGCAAATTAAATATTTTCACAAGGAGGTGCTCAGTGGTAGCTACCTCATGTAAGATAATATTGGATTGATTGGACTAAAGTTCACATAAACTTGGATATAAATAGATTTAGAGTATCTGAATAAGATCCAAACATTGTTAGTAGCTATAGGGATGGTTCTAAGTTCTTCACTGTTTGTAAGAAAATATGAATCTCATTTTGTGTAATACATATGTATTATATATTTTATTGACTTGTTATTGTGGTACTCAAAACACTATGAAGAAATGGCATGGTTTATCAAGATGGTGGCATATCAATATTAAATGTTTATAGCTATTACTGTGAACCGTCCTTAGAATTGATCATTTCAGAAGAAAAATATATAGTTAAAGAATTGATAATCTGTACATTTATAATATTATATAATCAGGTGCCTATACTAGAACTCATATAGTTCCTATATACTCACATCCGAAATGAACCTCTTAAAATGATAGTAAAAATCATAAGCTTCTTGACTGCTGTGACATCGCAGGTATTCAACCTGGGCACATCCAAAATGAGGGTGAACTGATGGTCAATGAGCACAGACAATAGGTTACCTTTTGAAATATTTATCTGCTTCAGTACAAAAGCTCCTCAGGTTGAACACGTTTAACCCTAAAGAATGAACTGGTTTTAGGACTTGATCAACAAAGTCAGTTGTTAGTACACAATTTGCAAGCTTCATTGATATTAGTTTTCTACATGTCCTGGATAAATACATAAAATTAACTTTATTCACTTTCTGACATGTCTAATGCCTTGAAAATGATAGATATGATTTGCTATCAAACATATTTGCCTAGCCTGAGACAAACTAGAAAGGTAATACGAAACAATCAAAATCGTATCGTACTGCATTGTTACTTTAGGTTGGCTATCCTTGCCTTTACCTGTTGACGGATGAGCTTTGCCATATTAACTGGAAATCTACCAAATGTTCAGACTATGAGAATACTTTTCAGTAAGACAAAGTAATAAATGATGGGGTGAAATGATAAGGCTAATAACAAAGCTTGTGGCATTTGAGGGTTGAAGGCTGGGTCAGTTCACCTGACACTTTTGCTTTAGTTCATGAACCTTTAGTGGCCTTCTGTCCCATGTATGCTCATCGGACAGACATAAACAGACCTTTATATCCAAGTGTCCGAGTCTTAAGAGGAAGCTCTTTAAAGAAACAACCATCAATTGGAAAGGATATTTAACTTAATCATTTTATGTATGTAATCTTGCACATAGTTGACAACCTCACTCCTACATGACAAACATAGTCTTGCGATAAGTCCTTGTGTGACCTTTTCCCATACATATACATAAGTCTTAAATGATATAAGGAAGTCTTGTATCAAACCTTTGTATAACTTCCTTATTCATCCCACACATATACCTGCATACTATAAAGTAACCTTACATCAATCCCTTGTGTTAACTTCCCCCACCCATACAGGTACTCCTAAATTACCTCTCTCGATGTAACAATTTGAATGTTATATTATTGCCTCTAGAATTTAGTGTATGTAACTTCACTCCTACTCACATATATATTTAGCCTGGGCAATGTTCGGTAGTTTTGCTTGTGGTAGTATAAGGACTACCAATTTGGTGAATTTAGTGTGCAGTTTGGAATCCTGGGAATAGGTTATAAAATAAGGCTTCTTTATTTTTTAGTCCCATAACAGATTGGTTTTAATATGTATGTTATGGTCACAATGAATAGATCACATGCTAGATGTATTAAGTTGCAAAAATGTAGAATTAATCGTTTTGGTACTTGTATTAACAAAACACAGCAGACCAAAATCTCTTGTTGAAGTTATAAGATATAATGTAAATAAACTGGTATGGATCAAATCACGAGTTCGTGCCTATTGGTTCTACCATGTTGATTTATGTCAACTCTTTGCCAACTAGTTCACTGATTGCAAACTAGAGTATGTTCGATTATTTGGTTGTGAATTTTGTGGTGAATATCATTCTCGTTCTGCATAGTTGCACATGTATAAGATATGTACAATGTACATATAATGTGAATATGAATCTACTTGGGTATGTTACATTTAGTTCTTTAGATGTTATACTAAAATTTAAAAAATAACATGTGTCATGATTGAAATATATGTATTGATATGATAAGTAAAAATCTATTCACATATTGTGGTACATATGAAGAGAAAATAACCTTGCTCCCATATCCTTAAAACATGATTAAGATTTTCACGTTTATTAAGAGCAAAGGTCTAGATATACCAGTAGTATTTGCTCAGTGATTGCAGCTCATGGTGTGAAGCACGAAGTGCACCTAATCTCCAGTAAGGTCCACTTATAAAGGGTTAATGGTTCGTTTATTGTGTATGTTTTTTATCAGTATCATTTGCATGGATAGGAAGTTTAAAGTAGCAGTAAAGGACAGAGAATATAAAATGTTAAAGCATTTTTTATTAACATAAAAAGAACTGATATTTCTAATAGATATATAGTAGTTAGAGAAGATGTATTCCCCAGAATTGAATAAGTTAACAAAACAAGAGAAATGTCTCTCTCCAAAATGAATGCAGATCAGATATCCCATTTTTCATCATGGAGCCATACTTGTATTATTAGGGACATACCCAGGCCAGGGTCTAACCAAGATTCATAGAAATATATTAAGTCATCCATTTTTACTAAAAATCAAATCTATTGATAGCATTGTACATTTTGTATTTTATTCCATTTAATATGCCGAATCTGTTCCAAGTCCCTATGTTACAATTTTGATTAAGCCATACTTTTTTAAGTAACACATTACATATACTTTTGAAGGTCATATTATAGGCCAGGGAACATTTATACTGTTTTACCACTTACCATTGACGTCATGATTCTTTTAGTTATAGGAGTTAATCATTGGATATATGTGAACAACTGTTCAATTATACGTAAACATCAATACTATTTTATGCTAGCTTCTTGCTTATAGTTAGTTAGCCTTGTCTTATTTTAAGGCCGTTTTATTTGAGGACAAAAATGATAATTTATAGTTGTTCTATACTGGTGTATAGTTAACAAGATCCTGGTCAGACCATAGATATAAAATATATAGTTGTGAAAAGGCAAAGAAGAGGGATAAAATGGTTTGATTTGCCATCATGTAGGTTGTGTTCAAATAGAAGTGGAAGACTTTAAACAATACATACATACTGACTGAGTCTGCATCAAATTGTAATAAGATGTTTTGTAAATAATTTGAACGGAACAATAAATGAATAAATAAAAAAATAAATATAATGTTCTTAGCTATACTTATGCAAAATCATTACGCTATTATGACAATGCATGTCAATCAGTTTTGTGATAATACACAATCCCCAAAAACTTATTATGATATACACACTTGTAAGCACCTGTGTAAGCATAAAAACAATAGAAATAAAAATCTGTTTATATATGGTATGTTTGTTCGGAAAAAAATCCTCAAGCACTTTATTATTGAAACACTTGATACAATATATTTTACAAGAAAGGTTATCCTGTATATAGATTTTTTCCTATAGCTATTAGTGCAATCTGTAGCAGAATCCCAGTAATGCTTAGCTATGACGTCAACTGGTGAATGAATGTTATTTGTGAACACAACACTAGTACAGAGGTCATCTGGGTTGCCTGACTTATCTTGTGTGTGGGTAGAATCTGTCAGTTAATTGTTTGTTTGTTTGTTGATTTCTGCTAGTAGGAGGTTAAGGCTCTTGTAGTTTCAACTCAGAGGGAAGCAATCGCCTTTGAATCCTTATATATATAATACAGTCTCATAATAAATAATTAGATAATATTAATTTAGTTTGACCATGTGTTGACATTTTGTCACATTAATGCCTTGTAAGATATTGCGCCATTTTGTCAGGTTAGCTTTGTGAGGGAATCAATGTGTGTTGTTCTGACACGTTTTACATACATGTAATGCAAAGGTGGCAAAGGCAACTATGTATCTTTAGTGTTATACACACCTACACGGTTTACATAAGTTTACTTGGTGTGGGATTTTAAGAGGTATGGAGGTGAAAGGTAGATCAAAAATAGGATTCATAGAATTTGTAAAGAAATCTATATCTCCAAAGACTTAGAGGGGCTCTCATTAGAATTATATGAAGCTCTCTTTTAGAGGTGTGAGGTCAGAACTTAGTACAGTGCCTAGCAATCACATATTTGTTATATTCCTTTGGGAAAAATCTAGTTTAACTTGATTAGATTTATTCGTTCTGAGTAAGTCAGTAAATCCTTTTTATAGTACAGTATATTGTACATAGAACATTTCTATGAAGTCCCTGTATTCCCTTCTCCCATGTTCTTTGGTCCAGCAGTATTTACCATTCTGATACTCAGACCATCTCTGCAATGCACAAGGATCTAGAAGGAAACTGAGAGAAGGCTGTGATATCTCACGATGAGTATTTACAGCTTGGGATAGATGATTTGATGCAAGAGTAGTGCATATTGTAAATGATTATAGAGATTGTCCATAGTTGACAATGTATGCAGTGGGTTGTGATTCATAAGCCCATATTGATTGTTAAGAGTCCGTCATTATGTTGAGAATTGATGGAATTCTTGGTGCACCAACTTTATATGTCAATATTCATTTATAACTTTATATGTCAATATTCATTTATAATACAACAGTTTCTCTGAATAATGCAATAGCTAATTGCCAGTATATATTCAAAGGAAATGAATAATTGGAGTAGGGGGAATTTATGTTATATTGAGATTCCAAAGGAATGGATGTAAAAACAGAACAGTATCATAACACTATTCAGGAATGAGAAATAATGTTATAAAGATAATTCCAATATAACAATTTTTCTAGCCTTTTCTCTTGCTTTAAGTCCATTAGGCAAAAGTAAAAAGATCAATATGGGCATACAGGACATAGAACAACCAATATGAGCAATTTGCATTTCCAAACTGATAAACAAATATTCAATATATGAGGGAATTGGGTGAGACTAAACAGATCAGTATGGTGGGTATTAGGAGAGAGTTACCAGAACTAAATATATTAGCCCAAGCTCTTGGTTTACTCAATGATTTCTCAGAAAATTCTTCCAAATGTCACTCTACTAAGGGAACAGCAATTAGGATCAGTATGGGAGATTGGAAATGGCTAAGGAGAATCTATGAAATAAATGTTACCAGCAGTTTAAAGGAACTTGTCCAGAAATGTGAGAAAAATATATTCCTTAATGAAAATGTTTGAACCCATGGTTTGAAGTCAATTCCTGATGTCAAAGTATTTTTTTAATTCCAGGTGAATGAGTTCCTTGCTGGTAAAGCTCCTCTTACTCTAGCTATGCGACTTGGAGACCATATGATGTTTGTCCAGTTGCAGCTATCAACTACACAGCTTAACACCAAGAAAGCTCACAAGTCTAAAAGTAATAAAAACTCTGGGGCACGTCTAGAGAGACAGGCTAACTTCTCTAAAACTTCACAAACTAATAATACAAGTGCTAGCCAAAATACCGCTTCTCCTGCATCGATGTCACAAACAGAAACGTCAACATCAAGTGTAGGGACATCTATGGCTGATATGTTGCCTAGCCTGTTGCCCATAGATTATGATGAACCAATGACATCATTGGACACAGAAGCGCTTGCACAAGCTAGTAGGAATTTATCGAAAAGATTAAAAGAACTTTCAAAAGTAACTTGTAAGGTAAGAACAATTTGCGCTAAACCTAATACTGATGGGAGGAACATGAAGTGAATCGAGTGGTGTACATGTACTTTATTACTTAAGGTTGTAAAAGAATGCCATACAGAATATAAAGAATGGTAATAATTAAATGAAAGGATTTTTTGGATCCTGTGTTAGTGCAGTTCATGTAAAGTTCCTGTCACTTTCATCACATTTTGTGTTGATAAATGGCATGTGATGAAACTTATTCATCCTGTAAATCATTTATAAATACTATAATCAATCTTGCGTTTAAATACCTCCATAAGTTAATTCAATCAACAATTGAGATTTTGTATTTAGCACTTACAAAGCATGTATATATATATGCTAAATCCCTTATATGTTTATAACTTATAATGTTTGTGAACTACGTCATCAGTCGCTAATCGCCAATCGGTAATAAAATGTTGTAAGTGGGTAAATCCTTATTTTGTTGAGACGTAGTTATTGGTAGGTAGGAGTGATAATGATACTTTTTATTTGACTTGAAACCATATTAGTATCCAATCCAAATTATAAAGAAGGAACTTGGAGAACAAATTTTTTTGGTGAAAAGAATATTAGATCGATAAAATATATATTTCAATAGGTTAAGTATATTAAGGCTCAGCATGTTGAATATTTATAAATAATCATGATTCTCTCGAATTTTTTCGACTTTGTTTATTTTTAGATTTGAAACCATGACACGCCACCGTTTTTCTATTCAGAAACAAATATTAGGTTATTCATGAAATAAAATGTATTCATTGTCGAATGAACGAACATGCATTTATTCAGTCCATACTTAACGTTTACCTCCGTTTTAAATTCGCGGCAAGAAATCAAAAACTGAAAATATGACAAGTAAGGTTAGAACATACATTCCCGAATGGGAAACAGAGTTCGATTGGTTACATAAATAGGGTACACACTTTTTTTTCAAAGGACACACTTTTTTAAAAATTTGCGTCCTTGGGACTCACAAATTTTCTAACCTAATGCAAGCACTGTAAGCAGGATCTCTTGATAAATCTTGTTTTGACCTTTGTTAGAGTCATTCTTGTAAGAAGACCATATTTTTTGCGCAATTAATGGAATTATCACAATTGACACCAAATTCTTATACTATAAGTTATTGAATGATTTGAAGTGCAATACAGGATATATTCTGCTCAAGAAATTCTTTATTGGAACGAGACAAAGTAAATTATTGGGAAAATGTATATTCTCCAATTAAGTAATTTGAGTAAACATTTGTTGGTAAATTAGAGGTTATGATGTGGTTAGTAAGGTTTCAATATGTGGTAAGTAAATGATAAGTATTATACTCATCATTTTGTCCTTTTACGAGTGTCCGTGTTAAACACAGTAACACAGTAGTTATACATACATTCAATCATTTTGTTTTTCAGCCTTCTGAATCATACACTACATCTTCCAGTACTGCCTCAACTTCGTCATCTTCTACATCCACCTCATCAGCAAACTCAGCTTCCAACAAGTCATCATCTACTCCGTCATCATCCTCAACAGTGGTGGCAAGTCGGGGAGGTACTGGGAAAGGAGCAGGTGCCATCATTGAAAGTATGCAACATCATGGACAAGGTGTTTACTCTGGAACCTTTTCAGGTAAGTTTTGATACTGACTTTGAATGGGAAGTAGAAGTTTTGATTTGAAAAATGCAGAAAAGTGTACTTTGTAATAGGGACTTGCGTTTCAGTGCAGTGTAATCCATTCAACAAATGTACATAATTGTATGATGAAGTTTTATTTCCAAAGTTAGTTGGGTGTGATTCTAGGAGTATTTGTGTGTTTACAAATAAATAAATTTGAATGATGCAGTAATGTGTCATTTAGTACTTTTAATGTGGGAGACTATTTTATAGAAACTTGAACAAAAATCAAGAAAAAAATTTAAGATCCCAAAAAACTAATGGGGTGATAATAGCGTTAATGGAATAATTCACTTACCTCTATCGATTGAGCCGTTTCTATGCACAATGCTGTTATAGACATATCTCTAGAAGTGAATTCATGATAGCCTTCAAATGATGAGTTAAAAGCTATAATAGTACAATAAAGTCATTTCTAAGGGCAATATAGTGAAATATTGGACCTCGCAGAAATGACGTTATTAATATTATTACCACCGTTAACGACCAGGACTGAAACGGCAAGAAAATCTTACACATTGAACGATATCTAGTTTCCCCGGGAAAATTGCCGGTCCAGAATATATTCTAGACCTGTCCATATGGACTACCACTAGGACGTCACACATTTCTCAGGTCGATATAGTAAAATGAATGCCTTCTAAACGAGCACTAAAACCCCTAGAACTGGCCCGGCAAGGTGGTAATAATGAACGTTAACTATGAAGTCCAGTCAGTTACAGAAAGCCTTTAGATTTTGACTTGGTGGTTATAGCCTGCTCAAAGGAACAGAGAGTCAATAGTTTCATTGATATTTAGAGGTTATGTCACTATCGTGGCATATATGCCCGAGGTCTCAGTGATATATGGCCTGACCTTGGGAGGGACATTGATCTCTGAGAACCGAGGGCATATGTGCCACGATAGTGACATAAACGATTTATAACATACCTATGATGATGTAGACTGGTCAGAGAGTACCGTTTTCTTATAGAATTGACAAACAAATGGTTTGAAAATGATTGAAATGAGTTTAGAAAAATTGCTCGCACAGTTTTATCTTCGATTGATCGGTTATGACGTCAGCGCCTTGACCAATCAGAAAGTTAGCGGGCGCGGGCTTTTCAAAACTTATATTGGCCCGCTGTCTTGTGTACACTTTGCACTATACATCATCATAGGTATGTTATAATGATGCATATACAGGGTGTCCAAAAAAAAACAGGACCGTAAGAAAGTTGAATAACTCGGTCAATTTTGCATATTTTGCCTTGAAATTTAAGAATTATTTAGTTCATTCAATGTGAATTTTGTTCTGAAAGTTTGATGATACTCTGTCTATTGTGTCAAAAACTACAGTCCTTTACAAAACATGCTTAAAGTGGGCACTTCTCCTCTCTATGCACAAACGAATCCTGTGAACAAAGTTGTTAATGACCCTTACCTATACACATTAATGTGGATGGTAAATATTGGGGTAGTTATTGCCCTCTTAAGATTGTTAGGGGCCTGTCAGTATACACATTGGCTTTTAGAAATCCTCAAAGATAAAAATTTAGGGGATTTAGATCAGGCAAATGAGCTGCCCATATGGTTTGCATTCTGCAACTGATGAGCTGACCACCAAAGCATTGCCTAAACCATTTCAGCATATCATTTGCAGTGTTGGGGTGGTATTGGCTTGTTGAAACCACTGCTTAATTATCTCCTTAGATGTCCCTTCTCGTGCTTAGTGACCTCCAAAACTTGGTGAGAACTTACTGGTCCTTATTCATGGTGATAGCAAGTCCTCAGTCACCCTGAACCAAAAGGGACTGATGATTCCATGTTTCCTCATTGCCACCCAGGGAGTGCATTGTTCAGAATGCAATGGATGCTGTAACACTTCATCAGGAGGATGTAAGCCCCAGTAGCAATTGTTCTTGAAACAAACTTGTCCATTTAGAAAGACATGTGTGTAGGAGGATCATCAACAGCTTTGTTCACCGGATTGATTTGTGTATAGAAATGAGATTTGCACATTTGGGGCATGTTTTGTAAGGAACTGTAGTTTTTGACTCAATTGGTAGATTATTATCAAACTTTCACAACAAAATTCACATTGAATGATCTAAATAATTCTGAAATTTCAAGGCAAAATATGCAAAATTGACCGAGTTATTCAACTTTCTTACGGTCCTGTTTTTTTTTGGACACCCTGTATGTCATTTAACCCACAAAATCATGAAATACCCTATTATCGCCCATATATGTACCTTTTGAAAATCCCTTGGGATTTTGTTATTTGTGACATTTCCTTCAGGAGAATTTATGAGACACACAATGCATTTATTAGAGCAAAAACAGTACCTATAAATTAATCTGAAGCCATCAGTAACTCCCTATACATTGTGTTCAATGTCTTGACTGTTTTAGTTTATAACATTGCAATAGTGGGACTTAGAAATACATAAAAAATAGTGGAATGTTTAGTTAGTAGGCATTGGGAGGTTATGGTCCTTAAAAGGGACGTAGTATTATTTATTGAGTTTTTATGAGGCATTTGATGTGTTTTTTTCTAAAGAAAATCTGATTTATTTTTGTTCATATGTTGTTGATTAACCATTTAGTAGTGTTTGTTGATGTTAACAGAAGTTCATAGACATTTCTAAGAACTCATTGCAGTTTATGTATGAAAATGTTATGAAGTTATGAAATTCTTGCCAATAATGTGTCAAGAGAGAAACGCTACAGTTTGATGTAACGTCTGCCCGCACTACTGTTTTCTTCTGTATCATAAAGACCTTGTCCATCCTTTGTAGCGAGAAAATTTGGCTCAATTTCCATAAATCTTTTTAAAGGAAACCTTTCTTCATTATTTTGCTTTTAGGGCCCAATATGTAGTTCATAGTAATATAATACACTGCTTTACTCAAACTTGGTGATTATATGATCAACTGAGGTATAATTCGCTTCACTATTAGGCAAAATCATTTTTAGCAGTTAATGATAAATAAACTTTTCTCCTTTAAATAAACAGTTTGAACATCAAAGTTAGAAAAATCTTTCTGTTCCTATTTTAGAAGTATTTTATGAAGCAAGGTGTGTGAAGACTTTGTGAGGGAATGAGGAAGAATGCCTGGGAATTTGGCATTGTTTCATTCACAAGTTCCTGATATAACCAAGGCTTGTTGCCAAGCCTGGTATGTTCAAGGTTAACATCACCACATGTCAGATGGAAGAAGTAGGATTGATGCCATGGAATCATTGGTTTCTTTTTTGATAAAGTGCAATATTTTAACAAGCATATAACTTAATGATATACTGTATAAGTGGTATTTAATCCGAGTGGTTAATTTTCCGAATGGTCAAATTTCATCATTTTCCTAATTTTAATTTTCCTAATGACAAGAAACCTCCCATTGGATAACATTATCAAGACAATATTTCCGACATTTAATTTTCCGAACCTGGCAAAAATTAGGAAATAGGCAAATTAAATGATTAGGCAAAATTACCACTTATACAGTATCTGCATATGTTCTTCTTTCCAGAAACTAAGGGGAAATATGTCCATTTGTCCAACCATTAGCATTTAGGCTTTTAGCTAGCAAGTTTTGGAAGTCTGTATTTAAATGTAGTACACAGAGTCAGAACAAAAGGTGGTTTACAATGGTATATAGATGGCCTGGTGCAGTAAATCCAAAAACTCATACCTAGGATTGAATTTTTTTCACAAGTACATAGTTGTGCATAGAACTTTACCAGATTTAGGTGCTTAGATCAATAGCTTTTGCTGAGAAGTCTTTAAATGAAGGTGATTGAACTATTGATATCCTTATTTACTTAACCTGCATATTGCAAGCATTGCTATAAGTATGTGATTGCAAGTAGGTGGAATGAGTGGGCAGGCTCTGAATATACCTGGCTTTAACCTACTTGTTAAACCATAAGTACCCGTACATACATATAAATCACGTCAAGATAACAATGTTAGGAAATGTGAGCTATGTTGTATGAGAAAACCTTTTTATATGAAATCAGTATGATACAATATACATCAGGCAAATAATATACAATAATACAGTACATAAAGATCAACAGAAAAGAAAACAAACACATTCATCAAAATACTGTAATCAAACAATTCCTCATACTGTGGTACAGACATATATTATGTTGGTGATAGAAATATAACTTAAAGTCCAAGGCTACATGCTGATAGCATTGCACTGCTGTAAAATGTTTAGTAATTAGTGTTTAAGTTGATTTTTTCTTTAAAAATGATTAGATAAATTCATAGCCTATTCCATCTGGAACATCAACTCATTTTCTATACTATTTTCTCCTTATCATCTTTTTTGTCCAGACATTAAACTAACATTGAGGACTAAAAAGACAAAGGGCTGATACATGTTAAGCACTAGAACAATAGGCATTGTTTATAGACAGATATATGTCAAATACATATATACTTATATATGTGGTGTTATCATTAATAATATGGTCTCTGAAATATATACAAAGTTTGTAAGTGATTTGAGTATGTTTTGTGATGAATAGTAATGCTAGTAAATGACTACTCTTAACGTGACAGCATCTTTGTAAGAAGATAACTGGAAGTGTTTATCAGAGATGCACTCTAACAATTTATCAATTTGAAGATGATTAACTAGTAGTGTAAGAAAAAATGGTTTGAGGTGGCAATATTTTAACACATGGCATGTTGTGATACTGTTATATGTTCATAGCTTCATTATCCCACCAAACAAACGTTTCCATTAGTGCATGGTCATGGTCCACATACCATGACTTCTCAGGCCCATAGCCAGGATTTGCCAAGGGGGGTTCAGTTTTCAAAAAATTCCAGGGGGCTTCACATTTGACCATTTTGGCCCAAATATGGCTAAAATCACTTGAAAAGTGCTCAAAATGGTGAAAAACTGCATGATTTTGAAAGAATTTTTGGCCAGGGGGGGTTGCCCGAAATCTGCGAA